GGGGCCGACACCAAGGTCGGCCCAGAGGCTTCCGTGGTGAGTGTCGGGGGTGTCGGGTGTGTTGTAGATGGGTTACGAATGTTTCTGGTTGAATGTGGAATGCGGTTGGGTTGGGTGTGAGAGTGCGAGGAGGGAGCGAGCAGCGAAGTTCTCAGTGCGTTATATAAACCCAAGCGTGAACCTAGCGGTGAAATACTCCAGAGAGACTGACGTATGCGCGGGTCCCAAGTTCAGAATCTCGTGACGTGTGGAACCGTGGTGAAATCTCGGATGTCGCCGGGCGATCGCGGAAGGTCGAGCTCTGATGGGGTTGAGCTGCGCGGGTTCGGTAAGCGGACTGGTATGAGCGCAAAGAGGGGGTGGCGCTGAAGCAGGCTCTAAGTACCTGTGGGCGGAAGGTGCAGGAAGGCTTGGCGTGAATTCACCCGCATTCCTACAGGGCACTGGAGGGCAATCATGAGCCCTTTCCCCCGGGAATCGGTCTATTCCGCGTCATGCGCTTGGTCTTCGGACAGTGAACTTTCAAGGCAACGGCCGCGAACCGCCCGACATGCATGGAATCTGGTATCTGGTAGACGAGGACGGAGATAGAAGAAATGAGGGAAATAATCGCATGCGACCACAAAGACATAGATTAGGCATACTCGTAATATGTTCAGGAGAGATAATAGTGACGACGGATGAGATTGAAGTCGCAATATGATATACTAGGGAAAACACATTGAGAAACGAATGACCAGAAGCAACAAAGTTAACAAAGCACCTACCGTTCAACATACCTCCAACATTCGTCGTGATCTTCCATGTTTCCGGCTATCCCTAGTCCCCATCCCCGACACTCCACCCGCATCTCATAGTCCACTTAAGCCTTTCGGATGCCAATTCCTCATGATTTACCCCATACCGCCATATTTACTGCCGTACCCTTCTGCATCAGCATCAGCTTCTCCTCGTCCGAGTCTTGGATCTTGCTCATGTTGTCACTCGCCACAGCTTTCCATTCATCCCGGTCCTCCTTACTCCTGCTTACCATGGACCGATAATTGTCTGCGAAGCTCCTTGATGGTGTCCCGATCGACCTGCATGTTGGCCTCCATCCGCTGGAGGTCGTCTTCCAAGATCTTTCCGTGTTGGCGAGAATCACGGAGCTCCGTCTTAGTTTCTTCCAACTCCTTCTTTAACGCCTCGATGGTGTCATTAGTCGCGCGGTTTTCCCCTGCATTCTCCTTGTTGTGGTCGGTACCCGCCTGCAGGTCCCGCCTTGTGTTTTCTAGTTCCAATAGGGCTTGTGCTTTCTTACCCATTTCCGTCCTCAACTGGCTCCCCAACCACTCAGTCTGCCTTTTAAGGCTCGCGACCTGAGCACGGGCCCGCTTGAGCCTTGTGGTTAGCTCGCGCCACCTAACAGCGGTAGTAACGGTCAGCAGTCCGTACCCACCAAGCTCATGCTCAACGACCAGCAAAGAAGCCATATACGTGATGATGCAGAGAAGAAGGGATATCAGTAGGATTCCAGCTATGAAGGGTACCGAAGGGGGAGAGAATCTGCTGAGCGATGTGGTAGCACTTTGCCAAACGGGTATCGACGCGGTTTGCATTGCAGATGGCGGCGGGTTCGTGATAGGGCCGTTGGCGAACTCGGGATACTGCCGCAAGAAGGCCTCCATACTGTCAGTCCACTGTAGACGGAATATGCGAATTTGGTACTTCTGGAATCGAAGGTTCTGGGATTTTCCGAGAAACGCGTAATTGGATCGGTGTGCACAAAAGGGAGACAGAAGCTTTGTGGAAGTTACTAGCTTTAAATACTGAATACTAAGGAAGAACGCACAAAGCGGGATTGGATTAAATTCAAAGACAAAGAGCAAAAAGAAAGGCGAAATACGCCAAACAAGTGACAAAGGCATAGCAGCTCGCTGGACAAAGCATTGTTGATTGAATACCTCAGTCCTTAGAGACTCTCGATCCGAGGTAAAGGATAGAGCAACGCCATTGGTCAATAACGGGCGATAGCGATAGCCAGCTGTTTTTTGGCTGCTTGATGAAAAGTGATGGGGAACGAGTCACGACATGCGGTATTGAGAGGATGAAAAGCCGCCAGCTTCGAAGTGGGTTGGTTCGTGGAGACGCTACTCTAAAAAGGGCAAAGCGTGGAAATCTCCGACGCTGAGCCTAGTGCGCTACCTCTAGCAGACTCCAGGTCTTTCGCGCAGAGTGGTAATGCTCCTGCTGTTTGAAGGCATTTTAAACAGTATTTGTATACACAAGAGCAACAATGTCGGCCCGGCTTACCTTGCCCAGGAGGCTGCCCATTGGCTCGTGTCCCACCGATCTCGCACAAAATACCACAGATAGTTTAGGAGTAACAAGCCCATCTTAAGTCCCTCAGTTCAGCATCCATCGCGGCGAATTCCAGACACTTCTCCTCTCCGCTGTGCAAGATCGCCTTGCAGAATCCTGCCTCCACCTCAACCACTTCCTCCCCGGCTTCTCACAAACGAAAAAGAACATCACTGCTTAATTCATTAACCGGCGTGATATGACGCAGGAGCAAACGGAATATCTCAAACCCTCACCCTCTTGAAAATAATGACCACGCAAAGATCCGACTCCGCGAGACAACTCATAGCAAAGTTAAATAATCTTCGCAGGGGCCCCTTGTCGCATCGCCCATATCCCGCATCCGATTAATGATTCGCTTCAGGGGCAAACACGGCTCGGTAAATGACGTTTGTGGAGACGCCAATCCCACCGTCGAGACTCTGCGCGACCCATAGAAGAAAGACGCAGAGAAACCTGGAACTAGTAGGATTCGCATCGAATTGACAGCATGGCGGAACCACGTGGCATTATCAGGACGTAGACAATGGGATTGTTTCCACAGTTGGTTGTTCACAGAATGCAGCGCTGCGCTGCAGCACTTCGTCATCATCATCTCCACTAATCATCGTCCCCGGCGCTTCTTCTCCTCATTCACGTCCCGCCTCTGTGTTCATCTCCCGACCAAAACCCCTCCATCGCCCTCAAACCCAAGGAAATGAGACGACCAAAGTCCAGAACCTTCCCCCCCTCACCAGCGCACGCCGCGATCCCACCACCCCAGCGCCCGAATTTCCCTTACGTTCGCCGCTCACGTTCCCATCTCGGCAGCCCGCGCCGCACATGTTGACCGCATGGCTGAAACGCGAAGGCGTGCGCTAGACCCGTTCAACAACTCCTCACTTTTTTCCTTGTCGTCGCCGCTAGCGCGGCGCTGAAACGCGCCCGTCCGAATACGCCGAATTCCAGCCAATCGCAACACGGCGGAGGCAGGTAAGAGAAACAAAAACGGACAATTAGGCGCTACTCCGCTCGTTTGGCCTGCCCGATGCGGGCGGACTTTGCTGCTGACTCAGGGCGGAAAGAAGAGGACGGGGAGGGTTGACTGTACTGTGCTGTACTGTGCTGTGTGTACTGTGCCCCTGACGATCCGCGCGCAAATAGCGACCCCTGCAGCACTCATATTTTGACATCCGTCCGTTTGCGCCAACAAGCAAGCTGCACCAATACGACCCCTTTGATACGGCGAAGTCAGCACTGTAACAGATTTTTACAGCGCCTACCACCCGACTGGCCTGCCGTGTTTGGTTGGCCGCCCGTTTTGCAAAACACAAGCGAATCCACAGGGCGCATCTGGACGACCTGCAGGTACGGTACAGTGCATCGGACTGCCAAACAAGCGGCGTGCGCCGAGTGGCGTGCGCAACCGTCGTAACCAGCTAATGAGCAGTCTTAGCTAAATGAAAGGAGGGGATCCGGGCTACAGCACCCAGCCAGGCGGGCGGGAAGCGGACTCCAAGGAAAATTAGCGATGGGCCTAAGGCACACGGCTGGAGCTGCACAGATGTGATGTGCGGAGATGTGCTGGCTGGCGGGCGGGCGTGCCGCAACTGTCACTACGGTCGTATAAAGTGAAGCCCTGCTGCCGCCCCTCGTTCGTTTCTGCTCCCGACAAGTCTGCGACTTCGACGTACACCCAGTCATTCCTTGGAAAAGCACTCTCTTTCCAAACACACTCATTTGCAACCCAGCTCCCCTAAGGGAACTATCCACATTCGTTTCTTAGCGATTTTTGCTCAGCGGCTAGACCCTCGTCCACCCACACACTCTACCTACAAAACCTACCTACGTTTTTGCCAATCCCAGTCGAAAGTACTCGTCCTCAACTGTCAAAATGCACGCCATCGCGACTCTTTCTCTCCTCGCCCTTGCGGGCTCCGCTCTCGCGGCTCCGGCGCCCCGCCAGCACCGTGGACCCAAGATTGTCTACGAGACCAAGCTCGTCACAGTCATCGTGACTCCCGGTCAACCTCACCCGACCCCGGCTCCTGAGCCCCAGCCAGAGCCCTCCTCCCAGGTCGTCGTCCCCACCACCACCGTCGTCAAGGTCGAGACCCCGAGCGCCCCCGCGGCTCCCCCGAGCAGCGCTGTTGTTGAATCCTCGGCCGCCCCTGTCGCGACCGCTCCCGCCAGCACCGGCTACATGGCCATTGTCGACGAGTGGCGAGCCAAGCTCGGCCTAAGCAAGCTCACCGAGGACTCCCAGCTCGCGGCCAACGCGGAGCGCACTTGCGCCGAGGGCAACGGCCAGATGGTGCACCAGCTCTTCAGCGGCTCCATGGCGCAGGTCCTCGCTCCCGGCGGCCCGGAGGACTTCGAGCACGTCTTCGTCGGCGGCTGGCTCTGCGAGAGGCCCGACATGGCCGGCATGGACGGCATCTGCGCTACCGCGTCCGAGGGCTGGGCGTACGCCGGGCAGACTGGCCACGCGGACATCCTCACCTCGCCGTCGTACAGTAAGATTGGCTGCGGCAACGCCGGCGGCATCTGGGGCTGCGATTTGGCATAGACGAGGAGGTGCAAGAGAAAGAGGTCGGGATACCTAAAACGTTTTTTTCTTTGGAGAGGGCCAAGCGCTGACGCGCTAAGATTCTGTTCTTGTACTGTACGTTGTTTGTACGCTTCTTGTCCATAGCGGCGCGCTTCCGCTGCAATTGATGCATTTTCACGACTGTCATCTCATCTGCGTCTTCTTCGCTTCCTCGAGTGACCTACGAGCTGTGACGTTTCTTGCTGCATGGGCGCCTACTTTTAGCCAGCTGACTGGAGCAGTGAGTCGCTAATTTCGCAGCGCGACGAATGACGGCAGTGGGCGCTAGCATATGTGCTGCGGCGTCGCCAGACAAATTTGCAGCTGCTGTACCTCCGTCAGCAATTACGCTGCGTTAATAGAATGGACAATGGATTGTCTGTTTGAAACAGTTCCTCCGTTTTGTGCTCCTGCATCCTGCGCGCGGAGATGAGGGGTTGGCGCTCGTCGGTCCGTAATTGCGCTAACGGCGCCAAGGTGGTGTGCATGCGCGAAGTCATTGCACAGAGCGCGGTGCATCGTGAAGGCGAAGATGGCTTTGCGTTGGGGCACGGTCTGGCAACGAGGAGGTGGAAGGAAGGTTGCATAAAGTTGAGACGAAGGCTGAAAAGAGTGGAAAGGAAACGCGGTGGCTGCCAAGACACTCCATCCGAGGTCGGTTAACCTGCGTCAGGATCCGGGATCGGAAGGCGCTACCGAACCCTTCTCCTTCTTGCCTTCCTGCGAGACACCCGTTCATCGCGACATCCTCTCGTCAGTCGTTGCAACAAGGACACATCGCACTCCCTGTCCGCTCCTGGCATACTGCGAAACCTGCTTTGCAAACTGTAGGCCACCAGTCATCAAAGCTCTCATGGTGCGTGCCCCGCGGCTGCAGTCAGACTCCGCTTCGTCATACCTCGCAACATCACCGTTGAGGAAAGCTACATCCAAAGGATGTCCGTTTGGACTAGCCAGTTGCGCCCGCGCTCCGCAGTTTTCAAGGTACTCCGGAGCTATCGACGAAAGACGACACGAAATCAAGGCTCAGTCCTGCGCGCATTCGTAGCCCGAGAGTCTTAGCACGAGCATCAGGTCATGCACCCCAACATTCTTCAAGCACGTTGCACACCAAGATTTTAGTAGCGAGACAACGACATTCTTTTTGTTCTGGTGTCGAGTCGCACAACGTGTGCGATGGTGTCACGCTCATGTGCAACCTCGCTTCGGTGTCGAGAAGGCACTAGAAAATCAATAATGCATTTGGCTAATATGGCTTTTCTTGTAGGATCCACTTGAAGACATAGTGTAAGGACCCTATCGAATAGCACCAGTCGAACGAGAGGGAGGACATGATTTCCCTCCTGGCTGAAGGGGTATGCCCCTCTTTCGACGTGAGGAGTCATTCGTCTTTCTATTCTCTCCCACGTTGAGAAGATACCCTGTACACACTTACTGCATCATTTCCTCCACCGGTGGATCCGCAGGCGGCGTGATCTCCTTCCGCACCCTCTTCCACTCTCTCTCCCTCTCCTTCTCCAATGCCTCCATTACCTCCGTCCACTTCTCATTCTCCTTCTCCTCCCTTATCAAACCCAACACCGCATCCCTCCCGGCATTGGCGACTTCTTCGTCCTCGGCCGGCGTCCCCGTCGAACAACCAACCGCCCCGAGAATTCGGCCGTCGTCATCGATGATGGGTACCCCGCCTCCTATGGTACAGAAACGACCACCATTCGTATTTCCGATTCCGAACGCCATACCGCCCGGCCACACATTCTCTTTGTAGGCGGACGTAGGCACGCGATGGCCGGCCGCGGTGAAGGCTTTGTCGAGCGCGATGTTGATGGACGTGATTTTTGCGCCGTCCATGCGGGTGAAGGCTAGGAGGTGCGTGTGCGAGTCCATGATTGCAATGTTCCTTGTCCGTGTCAGCCGCGATGCCAGCGTACGAGTAGAGAAAAATTACATGGGGACGCCGATTTCGAGGGCATGCTGTTCGGCTGCTGCGAGAGTGGTTCGGGCCCCTGCGAGGGTGAGGGTCGGTTGCGAGATGGTTGCTGCGGGGGCCATGGTAATCCAGAGTTCGCGCCGGTCTGGTGATCTCGCTTATGTTTGGGTCGAAAGAAAGAGAAGGCTCGATGGTGCTTGAGGGCAAAGAGATTGCTTTTAAACGCAGTTTGTGCCTCGTTTCGCGGATGTGGTGGAATTGAAGAAGTGAAGAGGGATGCCCGGTGAAGAATAGCGTGGAAGTACCAGCACACTGAAGCGCCAAATGGAATACTCGATAAGGTCTCGGTCAACCGACCTCGCGATGCACAGTCGTGCCTTCCCATCATCCACATCTCAATCGACGCGCTTCGTCTGGTGCCTGGAGAAGGAGCCTGGAGTATCCGGGAGCAGGCGCGCCCCACAATGTGGGTTCGCTTACCTGATTGGGAAGCGCGATACCGCAAAGTGTTGTCTACTGCCACAACTCATCCACAGCCCCGTTCGAGCCTTGACTGCCGCGATAGTGGAGGAAGATGTATGCCTCACCGAAGGATTCGTTCCTGGATTGTGACGGAACGTGGAATTGTTCATGTTCCGCCAGTATCCGGGAGATCGGTGGGGCGTAATGGGAGAGACTTGCGGACTGGCGAAGGATAGGTCCCAAAACAACCTCAGTAATCGATAAAGACGTCTTACACACGCAGTATGTAGGTTTGTGGAGAGGGCATGCTTCATGCCATATTGGGATCGCGGCTTGGCAGCTCGGTCTTCGACCGCCGGATTCTGACAATCACAGGCACGGAGTTTCCAAACCGGTCTGCAGAATACACGATAGCATGCATCTTGAGCTTAAACAGGAGTGTGATAGTTTGAGCTTTGTCTTTCCTTCGCTACGTCCTGTGGGATATATAGATCATCCGATCGCTACACATCTCTCGACCTGTCGCACCAACACCTTCTCACGAGCTTTCGCCCTCCTTTTCATCCATGACCTTCAGCATAGACTTACGGCCTCGATGCGCATGCCTACAGTTCAGATTTATTGATGGAAAATCGGAGCGACCGTCGCCTTCCGTCGCTTACGAGCTACAGGCTATCCGTTCTCTAGATACGTGTCCAGACTATCCTCGATGGAGGGCCGACGCTCATTCGGATGACACTGCATATCGAACGCAATCTGTCACCCTACATCCCAGGGCTCTCAGCACCCGACATCTGGCCCTACCTAAAAGAGTAGAGCGAGGTTTACGATCAATCGTTAACGCCTGCGACTTTAGCCGAAGCTTGGGTTGGTATGGCTCGCATTGCGTAGGGCGCCGAGATAGGTTTTTTTTTTCGCATCAAGATTCATTCGTCCACCACCCGATACCTCCGGTGGTTCGGTGTAGCTGGACGCTTATGGATGGCCCGTGGAGATTCGAGATGAGCACGGCCACTCGGACTTCAACGACCCAGACTAGCTGTGAGCCGCCCCACCATGTCGATTCACGGTCACTGCAAAGTCGGCGTCGGCGTCAACTACAGGCAAAAGAACGAGATGGTGGACTCGTGGCTCAAGGTCTTGAGCCTCATCTTGATCGACTTCGTCCTGTCCCATCTCGTGGGCTCGGCTCTTCATACCTGCTAACGAGTACCAGAGCAGAATGACCTAGACAAATATCCGATATGCGAGGAACCCTAGATCTAATTTTTATCTCCGCCAACACTACCTAGTGGTTCGCTTTGCACTTGTCGGAGATTCCTGCGCATCGGACTACCGAAACGTTTCGCGGCCCCAGAACTAGCCACCTCGTGGTCCGTGCACCTCCGTTCCGCACCTTGAGCATACTGTGCTCACCAGACCATTATACAACAGAAGGGAATAGGTGTGTAAGGCCTCCTAAACTGCGCTTCGTTTCAATACACTGCGCATGTTTAAGGTTTGGTCGAATCGCCTGCGGAACGTGTTCCTGTGGCTCCAGGGCTGTGATGGCACTCAGGATCCTCTCCGAGACGGCCCAACTCAACCGATGGGATCCTGAACGTCATTGGCACTCCGTACAGCAGGGATTTGTTGCCACTAGTCTGCGCGTTTAAGCTGCTCTTGTGCAGTGTACACGAGCTACGAAGCCTTACTCCTACGTCTCTCCGCCATGCCTGACCATACGGACACAGCTATTGCGACAGCGCATATCTATAATGAATAACCTATCTAGCTCCGGACTAGGCGAAGCGCTTTGCCTGTCATCCTTCAGGCCAACCCAGCACGAGGCTGAAAAGTCCCTTACTCATCTCCGTTACACGCTCGGAACATCCAAGTACCCAGAAACTATGACAAGCTAGCCAACCAACGTCCGGACATGAAAGCATCCGCCTCAAAACATCTCGGCAAGGCGTTGCAGCTCAATGCTCGGCTATGTTTCCGACTGGAAGAAACAAACTCGTCGCCATGGAAGGATGCTTGTCGGCGGCCTGGAATGTCAAGCACAAAGACATGATCCTCCATCCCAAAGATGCCGGCTTTGTTCCTTTGTATAAGAAGACGCCCGCCCGTAACACCTCCGACAAAGCCACCATCTAGGTCTTTTCTCTTCAACCACAGTCGTTCTTTCAACCCCGAACCGTTCGGTTCATTCCATTCTTTTCCGAGCCTCTGCTCACTTCCATTCATTGACTCATTTCCGTTCATCACCCTGTCTAACAAGCATTTCGAAAATGCAGCTCAAGTCGATCCTCCTCGCCAGCGCTCTGCAAGCTGCCCTGACCGTCGCTGTCGACGTAGACATCAACGTCGACAGCTCCCGCGTCTCGCAGTTCCTGCACAGCCATCCACCTGGGAACCGCACGCACAATGGCCACAGCCACGACCACGTCGATGTAGACATCGACCACCAGCACCGCGGAAACAACACCCACAGTGGCGTCGACGTGGAACATCACCCTCCTCACCACGGGCCAAACGAAACGAACACTAACCCCTACGGCGGAAACAACATGCAGACGCGCGACGGCGGCATGGGAAACGCCATCATTGGGAACCGCTGCCCGTACGATATTTGGATCTGGAGCGTGGACCAGACGGTACGTCCCTCCATATCTCTCCTATCCACAAGCAAACATCGTGCGTACTAACGCTCAACCGCAGGGCAGCTCCGAAGCCATCAAAGTGCCCTCGCGCACGAAGTACTCAGAGCCCTTCCGCAGCCCCTGCGACGGCTGCGGCGTCTCCTTCAAGGTCAGCACGACGGACCAGCTGCAGGGCGGCAAGCAGACGCAGTTCGAGTACGCGATTGCCGGCGGCCAGGTGTGGTACGATATCTCGTTCGTCGACTGCGCGCAGGGTGAGGGCGCGGAGAGCTGTCCGGGCCATGAGAAGGGGCTTGCTATGGATTCGCCGGAGGTAGGTAATGGAATATCACTCAACCCATTCATCTTCACACCCCTCCTTCTTCGGCTCTGCATTACCCAGTTTTCCTTAGCGAGAGGAACGTCGGAATTCGATCAAACATGAACTGTGCTAATGTAGATGACAAAGGGCGCATGCGGACGCATCAACTGCGGCGGCGGCTCGTACTGCCCTACGCAGGCGTACTACGTCGACACGCCGCTGCAGAAGCTGGGCATTCCGGAGCCGGTGTTTGGCTGCGGGACGGCGGGGACGGGGATGGATCTCTTCATGAAGGTGTGCTCGGATGAGACGCCGCTGAAGAGGAGTATTGCTGGGCGCGTGGTTGTCGATGATGAGATTTGAAGGGGTGGCGTGTAACGACTGGGAGAGCGAGAGTGGGATTTTGTGTACCCGCTGCCTGCGGGAGGGAGGGAGGGAGATATGCTTGGGTGGCGGGCTGTATTGTGTATATATGGGGCGAGGGGTGGGTCCGCTGAGTGCTACTACTTACTCCTGGTGAGCGAGTTCGCTTCGCTGTTCATATGCTGTTTTGGTACATATACCATCTATAAACATCGAGAAAAATGTTTCGTCTCTCTGGTGGGCTATGACGCCGACGTTCAACAGAGACAGAGACAGTGGCAAGACTTCCTACGAGTCATCTTCTGTCTGCGCCCCATGCCAACGTTACCGATCAAGTAGGAAAGCGCTGCTGTCTTGCGAAGGCGATTTAACCGCTCACGCCGCACTGCCAACGCATCCAGTCCAGTCTCTCGGGAGTCGAAAATGACGACAGGGTGACAGCCAATTAAGCTGTCAACACCGCGGCCGTGCAAACCTACAATTTAGGAGGAGAAACCCGTGCGATGAGAGTCCTGAAGGTAGAGAGGGACTGTGCAAGGGCGTAGGAATAAAACCGCGCCATGCACGCGCAGACTGTGGAGGCTACGCGTGCTGCGCCGCAATGATAGTTCCGCCATCTCCGCACAGCTTAGCGATGCAGCATCCTCATTGCAAGCAAAATCCTCGCTGAATATCTAAAAGCGAGCCGAGTGAATTTCTTGCCAACGCGTAGACCTTCTCACACCACCCTGATAACCCCCCCCGTCTCCAGATACTTATCATGGCCCCTATCCTATCGCACCAGCCTCTCAAGGCCCTTGCTACGCTCCTACTAGTCGCCTCCGCGCCCCCATACCTCGCAGTACTCTCTCTCTTCTACGCCGCCAAACGCTGCCGTCCAGTGCCCGGATGGTCGCTCAAAACCGCCATCGGCAACGAGTGGCTCCGCCTCTTCTACCTCTACGCCACCAAAGTCCACCTGCGACCCTTCTCCGCGAGCGCATCCAAGCTGAAAGAGCGCTACGTCCTAGCCCCGCCCGGCCCCGCAGATCTATATACCGGAATCCTCCGCGAGGCAGGAGGCATCAAGCCATGTGCCATGCCGGCTATCTGGTTCCCCGGCCCGCCACCCACAGACACCACCGAGCGGAAGACGTGCAAAGTCGTAATGCATCTCCAAGGCGGCGCCTTCGTGACCGCCACGGACCCCGCGGAAACCGGCAAACTGCCCGCGAAGATCTTCGAGTCGAAGCTCGGCGCAAAGACGTTCTACGCGCAGTACCGGCTCGCGCGCACCGAGGCCTCGCGCTTCCCGGCCGCTGTCCAGGACGCCGTCTCTTTCTATCGATACGTCTTGGACCAGGGCGTCGAGGCGCGGAATGTCGTGCTCTCGGGCGATTCGGCGGGCGCGAACATCGTCGTCGGCTTGCTTCGCTACATCGAGGACAGCAGAGTCCTCCCCGTGCCGCGTGGCGCCATGCTCTGGTCGCCGTGGGTCGACGTCAGCGACGCTGTCTTATCGCGCTACGGCCAAAGCAAAAGCCTGCGTGTCGACTTCTTGGGCCTGGGGCTGCTGCGGTGGGGCAAGGACGCGTATGAGCCTGCCTCCGCGTCTGAGGAGAGTGAGAGGTATCTCAGGCCTGTGGAGCATGCGTTCCGCTCGAAGACGCCGGTTTTCGTGAATGCTGGCACTGCGGAACTCTTGTATGACGAGGTTGGAGTGTTTGTGGAGAGAATGCAGGCTGTGGAGGGGAATCAAGTGTGTTTTGTGGAGACGAAGGATGCGCCGCATGACGTCCTTGTCGCGGGGACCTTTACGGGGTTCGTGGAGGAAGCTGAGGAGGCGGCAGGGAAGGCAAGAGAATTCTTTGACCGTTGTGGTTAGGTTCCGTTCCTGTATTTCAACGGGCCTGGCTTTGGTCTTGAGACTTTTGGAGTGGTGCGGTGTGGTGCAGGGACTTGGACTTGGGTTTGAGGTGTAGTGCAGCCATGATGCTGTAACTAGAATGCTAATCCATGATAATTGCGATCCCAGATCATCTAGTCTTCGGTCTTCGCAGCATTGTCTTCCTATTGCATGTGCTTCCCCCGCTACGGTAGGAATTACCCCTAACTTAGGGACTTGTCCGAAAATTGGTCCTAAAGAGACCTCTATTTTAGAAGTAGTTTTCAGACAATTTCCCTGATTTGGGGAATGACTAACCGTAGTGCGGCCACCCATAAGCCGGGGATGGAGAGGAATCGTCGATTGATGACCGAAGAAGCTGAGCAGTAGTGAGGCGGACCTTCTTCTCGAGTAGCAGTGTACAGACACAGGATGGATGGAATTATGGGGCATTTAATGAGATGAAGGTCGTGAGAAACTGTTACCGTCATGAGGATCGAGACATCACCAACGCCATTCTAGTAACCTCCACTATAGCCTCCGTTTCCGCGCTCTGCAAGATATCAATGGGGCAGGTCATGCAGAACGATCGTCTGTACGTCATCCTTGAGGCTCGTGGTCAACCCTCAAAACTTCCTATGGGCAGATGAAGGAAAGGACTTCTGCAAGCCGAAAGAGCGATGTCACGAGGCAATTAAATGAGGATATCGAGTACGCGGAAACTGTTGCATTGATCTCTCCCCAGTTGCTTTCTAGAAGCCTCCAGAGATTGTTCAGACCGCCGCGAAACCGCCGCCAGGCACCACAGAGGCTCCCAACCAGAGCGTCCTCAGCCAGTATTCCCCGGGAACATTCGCCAATGACCACTCCAGCCGAAGCCGAAGTAAAAAGGTCGGCGCTTTTCAGGTCCCGTGGTAAGGCTCATCATCAGACGTCGCACAGAAACCCACTCCTCCACTCCTCCACTGCTTCACCCAACACACCCACTCTCCCCAACCCACACCTGAACCCAACTCCTGCCCCCAAATTCACTCCTCCAGCCGCCGTCGGCTCCGCCTTCGTCGAGATAACATAGACTAAGTCGGGGCTCTCAAGGCTTGCCAGGACCATTCGGTCTATCAGAGCCCCGCAAGCGGGAACTCAATATCTGTGGCCTCTACTGTCGCAACTTTTTACGGTATTGACCCGTCCGGTCCGCTTCCGCTAGGCCCAGTGTCGCACCGCCAAGGACCGTTCACTCAGGATGCCACCCCCGAGATCCAGGCCACCGATACTACCGGTGTAGTACCACGCTGCTGACTCTTGAACGACAACCGAACTTTCGCCTCCGCCAACCAGACTATCGGGAGGTTACCCTCGCCCTTCGAGTTACCCAACGGTCGCCCTCTGCATGCTGTTTCCAGACGTCTTAGGCGGCATGAGCCTCGACTTACCCCGATCTCAATGGGTACAGCATCCGCGCCGTGCGGTATCTCGATATGGCCCGTGGACGCGGTGGGGGCTTTCGATGCCGCAGAGAGGGAGGCGCGCTCTGGCTGCGGGGAGGAAACGGGGCGAATTGAAGGCACGAGAGCGGTTCACGAAGAACCAAGCTGACAAGAGGTGCGGTCTGAGCCGACGAGAGAGCGGAGGATAGGCAGAGTGACGAGGTGCTGGGCTGCAAGCCGAAGAGAAAAAGGTGAGGGGAGTGTGTGGAAGGAAAGAGCGAAGCTGCCGTGGTGACGGCGAAAAAGTAGGCGAGGCTTTAATTGCGCTCTTGGCGGCAAAACGCGTGCTGGTGAAAAGCGTGGTGAAGGCGAATGGGGAACGCGTCTCCTGAGCACAACAAGCTGCCGTCGACGCGACTCGGCCTCGAGTGCACGCTGGCCCCTTAACAAATGTAGAATACTTTGCCCTAGCACGCAGGGTTTGCTACGATGTAAACTTTACATGTGGTTGGCAGCACGTTTGGAGACTGTGCTGAGACTGGCACGAGTACAGATGCCAGGTCTTCCACGATGTTCGAGACAACGGCCAAAGCGAGTCCACCCTCTTACGCAAATCTGAAAGGCACGGGCAGCTGCAGCACTGATTAGTACGCTGGGCTACAAATACTGGAAATGTGCTATATCACAAAGTCCAACAGACCTCTTGCAAATTTCATAAACCAACAGTTCACGTCTGCTACGGCGTACCAACGCTCAAACACTCTGACACCGTTTATACAAAGGGTACCAGAGCCTTCATATGTCTGGTGCCATATGTCTGGTGCAACTGTAGAGACAAGAACTTCCGCGACGAGGAACCTCCGCTTGTCCCATCCGACTAATTAGGAACAACAGAACTCTGCACGCGAGTCCTCGTATCTCTAGGGTTGTGAAATTACTGGTACATTCACCATGACCATACGAAAGTCGCGTCGCGTAAGGCCCTGGCGCGAGGAGAGCGCGCCAGTGAAAACACGATTGCTACAGCAAGATATCAAACCGCCAACACCTCCCGCTCCACACGACGCGCTCCATCTGTACATACAACCCCCAACCTAGTTTACAACTAACAGATCTGTTAGGGGACCAATCATGGAGTCAACCCTCGAAGGACGGAACGACGAGCGTCTACTGCCGAAGCGATACCGCCCGCGCTCCCAAACCGTAGCATACAGCCCAGTTGGTAACCAACAAATTGCAGGCGTTCAAGATGGAGATGGAAACTTCTCCCAGCAAGCTCGAACTGCGATCCGGCCTTCGTCAAACGCGACCTCTCTGGTTTCTCAAGACATTCCATCCAATGGAGTCTCAATGCAGCCTCAGGACCATCCGAAAATCGCGACGAGAAACGCGCCACCACACGCCCGCCCAACGCAGACCACCATGCCCTCGACGCAGACTCTTCACGCAAGCACCACATCGCTTCTCCAGAAGACCCTCCATCGACCTCCGCTCTCACAAGCACACACTTCCCCTCCAGATGGAGCACGACCAGAAATGGCCCCATCCTGGGACGCTCCGATCCCGTCACAACCCAGTGTTAACATTCCTGGCCCTCTAGTTCGAGACCGTCGTCACTCCTATGCTCCTCCTGGGTCACCATCGATGATGCCAATCCCTCCGCTGAACATGGATTTACTGACGAAGGAGAACCCAGATACAAAACGCTATTCATTGCAATCCCAGGCAATGCGACCTACTCGAAAGGTCGGGCCTGAGGCCAGCCGTCGACGTCGATCAAGTGCTTCGCTCGGTCGTCAGGACACCGGTGCAAATCCCGGCGTTGGAAAGAAGGAGAATGGGGAGGCACGGCTACAAGGACGACCAAACAAGCAGATAGAGCCTCCAAAGCCAGCCCTGGAGCGAGCAAAGACTGACCCTGGCGTACCGAAAGCCACTCCGCGTGGCCCGCTTCCGGCAGGACTTAACGACCGAGACACGTTGCCGTCGCAGCGACGCAATGCCACACCAGCTGCTAGCTTTGACGAAAAGCGCATACCGTCGCGTCATAGTCCTGGAGCGCGCGCAGTACGGCGGAAGAAGACTGGCATGTTCAATCCTGCTCAGGAGGCCGGAGTGGCGTCTCGTCAGCCAGTGCCACAGGATGAGGGCGGTGCTTGCCTGTCTTCGACTCACGAGCTTGGAGACTCGGGTCCTGAGACCGCCATTCCTGCCGCTGGGCTTCTACAACCAAAGCCGTCGACGGCGAGTTCACGTTCACCTCACCTTCAATCCAAATGGACTCATCGCCGTAACAAGACCACAATCTCGGACCTCTTGTCCAAGCACGCTATTGCGCACGACACTAGTACCCCGTACCCATCTAGTACTGCAAGGACAGCTCCGCCTCCTCTCAACTACCCCTTCTCACTCGATAGCTTCGGCTTCGGGCCCGGACCGGTAGAGTACTCCAGTGCCAGCAGCACACACACAGCCATATCAGCGCCGCACTCAAAGCCCCCTTCCCATAAACGCAACACTTCATCCTCCTCTTCCAGCGACCCTACCAAGCTCGCCGGCCCGGGCCACCGACGCACGGCATCCGCAGGATCTACCTCCCTCCCCTCCGATGCAAAAACAGACCTACAACGCAACCCGGACGCGCTTTCCACACTCCCAGACGGCTGCACAACCGCCGAACATACACAAGCCAGCGCCGACCCCGACCCCGACCGCAATCCCTGGCACAGCTTCGCCCACGCCAATTCCCCCCATCCACCAGCGCCACTAGACCCCCCCGCAAAGCACGTCCGCTTCGCCTCACACGCCTCCTACGCGCCCTCCCTACACTACAAAACCCCCTCCTCCTCCTCCACCAGCTCCAACCCCTCAAACCCGCTGCTCAACACGCCCGAATTCCGCTTCCTGGCGCGCATCCCCTCCGCCGACGGCGAATATGAAGACCCACTGCACGACGCAGACGCAGACAAGCACGACGAAGCAGTACGCGACAAGCTGCACCAGGCCGCCGCAAACGCGCGGCTCAACGCGCGGGGCAGAACGCGGCTTCGACTGCGACGGCGCGCGTACAGCGGCGGTCTTGCGGGAAAGCGGTTCGAAGAGGAGGAGCAGGCGGGCGAGTCGATGCAGGTAAAATGGCGCTTTGCACAGAGCAGGCAGGAGCGTCCTGCTGCGGGCGAGTTGGATCGCGGGTTTCGCTTCCCGCTGCTGACGCGCGGGGAGGAAGAGGAGGGAGAAGGAAGCCAGGAGTCTGCTGCTGCGCCACCGCTAGGAACGACGGCGACGGCGACGGCGACGGGGAAGCATAAGCGCTCGCGCTCAGGCTCGCTGGGTCGGGTGCTGCGCGCGCTTTCGCTTTCGGGGGATGTGAAGGGCGGTCCTCATCCACAGGGGAAAAGCGGAGTCAGCAGTGGAAGTGGGAGTAATGGGGATGAGCGGGAGGCGAGGGGGGATGGTCGGGGGCATAGGCGTAGTAAATCGCTGGGTGCGCGGGTGAATGGGGTGTTGAGGGGGGTGTTTGGGAAGGGGGGACAGTGAGTGTCTTTTGGGGTTAAGGAGGGGGCGTTCGTTCCCGAGATGCTTGGAGATGTAGTTGAGGTTAAGCACCTCTGGTTATGAGATGGAAGCGACTAGACTGATGGAGTGAGAGGAGGAGGGATGCGAGATTTGGGAGGGAAGTGCAAAGGGGAGGAGGTTCGAAGCGGTGCATGCTGATGGATGGGGTCGAAGCAGGAAACTAACCAACATGCTTCGACGAAGACATAATTGATTGATAAAATACCACACACAAGCAAGGATAGGACATGCACAACGAAGAAACGCTCTAGCTAGCTAGCACAAAGCAATGCCCTCCCCAACCCGCCATCCTACCCGCCATCCTTCCAGCCCCCAATCCACACACCACCCTCACTGACAAACAATAACCCCATTATCCAGATTCTGCAGCCCCCCAAAACTAACATCCCCGCCACCAGCCGTCAACGTGCCCACGCGCTGCGTAGCCCCGGCATCCCTGAAAACATTGCACGAGCCGGAGCCCGTAACGATGCTGCCGCGGTTCGCCTGCACGGGGTTGCCCAGGCTGCCGAAGTTCGCGCGGATGCTGGTGCGCGCGCCGTTCTGCGGGATGTTGGCTTGCACGGCGGTGTCGGTGGCGTCGTTGGCGAGAAGGACGCGGACGGAGGCCTGCGCGGCGGAGGTTAGTTAGTGTTTTTGCGTTAGTGGGAGGGAGGGAGGCAGGAGGTACCTGGCGGGCTTCGAGGGGAGAAGCGGCGGCGAAGGCGGAGAGGAGGGAAGCGAGGATGATGGCGGTCTTCATGTTTGTTTGTTTGTCTGGGGAGCGGGTGTGGTGGGCGTTGAGGGGGGTTGTAGAAGAGTTATGGAGTTGGATGGTATTGGAGTTTTTGGGGCGCTGCTGGTATGTATGTATGAGTGAGGAGGTTCTGTCTTCTCGCTTGACTCTTCTACCCTTTTATACTTACTTGGTGTGGGCTGTGCATCGCTGCTCTATCCATCCACCCAGGATTATCAGTTACCCTTCACAGCCGTGTTGACGAAGCTGTCGCTCCACTCCGCCTCAGCATGGTCCTGCAAAAATCAGCTCGTTTCGAATTGACCGCGGCAACGAGCGCATTTGTCAACGGTGCTCTGGGGATCTGGGCTACTGTGTGGGTAATGGTCGATCACGATACGCCGATGACGCCGACCTAGGCTGTTGTCAGATTCCTCCGATCACGGGGTGAAGTCGCGTGTACGTGTGGGGAACACGGCAGTGGCTGAAGTGTGTTGGCGTGCTATTCGAGGAGCATGATAGTGCAGTCTTAGGTCAGATTCCGATGGTGCCTGGGAAATGGGCTGAACTTGTGGGGACGCTGGTCGTACATGTGGATGATGTGCTGGTGCGATGATGGAAACGTGTAGGAGCATGTCAGCCGCTATTGGTTCGAATAGATTAAAACTCGGAAGGGGGCCGCTTAGTGAGCAGTAAGTACCGAGAGACAGAAAACAGTCTTGGATATGTAGGAGTGAGTAATTGGCTTGAGAAACACCGAAGGCCTGGAACATGCGACGGGAAAGGCCGATTCTCTAGAATAGGGAAGAGGGTGATTGCTCGAAGGGGCTTGGCAAATCAAGCTCATACTGAAATAGAAGAGTAGAGGTGCACCAAGACATGGAGAAACTAATCGTGGAAAATCGTACGTAACCGAAACCTCGAATTAGAACCTAGAAGCAGATGAGACTGACAAGGCTAAGTCGATGGATGTGTCCGTGTATACTTGGAAGGCTGGTTGATGCTGACCGGAGACTGCCGATGCCGAAGAAGCTCGGTTGAGAATATTGAAAGATGCAGTTATTGTCGTACAGAACATAGCCGGTGCATCCGGCCGCCCTTTCTTTCCTGGTACGGTGTCCAACCCGATTCTCTATTTCTTCTGCGTAGCATCCTTGACACCTTCCTGTATCGACTTGGCCGTCTTCTCGACGGCATTGCGGTCAAAACTAAAGTGCGATCCGTACCGGTCCTGAGCACTGTTAGATGACTCCGCTCCCTCTCGACAAATCAAGGATGCATATATACATACCTGCTCCGCGCCCTCGCCCTTCATAGCCGCCAGCTTCTTCGCCCGCGCCCACCCGTCCGCTCCGAGCCCGAAGTGGCCCTCGTATCTGTCCTGCTCGGCGCCCGCGCCCTTCGCATTTAGTAGGCTCTGCGTGGCCTTCATGACCTTCTCATTGTCGAGGTGGAAGTGTGCCCCGTAGCGGTCCTGCTCGGCGCCAGTGCCCTTATAGCTCGCCGCTTTCTTGATGCGCTCGAGGCCGTCGGTGCTGATGCCGAAGTGCATGGCGTAGCGGTCTTGCTCTGCGCCGGGGCCGAATCTCGATGGAGGGTGCTCGGTGGTGGGCGGGTTGGTGGCTGGCGGGTCGTTCTTGGTGCTGCTGAAGGGATTCATGGTGGTGTTTGTGGGTGACGTATGAGGGGCCCGAGGTGCAATTGAGCTCTTTTAAGGGTGGGGGAAGGTCGAGGTGGGCGGTTGGTGGTGCAATTGCAGGTGGGGAGACATCTGGTGAGGGAGCTCAGCTCTTTTACCTAGCGAGCGGGGTATGACGTCGTTTGGGCCCCCAGGGCCCTCGATGATCGAGTGATCCGCGCAACACTGTCGTTTGCAGCTGCATTTCGGGCATGCGACAAAGTTTTCGTGCAGAAAAGAGACGTGACGAATTGTGAAGACGAAAGACAAGGGCAGATGTGAGGCTCTGGGCACGCGACGCGATTTCTGCAGGTCGTGGAGTCCTGCGCTTTGATTGGCTAGCTGGGCCGATAGCGATAACGACAAGAAAACGACTTCCCGTCTGACATCTGTTCTCTCCTTCATCCCATCTCATGCGCGTCTGTAAATCTTTGCTATGTCTTCCATATTTAACGTTATGTTGTCCGTCCGGTTCTGTCGCACTCCTGCACTGTCCCATCACAATGACATCACCCATCGTGCGTTTCCAGATCAGGCAAGCCATCTTGGCGCTGTCACGTGCCACGGGCTCTGTGCTGGCTGGCTTTCTTCGCAGCTCGAGCGTCCATGATTTCGACAAGAGTCCGCTCGTTTAGTGCCCGGCCACCAAGAGCGCTGGTTACTTCATTTCGGGGCGTGTTCCTGAGCACTTCCCGGATGGCAGTAGAGCTCACCTCAACTTCGCCAAACGGGTCGAGGAAGTCGCGGACCGGCACGAATTGCAGCCTCCGGTCCGGGTCGTACTTATTCTGGCAGATCCGAGAAGAGCCGCTCTGCTGCAAACATTCCTCGAGGCACTGTCTCGCTGCCTCCTCCCAGCCCTGTACGTTTCGGAAACGCTTCTCTTTTACTCGACGCCCTTGCTCCGGATACAGCAGATGCAGCACTACTATAGCTGAAACCTCACGCCGGGTTACGCGCTCCATGAGATGTTCTTCGGCGGAGCGGGCATTTTTCCACGCCCGACACCACCGCAGGGGCTCTAGCGACCCATCTGGCGCCATGAAGTAAGCGGGCCTGAATACATCACTCACAATTACCTCATAAACTTCCGCCCCCCAGAACCTGCACCCATGGTCCTTGGTCAGGTAATCCGGCCCGCCCACGACTACGAACTCGATCTTGAAGCCGTCCTTTGCTGCGGCCTCGAACAAGTCCTCCGTAATCGCACGATGTACTCGCATCCCGTACGGATTTACCAAGACCCACGGATCAAGGCACCTATCTTGCCATAAGCGTGCGCGGTCTTGCCTAGATAGGATAAGCGCGTCGGGTTCCTTCTCTTCAAACTTCTTCCTCAGGCTGGACTTGCTTGCCGGCGTGATGATCGCGGCGATGACGTTGGGGTATGTGCTACGGAAGAAGGCGTGGCAGAGTAGGAGTTTATGCCCAATATGTGGGGGATTGAAAGAGCCGGAGAAAAGAATCACGCGGTTGGTTATGCCTTTCTTTAGTGTTGGTGTGGGAAAGGTGGCTGACGGCCGGAAGAAGCAAGTTGGTAGCTCGTCATGAATATCGGGAGGAAGCACTGCGCGGATGTACTGCTCCAGGGGCACGGTCTTTGGCGTTGAAATGGGAGTATTGGTTCTTTCCGGACGCGCAACTTCCGGATGTGGCCTGGGCATAAGTGGCATGGCCGTGAGCAACGGTCGTGAGCCGTCATCGTCGCAGACACATCGCAACTCGGAGAGATGCCGGCTATGTTTCTGACCCATCGTCCTGAACGTAAGTTGGGGTTGCAGTGTAAATCGAATGCAACGAGGCCGCGGGAAGGAATTATCCACGGTTAAATAGTCGAACGTTCCCCTACCCCTAAAAGCTTTCACGGATGCTGTTCGCCGATGTCACTGCCAGGTGGACGAGCACCACATTTCACGGTGAGCGTGACTTTGGTTGTCTTTCACGACATGCCGTCCATGCATCCCGCGGAACTTTCACTTTGGTTGCAATGGGACCTTTCACTGACCTGGAACTTTCACTGACCCGGAACTTTCACTGAATTTCGTTTGCAACAATACCTGTTCACTTATCAACACTTGCAGTCCACCAGTAGGGTCACGGAGAGATGTCCTCGTCTTCTATACTGCTAGGATTACCTGTCTATTTTCGTCTCCTTCCTCCTTATATCAAGGGCCCTGAGCTATACCTTGGAATGTTCCTGGCCTGGTAAAACGACTCGATTGGAATTCTGCCTTACTTATTTTGAGAGCTATATCCTCACACGTCCGAGTCATACCCGACGTTCTTCACGGCGCTTCCGCTCCGACTCATCCTCACTAATCTATACTACCGGCCAGGAAGTGCTTTAAGGCGTTTTGAACAACTGTGTCGGAAATGAAGTTCTTCGCTACGCCCAAACGCTCCATCACTTCATCGATTTCGATCTTTATGCGGTAACACTTCATGGCAAACTGAATGCAAGAAGCCATAATCCTTCCGCGCTCCGTCCAGCGATACTTCCAGCCGAATAAGCTTCGCTCGGCCGCCTTGGTCCATACGCGGCGAGCCACCGTTTTGACATCGCCGTTGCGGACGTGCTGCTCTGCCCGATACTTTACTGGCGCTTTGGCGAGGAAGTCGTCGAGGACGGAGAACGCAGCGAGTTCGACGATGCGGTTACGGGCTATGTCGTAGAGAGTCGAAAAAGGACATTCGGGGCGTGGCGGGGCTTCGAACTTTTCGAGCAACAGCTCGTAGTTCCCAACAACGCCTTTCAAGTGGAGCGCCAGCATGACGGCCACCGTCGCCAGCGTCCCAAGCTCAGCGTGCACAAAGACATGGTGGTGCCGCAGCAGCTGTCCGAAGAAGTCCTTGGCTAAGCCCCCGATGTCGCGGTGCTCACCCATACCAGTAGAACATACCTCGTCCAGCTTCAGCATCATTTCCTCCTCTTTATTTATCTCAAACGCCCGCACGTACGCCATTATATCCGCCACGCGGGGAAGCATAATATGGCCATGCGGCTCAACATACGCAGGCTCGCACTCGCGCGCTATCCACCTAAACTTCTCCCACTCCCGCGCCTCCTCCCCCAGGTCAATAAACTCCGGCAACAGCGCATCATGCCAGCGCCGCAGCACCCTTCCCCTCTCCTCGCCGCTGCGTCGCCGAAAGCACAGCCGGCAATGGAACGACGCACCAACCCCCGCGTAATTATTGCGCGCTGCCCCCGCGCAACTGACGCCGCAAGCCGCCGCCTCCGCCACGTAAACCAGGTGGCCGCACGTCAGTCGATGCAGGCGCGAGAACTGCCCGTGGCAGATGCGGTTCTCGGCGACGCCACGGGCGACCATGGTGTCGGTGACGAGCGGCTCGATGCTGTTCCATTGGTTGTAGAGGGGCGTTTGGTAGAGAGGGGCGGGGTTGACGGCCGAGAAGACGTTTTGGTAGTTGCGCTGGAAGGTCAGGACGCGGCGCGTTGCGGTGGCGCGGGATGAAGTGTCTTTGAGGTTGTTTGCGATCCATTGCCGGACTAGGGCGTTTGAATGGTCCCGCCGGTGAATGTGCGAAGGGGGTGTGGCTTCTAAGGCTTGGGGGGCTGCTGCTGCTGTTACTGGGGCCGCTGGATCTGGGGCCGCTGGTGCCGCTGGAAGGTTCTGCGGGAGAAGCTCGATGGCCTTGGCGCTGGTGGGCAGCATGGTTGTTCCTTTGGAGGCCGAGAATGTTGGGATGTGGGATGGTTGTGTGGCATTACATATCATTGTGTAAGCGCGGCGAGGGGTTGGGATGTTGTTTGTTTCTATCTTACACTGCGGTTCGGTATCCTTTTATTTGGGGACTATTTCGCTTTCACAGTGGCAGATGGAAGCATTGACCATGGTTTGCTGGAGAGCGTGTTCAAGGTACTTACTCCCCCTTCGAGCTACACTAGATCTCTTTGGAAACTGGATATATAACAGTCATACTATACTGGGGAAAGGAATATTAGGAGATGTTGTCCAACTGGACTGAGGTACGTTGGACCTACGTTCAGTTTATAAAGCGACAATGCCTGTTGGTGCCTTCGGTGACCATCCTTCTCAGGGTGACTTGATGCGCATTGTGCTAGCAGCAACTCCTGGTCGCCGAGGCCCCGAGGCCCGGGGGTTTCAAGGGGTCATATCTTTACTTTTGACTTGGCAGCGCATGGGAAGCGGAACTGTGCGCTGCTCCGTGCTGCATTTAAGCTGTCAGTTTCCCTTCGCAAAAGTCCTATCGACACAACCCGAGACCGCAACACATTGATACAACTGCCTCGAATCCAAGGTCTAACGCCTACGCTCCGTCATCTACAACGACTTCGACCTAACTCTCGACCAGAAGCCCTCTACTATCAGCCGATAGCTCATACCAACCTACTCTGCTAAGAAGTCATCAAACTGAAGCTCACAGATATGGAGTCAGCACTCGAGTCGAAGACTCCAAATTCCCCACGAAAGCATCAACTTTCTTCGTCAGCATTTCTGGCTAAGCAACGTCGCCCCTTCGGTGTTTCTAAGGAGGCCAAGAAAGCCACTGGAGAGATCAAGAGCATCGAAGTCCAACTTAAGGACATTGACCTCTCAACGTCAAATGCTGGCCGTCCGGAAGGAAACGAGGGCATAATCTTGACGCCAGTGGCCGAACAGGACTTGGCACGAGGAATTGAGCGAAACGGACCATGCCAGGAGGGCCATTCCCGCGTCCACAAGCTTGAATGTGGCCACATTGTGCTGTGCGAGCATGCAACACCTTGCGGAAGCAACTGCCAGGAAGACACCGCCGTCTCGGACAATGCACGCATCTACTGCACCCTCTGCCTCCGTCGTGTGCTGAACTGGGATGTGGAGCACCACAACAACCGCTGGCAGGATCTGCTCCTGCCCACATTCATCATGGAGGAGAAAGAAGGGGCGGACTGGAAAACATACGAGAACGTCGTGAGAGCTTCTGAGCCAGCCTACATCGATCCCTCAGGCAACATCATCCGCCCTGTGACGCAACTCGCAGTCGCCCTGATCCGCTCCTACGAGCGGCAAAAAGAAACCTTCCTCAAGTCGAAGCTCAAAACCACCTGCCTAGACATCCTCCCCCTCCCCGACGAAGCCAAGCACTTAGTCAAAACCCGGGCCCTGGCCGACTTCAACCGCCTCCTCTGCCACCACCACACCTTCCAGCACATGGACCTGCGCAACCTCGCCGCGCTCGCCCTCTGCGCCGCCGCCCACGAAACTAGTCCCGTGCACATCGCCGACCGCCTCATCACCGGCGCCCTCGACGCCGACCCCGCAGTCTTCGAGCACTTCCGTGCCGCGCACGACCACATCGTCTTCATCGCCGCCATGGAGAAGGTGCGCGATTTCGTCTTCGACGCACCCAAGAAATACCGCGAGCATCCCCGCTGGGCGCACGTCATCCCCGTCACCAAGCGCATCTGGCAAACCATCAAGAGCAACAACGTCATCAGCAGGACGCAGCGCAAGGGCTTCGAGGACGCGGTAACCGCGGCGTGTGTCGTTATTGCTGCGGGCCAGTTCCGCATCGTGGTTCCGTTTGAGGATGCGTGCGCGGCGTTTGAGGTTAAGTCTGACACCGAGGAGCAGAGGACGGGGAATAGGTATGCGTATGGGAAGGTGGCGAGGTATGTCAAGGCGAGGGATTATAGGAGGCCCTTGGGGAGGCGGGTTAGTGCGAATGAGAAAGTGAGGAAGAGGGTTTTGAGGCGGGATAGGGAGACGGAGGGGCTGAATAAGGCGTTGGCGTCGCTGTTTGATGACTTCTAGTCGCTGCAAGTTTCGAGGACTTGTCGTTGCATAAGGCGGGTTTGCTATTGCGAGAGCAGGAGCGTAACGGTCTCCGGTATGGGTTTCTTGCGGGTTTAGTCGTCGTTTCGGAACTGTTACCGGATATATGAGAAATACTTCTAGAGAGCACTAGGTGTTCCCCTTTTACTGCTCCCGATAGAACCTCTCTCGCAAGGGGGGAATGTTGCGTTCCTTTTAGTCAAGATCAAGGTGTGTTTTCTTCCTATTAGCATAGAAAAATTCATAGTTCTATTTATTCAAATGCGAAATACCAAGTTTACTGTTCGTTCATACATAGTCGTGTGCTAAAATTCTGCCGGTGTATGGGAGGTCTAGTCGTGCTCAGGTCTACTGTTGTAGTGCGGGAATTTACATTCACGGCGTTGCACCGTCATTATCGGCCTTGATATCTCTGGCACATGATCGCCACGAAAAGAGGGGCACGGCATCGTTTCAGTGAAGTTTAAACATAATTCAAACCACAACGACCGTCAACTGCGAGGGTTTCAAGGGGGTTATTTAAGGGCAGCCTTGCGCCTCCCTCAAGATCTAGCGTAAGGCGTCCGATTCCAGCCCCCAATCTCCTCGCAATCCCAACCAACCACGGCTCGGTTTCCCACCCCCGTCGCGTTGCAGCCAAGCAAACCTTAGAAGGGGCGTACGGATGATCTTAAAACCTTCAACCCTGCTCGCGCGAGGCAATACCAACATTTAACTCCTAACATGGCCGACAGCAGCACCCTAGGACCATGCTGCAACATCGACCCCTCCTCCGTATCTGCGAGCGATCGAAGTACTTGGTGCCGCTCGCAGACTGATACCTGCAGCACATTGTGCGACGCGAACACGTCGGAAAACGCATGCGACGCTGTGAGTTCGCCACCTATGCGGGGAACACGAACGACGGGGCTAATAAGCGTTTGCGCCAGAATACACTCGACTTCAGCTGTGCATGTGTCGCGCAAGTCTCGTTCAATATTTCTGATTATAACGGGAGCATTCCGGCGTTCGAGTGCACGACGTGGATTCAGCAATGTGTACTGCAATCGTCGGTGAATGGTACGGAGCAGCAGCAGCAATGCTTGTCGCACTCTTGCGGCACCAAAGACGCCGTGGCCCTTCCTGTCGGGAGCGATGCGACTTCTGTAGGTAGTGCGACGTCCACGGCTGCTTCGTCGGCGTCTTCTGCAGCATCCCGGACTTCGTCTACATCTTCCGGAGCTTCCACCACAGCGACTTCTTCGTCTTCCACCACTCCCGCAGCCATCCAACCACCGCAGAAACCGGGAGCATCAGGAGGCACCATCGCCGGCGCCGCCATCGGCGCCCTTCTCGGCCTAACAATCCTCCTATTTCTGCTCTGGTATTTCGTCATTCGGCCAAGGAGGAAGAGGGGAAGGAAAATCAACGGATACGCAAACGGCGGCAGAGCGACGCCGACCACCGGCGCCGACGAAAAGCAGGTCGCGGTCCCCATAGCCTCCGAGATATCGCAGAAGCCGGAGCTTTATGGCCACCCGATCGGGCAGCCCAACGGTGCGGTAGCGGAGTTGTATGTGCCACCGCACCAGCACCGGATGCCTGGGGTGCAGCAGGCTTCGGAATGTTATCCGGCTGCAGAGGTGCCCGGGCAAGTTACGCCGTACCACGACAAAAATCAACCAATCAATCAGGATCCTGTGGAGCTGCATTCCTCCATTCAGGGATGGGGGACTGAAGCGCATACACCACCTAATGCTGCGGCCTCATCTGTCACTGCTACAGAGCCACATGCGACATCGGAGCCTACACCAGCGGAAAAAGATATAACAGAAACAGGTGCAACTTCTCCGGCTCCAAGCATCGCTCGTGTGCGGCAGCTGTCGCCGGAGGAGATCGCGCAACTGGAGGAAGAAGAGCGAAGGATAGACGCCGAGTTAGAAGAGGTGAAGCGCGTGAAAGAGCTGCGCGAGCAGAAGCTTTCTATCCAGCGGAAGTTGTGGGAAGCGAGGAGCGGGTAAGAATTAGGGCTGTGCGTTAAAGTGAGGTTTTCCGTGGTCGATTGCACGGCTATTAGATTATATTTAACGCCGTTTTTGGGCACTCTATCTTCGTAAAGAGGAAAGATTACGGTGTCTGGACGGTCAACGGAATCGTCTGTGGAGGCCTAAACGCAGGGTTTCGACTCCAACGGCACTTCTTAGCAGTTCAAAGACAATACGGAAATGTCCGCCGCTCATCTTTCTTACCGGGAGAGGTCGCAACCGTAAGATCTCGCCTACTAAAGATCGGACGAGTGGACTACTGGACGCGCCTTGCATCCCTGGGCAATTTCAAAGCACTATAACAAACGGTTTTATATTTACCGCATTCGATCTACGGCGATCCTACGAAGAAAGAGACGCAAATTCCCACGAGCCTTTCGGCTACTCCAAGGCCACAACCTTTCCCTGCGTATCGTTATCGCAGCCCTGTGTTCTACGATCTAGCCGAGTCTGAGATAGTCTCTGGAGGATCCGTGTCTCCCTTGACTTCGGAGTTCTTGCTTCCAGGCGCGACGATACGCAGAACGCCAAACTTCCTGGCCGCACTTTTCGTAGGGTTTTCCCGCTCGATATCGTCCGGCTGCGTTGCGAGCTTCTTACACCACTCCGTGCCGAAAGAAGGTTGGAACTCCTGGTTGATCTCGCGATCCCGCACCCTTGCTCGCAATGCAGGGTGTTCTCCCAAGAAACGGAAGACTTCATCTGCCGCCGGCAGCTCCTTCTCCACGCCACTCTCATACGCGGAAATCTGCTCGGCCAGCTTCTCCACCATGCGATACGTGTACCGGCTGTCCTTGGGTAAGCACAACCAAATCGATTTCATCTCGTCCGGATACAAAGGACGCTTGAGGTGTTCGCCCGCAATAGTGTTATCCACACGACTCGCATCCCGGTGCAGTCCGAATGCCATGAAGGTCCGCGCGAGGGAAATGGCAGCGAAGAGGTTCTGCGGTACACAGATCGGCCGCATGGAGCCCATGCACTCCCATTTGCAGGCGCGCATCATCCACGCAAGCATGATCTTGATCCCGACATGGTTGGCGAGGCCGCGGGGAAGACGCAGCTCTTGAGTCACTGGGCCGCCACGCCAGTTCTCGTTGTCTTCGCGCTCGACTGTGCGGAGGAACTTGGCGATGGCGGGACGGCTGCAGAAGAGGACCAGCATTTTCTTGGGCACCTGGTATGCGAAGACGGTGCTTGTTCCTTCCTCGATGATGTTGACTTTACGGCCGAAGAGCCCATTATGAAGACGCTGCGGGTCAATCCATGGCAGCAGCGAGTGAAGATCGCGGTACTTTCGGACCTCGTCGAGAGGAGGACATGGCTGGTCGTCGACTTGGGTGCTCCCACTGTAGTCGGATGTACAGTAGCCGCTATGGCCGGATTCACGATACTCGTGGCCTGCATCGTACCCGTGATCCACTCCGTCGTCATAATACGCGCCTCCTTCGCCTCCTTCTCCGTACTCCTCATAGCACGGATATACGGCGCTAGAATCTGCGTCGCTATGTCCCCACGAGCCCGAAGTATACGAATACCCCACGTAGGGCGCCGGGGTGTATTCGTTTGGATGAGTCATGTACGGTGGTACGAACATGGGTGGTGCCTGGATAGGTTGCATAGCATACCTCATGACGGAGCCATCGGCACCGTAACGATAGTACGTTGCCATATCGAACGATGAGCGAGTGGATTCAGTCGCTGGCGGACTGGCGAAATTCTCGGTCGGCACAGTTGTTACGTCGGAAACGGAGTTTGCTAGCGTGTTTGCGTCCGTGGCGGAGCTGGCGGAGCTTGCCCTTCCGTGCGAGTTGTCGTTTCCCGGAGAGGCAACAACCCGTGAGCAGGACGTGGAGTTCATTTGGAGTGGTTGCAAAAAGAAGGGTTCTGTGCGTGGAAGCGACGTGCAGGTTATTACTGGGGCGGAACGAGTTTTGTAGTCGCGGGGCGGATGAAGATAGTGAGGAATTGAAGTGATGGTGAACCGGAGGGATGAGATTGTGGCCACTAGCGCCTGGCGTCGGTGGTTGTGACTGCCGATAGGAACTTCAAGTGAAGGGGCCGCCAAGAAGCCCCCCGTGACCAAAGCATTCACTCTATCTTCTCACAACCTTAATTGAAGCGCCATAGCAAGTCCTCAGGTGTACGCGTATTATACGATCTTTCTTTGACCATAGGCGGCTTAAGGCCTTCTTTTCATTATACTTCATCTCCTGCTTTCCTATCTCGTTGCGTGTCCGGGAAGCGGATGTTTGCTACCTCGTTAAAGCATAAAGATTTTGCTGCAGGATTTTCAAGGCGTAAGCCAACCCACCCCAGTACCCCGCAGTACGATAATTCCCACTGCCCAAGGCCGGCAAGTTAAAGTGTAAATTTCAGCACGCCTCACCTAAGTTTTGCCCGTGCGTCACATCATCCCTTCACAAAGTTTTGCATTCACTACCGAATCCTCCCATGAAATCCTCTGTTATAGCCAGATTTTATTTTTCTACCTCAGCATTTCTAAGCCTGTTAGCCTTTTTATTTAGGGGCCTTGTCCATTACACGTATATTCCACCCTTAGTCATTTCGTGCCGACACCAGCCACCCATCTCAATGCGGGCTGCCAATCCTTCCTCGCCTGAAATGTGGACGCTTAAAGCATAACCATCGTCGTAGGCCCCGTCGCTTCTGTACAGGCTCCTGCACTGGCGGATGCGGTTCGCCGAGTCGCGTCACGTACACCTCGCTATCGAACCCTTTCGAACTACGCCGAGAATTTGCAGAAGGCCTTGGATGGGGCGTTCCGGCTGGTTTGGTGATCGGTAGAGACGAGTTCAGAATTTCTTGTGGTTGATCGAGGATTGCTCGGTCTGTAGAATTCCTCGCCGGCAGTCGGGTTGCGGTGTCGCTATCCTCAAGCTGGGATACTGTAGGAATGGTCGAACGTGAAGATCCGGGACGCTCAGAATAACTGACAAGCTTGGGTTTGGACACTGGGGTACCACTCTGAGCGGGTGCAGTCGAGGGTCGAGTCAATCGCGCAGACGGTATTAAGTAGAACCACTGTCCGTCAATCTCAATGCCCGTATCATCGCTGCGGTCTTCCCTGTCGCGGTTTGCCGAAGCACTTGAAGAAGTGTGTTCGGGTGAAGAAGACTGTTGGCTCCCAAAGCTGTACTGGCAAGTTGGGCCGTCTCGTATGGGGCCGCTTTCGTCCCTGAGAAACTCGCTCAACGTTATTTCTCGCGGAAGTGAGAGATCTGATGCCGACCCAAAGTATATCCCGTTTTCGCGCGGTATTCCATTTACCGTAGGTTGCGGCCGACGACCACGGTGGTGAATTGCCGTACCGGAACTATTGGCGATTGAAGTATCATCGTCGTCTTCATACTCTGACATAGAGTAGCGGAATGAATTTTCGTTCTCTTGCGGTGCATAATCCATGTTGACTACAACTGGGAAGCTTCAGGAAGGGCTGTTCGGCGCGGGGTCGATCGGAGGTGAGATTCGTTCAATTTTAGAGGCTTTTAAGTTCGTAGAGTGGGGTGGGGTGTGAGGAGAGTGAAGGTCCAGGCTTGAGACCACGCTTGTGAATGCTACAGAAGGCCCGCGATCGTCTATCGCGTTTTCACCAATGCCACCACCACAAAATTTTGATAGCGCCGTGCATTGTTTGGAGATTAGTTACGTTCGCTCCTGAGGCGCACCGAGAGTACGATGCTTGCGAACTAGATAGCTAGGTATTCGTCAGAACAGCGATCTCAAAGTGTAGGGTTTGATGCCTTACCTCAGAAGCCGCCAAGAATTGTAACGGCAAACTGTGCTACCGAAGGATTGACAAACCTCCCTCAAGATACCCGTTTTTACCTGACCTTCACCGCGAGCACTTGACCTCCCATCCCTGCTTCTGCTTGGAAGTCAGAGTGAAGTATTAAATGCCGCGTCGCAATTCTAAGTAGCGTTGCATTCACTTCGCCCCGCAGTCCTTCAGTCAATTTCTCGCCTACATAGGCGCCGCGATCTTTTTTCTTTGCCCTGCGATCGCCCCAACAAACACCACAACACCCACGCAACCAACAAACCCTCTCGACTTCTTCAAAGCTAATCAGACAAGGCCAATAGATCCACAAAAGTCGTCTATTCACGATGTCTCCAACGACAAGCAACCCCGCAAACGAGCGAGCTACAAACCGCCCGCCCGACAAGCCGCCAACAATCGAAGACCTGACCGAGCGATTGTCCGAAGCGAAGGTTAACAACTCGCAGGACAAGAGCATGGAAGGTTTGGCCGATGCGTTTGGAGAGAAATGGGCACCGAATAGTACGCATGCCGCGGAGACGAAGGGGTTGCAGCATGGTGCTGGTGGCATATTTGGGGGAGTGGGGAAATAAGACAGACTGAAATGGGTGGTGGGAGTGGCGGATGGAAATGTCGAAGTGCTCTTACACCACAACACATCGAGAAGTTCTTCTAGCACGGCGTATCAATAAGGGATTTCGCTGGAAATTTCGGAGAAAGGATAGGTCTCTGAGCTGTACCAGGATGGTGTATCTCGGATATCATCCGAACCAAGAGACCCGTTCAGAAGAAGCGCGAGTTCTTGAAGAAGCCCTTAGTATCTCACGCGCGGTAGCACGGCCCAATCTGTGCTGTAGCGCATTCTATGTCTAAAATCTACCACAAAATTGCCCACCACCCACGACCCCTAATCCTCCGCTCTTCCCCTCAACCTCCTCAACGCCTCTGATATCTCATCCTGAAACTCATCTTCCGCAGCCATCCTCCGCCCCTCATCCAGCAATATCTCCCGCACTCTCCTATGCTTAGCGGTAATCTCTACTGGCACCGTAATCGGTCGCTGGCCTTCGACAAACTCTTTGGGTACGAGCGCTACGACTTTGATATGTCTTTCCTCGGCGGCCGAGATGAGTCGTTCCGGGAGAGACGGACGTTCTTCGAGCAGCGCGGTTTGGAGATAGTTGCTGAGCCAGCTGAGGGCACGCATGATGAGCGAATGCTGTGGAAGGCTTGTGCGAGGCTGACAGTAGGGGTATTTTGCGTCGCGGTAGGAGTAACGAGCTATGATCGTTGGCGCGGATGCTGTCGAGGCCGCCTTTATTTGGGCGGTCGGAAGGATGAGGGAGGAGGATCTTGGCTTATCTTTTCTATCGGCCCTATCGTCGGCGATCGAATGAACGTGTGACTGTTTCGGTGAAGAATTTATGAAGTTGGTTCCCACTACCATGCAAGGAATGGGGAGTATTACTGCTGTCGTTTGAAGTTGTGGTTGCAACATTGCGTCCATCTTTCGTCGTTGGCGCGACGGAGGCTGTTGTGGTGGGGTAGGAGGGGAAGTTCAAAATACAATTGTGGTAGCGAAAGAATATTCAAAGATGCGCGTGCGTTGTGAAATTGTCTAGGCTTTCACTCTTTAATTAAGGTCTGATGACCGGAGAGAGACATAAAGTGTTCGGCTACTTGGGTATCGATTGGGGGGTGTCTTGCTGGGAATTGCAACTCGTACTGGCGGCCGGAAATAAACAGCAAGAATTCATGTAACGTTAGACCCAATGACTCCATTGTCAAACATGGTTCTGCTCCGGAGAGGCATCTGGGCGCTGATTTATGATGACCGGCGAAAGTGAAGAGTCTTGAACGACATGGAGCCGGTAACTCTCCGGTAGCGACACATGTAGGTAGGTAGGTAGGCAATGCCAGTGTTGGATAGGGATGCCTCCAGGCCGCAAATTGAAGGGTACGTTCGCAGACATGGACTTCAATGAACCATTCGAGCGTGACCTCAGCCGAACAAACCCGTTCTCCTATCACGTTAGCTTCCTCATCTGTTTGCGGAATGCACTACCATTGACAACTCACCATTTCCTTCAAATACCGCCACATAGCAGCAGCGCCCTCTTCATCATCAACATTTACAATCCTCAAATCGCAGCACCAGATCCAGGAAATCCCAGGAACTTTCCGACCATGGCTAGTCCCAGCCTTTCACCTTCTGATCAGTCGCACGTACTATGCGTCGGGCTCGACCAAGGGGATGACTATCCAACCACTGGCAACAGCCCAGAGCCTCGCGAACTCAGCCCTAGTCCCACGTTCTCCATGCTTCTGGACGAGATAGCCTCCGATAGCCATAGCCTCACACCATCTCCATCTCCTCGAGCTGTTTCTGCTCCTACCGGAATCGAGAATCGGATCGACTTCGACACTCCAATCTCCCGCCGCTCTTTCAGCGATCCGGGCCCCAGGTCTCCCTGCTACGTATACGCTGGCGACTCAGACGTGGATGAGCTGAAGCATCCGAGCAGAAGCCCAGTCTTAGAGCGAGAGCTCATCGATGAAGCGCGGAACCCTAGTGCAGAAGAGGGGATTGTTGATGAGACTCTGACAAAGTGTGGCGCTTGGGAGATCGATGAAGTGGAATCTGCACTTTCCGACGACGGTGACGCTGGGTCTGACTGCCTGAGTCTGTTGCTGGAAGTCGTAGATCTTGAAGGTCAAGATCGACCTGCGCGAGCGCCATGCACTCCTGGAGAGCCACCAATGAGATCAAACAGAACCTGCTCCATCGGTCCACCACCGACAAGCCCACTACCCCCAATCCCACCAGCCTCAAAGCTCCCAACCCTCATGGAGAGACCCAACTTGGATGTTCTGAACTCCCTCCAGCGCATGATCGACGAAGCGCTAGTGGCTATGTGGTCCTCAACAGACGGAGTCAAGCCCTCCAAAGCTCAGAACTGCGCAGGGATCGACATGTGGGATCCTTCCGTTTGGGAAGCGGGCAATGAGCTGACCGATTCCAGCTATGATGACGTTGGTAAGAACGCCGTGGATAAGCATGCCGAGCCACACCCAGGCACGCTAGTACGCTCATCGGCTCTGGCAAAGAAAGCGGAGTCACGCACTCCCAACACGAACCTCTTACATGGAGAAGCTAAACCGTCGGCGCCGCAACCGGTCAGGGCCCCCCAGGAACGCTCACCACCCGAACAGATAAAGCATTCTAAAGAGTGGAACCCCGTAGAACCCGTCGATTCTACGAGAAAATCCCTTCACGAGCTGAGGGACATGGCTAAGCCACGAGAGCTCGCCCAGTTGCTATCCGGACGCAGGTTCAGTATCATGAACGGCTCAACTGGCGAAATATACATAAAGAATGTCCCCTATCGAATGCTGAACTATTTTTGCGGGTTTGACGTTATAAATGGATTATTATTAAAGGACGACGACGCGCCAATTGCACTCGAAGTTCCAGACTCGAATGCCGAGAAGGGCGGTGTTGCGAGGGTGGTTAGGTACATGAAGAAGTGTTGCGCGCCACAGGGCACAAGACCGACCGGGGAGCTGATGGTGCCACCGAGCCTGAAAGAGGGTATTGAGACCGTTAGGGCGTGTAAGGTCCTGGGGCTGCCTGCAGATGCCGAGCGCATTCAGACTTACCTAGTCCGGGAGAAGATCGCCAAAGGCCAGTCAAGCATGGAGGATGTTGGGCTGCTCTGGAAGGGATACCGTGGGAGTTTGAGAGAGTCTGCATTTGTGGATGCGCTGGTGTGGTATGTTCTGAAGACCTTTATGACGGATGAGTATGCGCCGTTGAGAGAGAGACTAAGGCAAGAACTCGGCCGTGGGAAGTTCCGTGAGGAAACGAAGCAGGAGTTCCTAGAGAGATGCGAGGCGGAAAGAATGGGGGCGGGAGGGAGAAAAGAGAAGCAGAAGAGCGGGACTAGCGAGAAGGAGACACGCCGAGGCAGCCTGGACCCAAACGGCTCATCTTCCATTCCTCCTCCACCGCCGTTCAAAACAAGGAAGCCCAGCTCTGAGGACCAGATAAGCGCGCTTGAGTTCCTCACGGATGGGAGACGTAGCTATAAACCATCAGCGCGGCTGGAGAGGATTGACGAGTGCCTTCCCGACTCGCTGGGCCCCTATGCAAGGGTCGAGAGGACTTTTGCGAAGGCCCCTGATCCGGCCAAAGGAAGCAACAAGCCTCTTCCTAGTCGGCCCAGTTTGGCTAGCCCACGGACCCGCTCATCGCCCGTCAATTATCCAGCATGGTCAAGGCATCCAAGACCGAACGATAGGTCTAAGCGGCCGGGAGTGGAACGAAGCAAGTCCAGCTCGCATATCCGGGGGTTTTCCTCTGAGCATTCTGGAAGTGAACCATCGAAACGACCTGATAGTCTGAAGTTCAGGACATCTATATGCTTGAAGGACGCGTGGGCAAAGGTCCAAGGAAAGTGACCGCAGAACGAGGAGGCGATGGGTTCCAGTTTCGGCGTATAGCTGGCGTGTTAAGTCTATAGAGTTGAGAAATCACATAAACCCTAGCAGCCTTGAATAGATGCATGGCCGTAGGAGCGACTATACGCAGGCGGTGGCGAAGGTTGGTGGTTGTTTCAGTTTCGGACAAAAGATTATGCGGGGAAGATTACATAAGCGCTAGCACCGCCACAGCGCCACGACACTATGACGTCTGACAGGGTCCAGCATTCACGCCCGGCCCGCAGTCCTGCTGGCAATTCGCAGCTACATATGCCCCCATCCACGGCCACACCTCCCTCCGCCATGCGACGCTCGAAATGTCTACCGAACCCCTCACTCCCGCGCAAACGCACGCCCTCTTCGACGTCCTGATCCACCACCAGCTATACTCCGAGATCGAAGCCTTCAAGCACCCGGTTACCATCGACCAGTATGGCTTCCCGTTCCGAAAGGCGGACGGCGTGCAGACGACGTCGCCGCTGCTGCAGAATATGCTGAACAAGTTTGCGCTGCGGCTGCCGGGCCTGAACAGCGTCGGGCTAGAGTTCTGGCAGGAGAAGGTGCGGTTGCTCGTCGCGAAGCTGGGCGATGCCGAACTGAGCGAGAGCTACGACAAAGGCGCCATTGGCGCGAGAAAGGCTCTTGCGACGGCTACAAGCAGTCTGCTGGAGTATGTGGCCCGAGGCATGCTGGGCGGGTATCCCGTCAAGCGGAAGGATGAGGACAAGAAAGAGTACGACACCAGCAAGCCTGAGGACATACTGCAGGCATGGGACGACGGCATGAGAGAGCTGATATATGGCGACCTCCTAGATGAGCTTTTCACAAAGATGGCTGAGACGGATAAGCTGGAAGACCACTCGAGCCTTGTCCAGGCGGCGCACGAGTACATTCTGTTGAAGTGAGTTCATACCCGCTGCTTGCTCGAGCTACCCCTAAAGCGGACAGCCTCGCATCCCTTCTACACCATGTCTTCATAATGTCGCCGGACGGCCAGTATCTCATCCGCCTAATCGAGAACGTCCACCGCCTGGTCCCATACACCCTCGTCAGGCAGACGCTGCGCGTAGGCAATGCCGCAACAATGATCAACGGCATGGTCAGGCTAGTTCTCACAAAGCTGTCCGTCACAGCCGTCACAAACTGGATAGGTCTCACCAATAATACCGACGACGGTATGAATCTCATGCAGCAGATCATCTCGACTGTCATGGCTTGGGACACCTCAGAGTTCCAGAAGCGAGCGCAGAAGCTCGAGTCGTCCAGGGACGCGCCCGACAAGAAGGTCTTCAGAGTCATCAAGGCCTTCGTCTACGGCTCACGCGACCGACATGAGGCGGCCCGCAATATCTCCATCCAAGAATCCAAATCTATCATCGCCGTCATCCTCGAGACTGCGGATCCGCCTGTGGAAACCGAGTCCATCACCGAGACCCAGCACAGCGTCGCCATGGAATTTTACAGCAACTATCTTTCTATACGCGACCGTGAAGAACTCACCAAGATTCTATGCAAGCTACAGCCAGACCTGCTCACTTCAGCAATTCGGGATGCGGTCTCCGCATACGATCCAATCATCCGTGCGGTCCATAACGCCGTAGACCTTTCCGCTACCATCACAGACGCCGAAAACTTCCTCACGGATCTCATTAAGGTGTCTAAGCCTAAGAAGCCCAACGGCAGTGGAAGTCGAGCGGGGTCAAGAGCAAGCAGCCGGAGTAGTTCTCCGAGCCCCAATGCTCCAGCTAGTGTCACTGACACAGCAGGAAATGCGCATATCCCTACTGTTGAAGACTACGTCCAGATACTGCGGAAGCACATGCCCTCATCACACAGATTCCTACACCAGGTCGCCAAAAACGCTCCCGATCTTACAAACCAGTACTACGAATACGCGACAGCAGTGCTAGCAGAATTCAAAGTCGACGACGCCGCGCGATCCGCTGCAGAGAAAGGCGAGGCGGGGGCTGGAAACATGACCGCCCCCCTTAACTCACTCTTCGCCACGCTGCCGTCCGAAAAGCAAACCGAGCTCAAGATCCTCCTCGACAAACACAAAAAACATCTCAAGCACCTCAAGCAGACCTCCAACACCCGCCTAAAAGCCATCATGGCCTCCTCCCGCCCCGCGCCCCTTAACGACTCAAAGCCCCCGCCCCACCCGCACACCCGCGGGACAACCCACGGCCCCGGCATGTACCTCTCCCGCTGGCACTCGCTCCTCGACTCCGCCTACATCACGCCCGCCACGCTCAACGGCCCCGTGCGCCGCGGCTGGCAAGTTAAGGGCGAGCTCGACGGCAAAGGCCTGAAGACGGGCACGATGCTGAACAGCGCGAGCCATAAGCGGGTCAACAGCAAGGACAAGAATCAGATTATCAGTGTGGCGGAGGGCACGGGGGATTTGCAGGAGCGCCGGGAGAGAAAACGGGATGGCTTGGAGGAGGATAGGGTTAGGGTTGTTTGGGAGGGCATGCGGGATGGGTGGGTCGGCGTTTGTAGGGGGCTGGAGATTATGGGGATGGAGTAGGTGCGTGGCTGGATGGGGAGTTTTGTGCGGCATTGCTGGGTGCTGCATGGAGTGCGGGGGTTTGCGTTGGAATAGAGCATATATCAGCATTATGCAAATGCACCCCGCCTTGCATGCTTGCCATGCGAGTTTTCCGGTATAGTGTTACATTACACAGATATATATCCGACGAAGCACCTCACCGACCCGCAGCTCAAATATGCATACACAGGAGTACCCTCCAGCTTCCTTCCTTGCACGTGAACATACTCATCCCATTCTACCGCAAACGCCCACTAACATCCCCTTCCCCTTCCCCTTCCCCGTCCTTCCTCCCATGAAATTATCCCTAGCATCCCCGCCAGCCGCAAGCTCGGCCGAGCACCCATCATACTTCGTGCGACCGCGACCGAGACCGCGACCTCCATGCCCCGCCCCTGTGTCACCATCCCCGTGCATCCCTCCCCCGCACGGACGCAGCGCGTGGCGCAACATCCGCCCGTTTCCATCCGATCCCCCCTGCCACCAACGCACGCGCGATCTTTAAGTTAAGCTTAACGTTATCGCGGGGCGGGTGACCTACGGGTAGGTGGTGCGATGCATGGATCGATCGATACAGTGCTCGGCTCGGCTCGGGAGTGCTGGGGGTCCGGAGCGGGGCGGGGCGGAGTGGCGTTGGATGGATGGGTGGGTGTATGTGCGGAGGGGGAGAGGGTTAGGTGAGCTGCTGGTGGTGGTAGTGGTAGTAGTGGCGGTGAGTCTTGGGGTGAGCGGGGAGTAAGCGGGAAGCGGGTAGGTGTTTGTGTTGTGTTGTGTTGTGTTGTTGGTAATGCTTCAGCGGAGGTGGAATTTGAGGGCTAAGCTAGGTGAATAGGTGAATAGGTAAATAGGTGCGAAGATAAAATGTTCTAGATAGATAGATGGATAGATGTATCCAAGCCGTTATTGGTTGGTTGGTATTCGAATCGTTGCTACTGCCATTGCTATTGCCAAATTATCATATGCATGCTGTCTGTCTGTCTCCCTCCTGGAAGAAATGGTATCTCGCCTCGCGCAAAAAAATTCAACCCTCCCCAACGCCGCATCAAAATAATCGTCACCTCCTACCACATATACATCTTCTCCAGCCCCGTGTTGCCCAAATCAGGGACTCTCCACCCCTCCTCGTCCTTCTCCCAGGCAACACCGTCCACGCTAAACGTCCACGCCACAAGCACCATCCGCGCGACCAGCGCCACGGTCTCGACATCGAGCGGCAGACTAGCCTTCAGCACCTGCTCGACGAGGGTGCCTAGACTCGGGCGGGCGAATGTAGACGACGGCCGGGGCGACGTGAGGCTCGCGGGTGAGGCTGGCGTGGAGGGCGTAATATTATCTGACGACGTGCTGGAGCGCTTGTTGGAGCGGCGAACGCTGCCGCGGTTTGAGGCTCTGGAGAGGCGTTTCGAGTCTGGCGTCGTAGTAGAGGTAGTGGACCAGGACTCGGTGTCTTTTTGGAGGGAGTAGGCAGCTACGGCGTCCTCGTACGCGCGCTCGATTTGTTGCTTCGTGGCTTCCCTAACCGCGGCGAGCGCGTCGTGCGGCTTCATGTCCGGCACGAGGCACGTGAGCCGTTCTAAGAGCGTCGTGTACCGGTGCATCCGCGCGACTTTATCTGCTAACGCTTCATTAATGCTGCCGCCAGCAGCAAGCTTGCCGAGGCGTTCGCGCTCGCGGAATAGGATCCCCGCGTTGCTGTCTTCGAGCAAGGCGCCGAAGAGCTGCAGACTGGGGGCCTGCCGGTGCACCTTGTCGACGAGGGCTTCGAGACGCTGGAGGAGGCGGCCTGGCGGGAGACCGCCTGAGGCGACGAAGCGGACGGTGTTGATGAGAGGCGTGGTGGCGAGAGGTGCCAGGCCTCCGGTGAAGGGGAGGGCGGCGATGGCGTGGAGCAGGGGTGGTGTGGAGGTGGACGCGGGTGCTGGGCTGAGGACGTGGAAATTGGGTTCTTTGGAGTTGGGGAGGGTAGTGAGGAACCTCGAGCCTGGGGTCTGTGGGGTGTTTTTTTGGAGGTGCAGGCATGTGCCTGACCTGAGCGTTTCGAGCGTGGCGTTGGTGATTAGGATGGAGCTGACGGTCTTTCTGTCCTGCGAGAAGGGGAGGAAGCCGGAGGCGAGATGTTTGGCGTGAAGGGTTGAGTATCCAGATCCTCTGGCGGGGAGCTGGGAGACACTGCGCTTGTGTTGCGTAAGTGATATGTGGTAGTTTCCGTCATCCGTGGGCGCGCCGGAGATGGAGATACCGAAGGCGCCCTTGCCCAAGGACGACCGGTGTTCGGGCTTCTCGTTATCTTTGAGGTCCTGGAAAAGTTCGATTTGGAGCGCGCTTCCTAGGATGATTGACAGCGCAGAGAGCTCCGCTGCAGTCACCGTGATGCCTGTTCTTCCCTCGAAGTATTGCGCATGTTGGAGTCCGTCCGCCCACAGTTCGTGCACTGGGGTCTGATTTTCCGACTCTGACGGTAAGCTGTTGAATGTGGAGATGAGGACTGGAGACGTCCTTCTCGACCGCGCCCGATTTAGTCCCATCTCTGCCAAGTCAATCGAGTTTCGCTGCGGCCGCGGTGGTAATTCCGGCCGCCCAAGCTTCCCTGTCCGTAGAGACCGTCTTCGCTGCGGATGTCTTGTCGCTGCCAGGAATTTGGAAATCTCGCTGGGGTATGAAGATCGCTCAGCCATCGGCCGCCTCCGTAGCTCGTTGGCGAACGCATCGTATAGGGTTTCGAGAGGAAGACGACCGAGATGCGAATGCAGACCGTCGAACAGGGCCGAGGAGTATACGCCTTCGTCTCCCGCCTTGATGATGCCCGACAGGGTCGGAACCCATTGTCCACGGTTGCGCTTTGGTGTAAACAATCGCAGCAACGCGCGATCTCGCGAAAGGAGGGAGTTGTGAGGTGGTACGGCGTCGACCGAGTATTCGCTAGGCGTGTCTGATTGGTCCTTGGTCGATTTATGGACCCAGAGGAATCTTGCGACGAGAACCATGGCGGATAGGAAGGAGAAGCCAAGTACAACGCTCACGGCGATTATATCTCTGGTGCGCATCGTGACGGCGAGGCGTATTTTATAGACGCTGGTTGATGGCAGCGGAGTTAGTCGGAGGTTGATCCCTTGCGGCAGGCTGCGGAAGTAGGCCCAATCGGAGGGCGAGGAAGGCGCGACCACTGAGAAACCAGTGCTCACAGGCCCCACGCGCAAAACCAGGCGGCCACACTGACGGCACGAGTCATATGCAGAATGCCATGATTGGAGAGATCAGAGACAGAGAAGGAGTGAATTTGTAAGTCGCGCGAAAAATGGTACCAGTGCCTCGCGCCGAGCGGACAAAACTGCCAACAAAGAGGCATGCTTAGCAAAGATGATGGGGTTTTTGCTGAGCAAAGAAAGCCACCATTTCAGCCCTAACAGCGCGCCGCTACTGGTTAGAGTCATCGTTGCCGCTTTGAGCGGAGCCACATCTGGATTTCAAACCTTGGAGACAATCGGTAACGTGAGCGGCTATCCGAGCTTCCCGCGCACCGAGCTCAGATCCGAGGCCTTTGTTCTTCCACGCTTAACAAAATCTGCACCTGGCTCGGCCGCATGCGGAGAATGAAGCATGCTTGTCGGGAAGCGTGCAGTGCCTGTTGAAGATGCCGATCCTGCTCGGTCTCTCGGTCGTTCGAATAAGGATGCCCAAGCTTACGCCCAGGCCACGCTGATCACAGCACCACCAATCAGCTTGAGCCTCGCCTGACGCTCTTTCGATCGCTCTAGCTCTTTCGCGCGGAAGAGTTCATACTGTGGATGCGCGTTTCCCTGGGGTGTGCTCGCACTGGCAGTCGCTTCCACTTCAGGCGCCACCGTGAGAATTTAGGTGGTGGCTCGACAATTGAACCGAGACACAGCTTCTCTGAGGACAGAGGGGCTGGTCGCGGAGTGCCGCGGAGCAGCGTTCTGGCGTTGCAGAGTCGCACAGTATTTACCACTCCTTGGCAGTCGCGTGGTCCAGTGGTCAATCAGCCGAGGATGGTGCTTCCTGGTAGCCGGGTACGGGGGTTGCTGATTGCGCAGCAACCTTGGAATTTCATATGTACAATCTGGCCAAGCTCAGGTGGCAAGCATTCTGGGGCTGTCGCCGCCAATCAGCTCCTGCACCTTGACGAGCTTCTTCTGCGCTATGAGCACCGGGAACGGGTGTTGGAACATGAGGATGATGATGGCCCTGGTCGCGAACATCATCAGACAGCGTCGCACCCATGTCGCGTAAGCTTCACTGTGGGAGCTGGGTCGCTGGTAAGTGCAAATGGTGACCGACGTCCTGGCTGCTGCGGCTCCAACTGCAGCTACCCAGTAGTAGACACCCGACATGTCATCCCAGACACTGCCGTTGTTGGTTTTTTCCATGGCTTCGTAAAGAGCTTCCGTGAGGCGCGTTGAGAGAAGACGCGCCCCATCAAGGGGGTCCATGAGAGATGCAGAGTCGAGAAGAATCGGGTTCCGACCTGCTTCAGCGGCGACGGAAAACGGAACGCGCATGATAATAGCCGATGCATAGATGATGGCAGCAATGCGACAGGCTTCGTAGATCCAGTCATTGGTGGTAGGTAGGCCGGGCGTGTAAGCTGAAGGGAGTGAAGCCAGCTTAGCACGCATTTCACAGATCTTTGCATCGTAGTCCAGTAAATAAGGTTCCGTGGGACTGACGCTTGCTTCTTCGTCTACGTCGAGAACGGTCTCCAGATCAGAACTGTGGGCGATGAACAGGTCGGTCAGATCTCGCATATCGCACAGCAAATCATAGGTAAACTCAGAACAACCAGGGTCTTTGATGACATAGAAAAGCTCTTTCTGGGGGGCGAAGAGTGGCGATTCGGGTATAGCGATCGACGGCTCCGCTACATACGGCGGCGGCTCCCAGTAGTAGAAGAGCGGTAGCGGAACTGCCTCGCACACGATGTCGACGTGATAACAGATTCTGGAAATGGTGAGCTTTTAAGAGTAGATGATGAGCAGGAATAGACCTACGACGCAGTGACCTCAGCCACGGCTCCATTGCCCCCGAGACGTTCCATGCCACCACGGTGCGCAACGAGCCTTGCGATGCCGGATTCATGGATGCGGAGCGTCCGCTCGTTGCAGGACCACAGCTCTCCAGCCAGCAGATGAAGAATAATCATCAGCGTAGAGTCATCAAATTGCGTAGCAGGGCTACGGAGGCGCTCGTTGATCCAGCCAATGGATTCGGCCTTGACCAGAACGGTGCGCTTGCTCTCGCCAGAGCAGCCCTCGTGCATGTCCAGAAAGGTAGAGGCCATGATGGTGGAGCTCAGCAGAATGTGGGGATGTGACAGCATGGCGGGGAGCCACTTGGTGAGCGTGGACGGCGAGCAGAAGGCACGATTGCACTTGCGGATCAGGTAGATGGAGTTGAGCTCTGGGCTGGCGAACTGCGGGAGGGCGGTGAAGGGATCCACGCCGTCGCCGAGGCTGCTCGTGGTTGCGACTTTGGCAATCAGGATGCGGAGCAGCAGCTGGTCGTGCGCCTCGGAGTCCTCGTATTCGTTGACGCGCCGGGCGGCCGCGTTGAGGGGGAGCTCACGGAGCACCTCGTAGTAGCGCGAGGAGCGGGCAGGCGCGATGGCGGTCGAGGCAGGCGCCGAGGACGGCTCAGCGACACTCCCGCCCGGGTTCACGCTCCAGAAGGCCTCGGACGTCGACGCATACACGGACTCCTCGGGCTCCTCGTTCCACTGAGACATGAGCCTGCTGTGCGCCGCGTGGTACCAGCTGTCGTCCATGATGGGCGTGACGCGCGCGGCCGTGGTTGCAGGCGGCGTCGTCTCTGCCGGGCGCGTCTCCTGTGCATCGCTGCCCTTGCGCTTCTGCTCGGCCGACTTGTATCTGTACTGGATCATGGCCTGCGACCGCACGCTCCGCTTCGCATTCTCGTCCTTGAACTGGGACGGGTCGGTCGCGGTGACGAACTGCAGCTGCGGCGGGCCATTGCGCGGGCGCTTTCGCGGTCGTCGGCGGACCCGTGCTTGCGGTGCGGCCTCCCCCTCAATCTCTGGGGCCGTATTCGTCATATTTCGAAGGCTCTGCGACATGTGCAGCAGAGAGCTGGGTGTTGGAGCAATGGTCGTGGCGCTGGCATGTTGCGAGATGGGAAAGCTGAATAACAAGCTGCGAGCTGGAGTCTGGAGGGACGAGGGGCCTGAGCAAGGGTCGGCCCTCTTCCCTGCTAGCCCGGCGCTCTGGGTCGTCACAGCGCAGCAAGGGATCAGAGCTGCGACGGCCGGGACCAATTGGTGCGCTGCTGACGCTTGCGAGTCAGCCCTACCGTGTAGCGTGCCACACACTTGACGACGACCGCACCCGATGAAGCGGGCGAGACGCATATCTACGAGGGCAGAGTATGGGGGAGAAAGCGAGCGCCGTCCCCGCGAATGTTGCGCTATGTAATCACGATGCATCCGAAGAAGGAGATAAGCCAGCAGGAAGGCGCGATGGCGTAGAGGGCAAGCGCGGTTGGCGATGCCTGCCCGTTGGGGCGCTAGCGTCCCAGGGTTGGCCAGCATGTCGGTTAATCTCCAGCCGTCCCATGCCATGTCATGCCGCGCTCTGTTCCACAATCCATGGATCCAACATGTCCAGACGGAGTCTTTCATATTTATAGGCGTCGGTTACTCATCAATTCATGCCCATGAAGCGAACACCATCCCATATCCTGCCAGCAGTCGCATCATTCCACGTGTCGTAACAGCCATCCATGTCTCGCTTAGGACGCTCTCCTCCTCTCCAAGCTTACGGTCCCCTTCCCCCGCCCGCTCGTAGGCCCTCTCTGACCGCCTTTCCACTCTGAAAGCGGCCTCATCACCAGCTCCAGTTCCACCAACACCGGCATTTGTGACGGCACGGCGGCTACGGATAGATCCCAACGTTGAGGCGGTGTCGGAGACATTGGTGCCGGAGACATACTCGCATGGCAGCTTCACACCTGTGCCGCAGTGAGTGAGGCACAGCACATATCGACCACCGATCCACCCACCTCGCTTCGAGAGCTGCTCATTGACGCCCGCCCAGTGGTCGAAATCGATGAGGCACTGTTCGTTCCAGAGATGACGGGGCAGCGAATTGACGCCGACAGGCTCCATGCCCAGTCGCCTTGCCAAAAGCGCACTGGAAGCTGGTACTCCGTCTCGATACATTCGCAGTTTGACTTCGGGAGAAAGGAAGCGGCCGCCCGGGAGGTCGCGCAAGAGACGGTATTGATGCTCTAGGGGAAGCGAATCGATTCCCTCGAGGTAGAAATTCGCAAAGCCGCTCGCGAAGGAAGACATTTTGAGTGCAGATAAAGAAGTTCAGTTCAAATTGGATAGCCGCTGCGTTGCGTGCTTTTAGGAGATATCGAGCTCCAATGCGCTGGCGAGAAGAACTCGCGTTTGTGTGCGAATAAAATTTTTACCATCGCAGTGAATGACTACGCGCTGATTAATTCTCTGGGAACGAGCACGCATTTCCATCGTGTGCTCAATTCACTCAGCCAACACCCGAATTCCCAAACACCGTCTTCAAATCGTCCTCAAACAGTGGGGCGACGTGCCACAATATCTGGCAAAGGGAGACGTTCATCGGTGTTCAAACTTTGAAGAGTGCTACTATATACCGAGCTTAACAGGAGAGGAGCGACGTTGCCGGCCGTGAAGGTAATCATCCTTTTATATTTCGTTTGTGTTTGGTAACTGCCACCCTACTGGGTCACGCCCGCATTTCCGCATGTCACTTAACATGACCTAAAGTGGTCATGCCCTTTTCCTTGCTCCTACAGCCCACCCGAACTTTCCATTCGTCCTCTATAATTGCCCATGGCACGTGGCTTCTCTCAAGACATATTGATATCCCCTCGTGCCTTTAAATGCTGCAATCATCCCATCCTTCCTCCACCCCCTTCAAACCCCGCGTCTTCTTCCTGATCGCCTCAGCAACATGATCGTCCTCATCTCCAATGTGGTCCACCATCACCCAACTATCGCTCGCGGCTCTACCCCTAACACCTCTCCATCGCGTACCCACCCTGTTTCTCGACGTTGACTGCTCAAGCTGAGCGCGCGTCAACGGGTCGGGTCTCCTCTGCTCTACGCGGTATATACGACCGTCTGCCTTCCGAACAAAGATGTCCCCCGCGTCTCGCTGGAGCAGGACAGCAAGTTCTCCATCGGCCATGGAAAGAAGCGGATGCGGTTCGTCGAAAGCTGTAGGTTTGGGTTGCCAGGGGGTTTCCGAGGAGGGACGGGGAGAACGATCTCCACGTCGAAGTTTCGGACGTCCTCGAAGTCGGCTGCCTTCCGTACCCTTGAAGAAGTCTGAGAATTCGTGAACATAATTCACACCAAGCGTGTAAATGCAAACCAAACATACCTCGAACGCTGTCAGTCAGCAATAGATTCTCCGCGCCACCGACCGGGATGTTTATCCTCCTATGAGCTGGGCCAGCCATCCCTGGCACATCGGTCGCATTCTCCTCCATCGCCACCCCTAACGCGCTCGCAACATCGTCCCGAAGCATCAAGTCAAACACTCGCTTAACCGCCTTCGCGGTATCAGCACCAACGTACCGCTCCACGTGACCATTATCTTCCAAATCTCCCCGCCCAAGGACAACGTACTCTGCCGCCGGGAACGCCTCCAGCGGCGACACAGCATGCCCGGAAATACGCAGGATCGGCATTGGCACTGCGTCGATGCGATCAGCGTTGTCCCACCGAGCTTCTCCGCTCGTAGCTAGCGTGTTCGCCAGCAGCACCGTCTTTCTGAGGCTGCTTGGAGACGCGTCGTAGACGGAGACGCTGCGTGTGGGAGCTAAACGGTATGTGCGCTGGGGTTCGGGAAGGCCGAGGAAGTCGCTTGCGGTGGTGGTGAGGGATTGCTTGAGTTTGGCGTAATAGAACATGGTAGTTGGCGGGCTATAGGTGGGCGATTTGCGAGTTGAAGACCTAGGGTGGTTTGCGGTTGCGTGTTAGGCGCTGCGATGGTCTATAGGGTGATGTATGGGATGGGTGAATGGATTGATACTGGATTATATAAGACCCCCTGCCTATGCCGTGGGCTCGTGCTGGGGAGCATCGTTCACTGCTTTAGAATCAATGTGGACGCAAGCCGAATGCATGTATGCTTGGTAAATGCATCACCTCTCCACTTCTGCGGTATGCACACTTCTTCCCAGATAAGCCCCAAGGTCACATGACTCTAACACCACATCTCACTTTCCCATCTCCAACTACAAGAACCCACTTCTAACGACCCCAGACCTTATACCACTTCCTCTCCGCCCCATTCCTCTCTCCCCCCACCGGCTTCTCGATAACTTCGAAATCATCGGCGTCCTCAATCCCTTCACTGCCCGGAGTCTCGTCTTCAAATCCGTATTCCTCCTCGTCGTCCGCCGCTAGATCCTTACCCCCCGCCAGCTTCTCCTTCTTAGACTCCTCTCCCTCCGTCCCTTGACCACTCTCTGCCTTCAGTCCACCCGCTTCTTCTCCAGAAGTCCGTTCGCTCGCCTGTCCAATTGGGATATCTTCAAAGTCTCCGAAGTCCATATCCACAGTGGCAGGGGCGATGTCTTCCACACTCTCCTCCACGCCAACTTTTCCTTTTTCCACCACAATCCTGGCATCTCCCACAATCGCCCCAGCGGCTGCACTACCGACCTTCCCCTTTCCCTTCCCCTTTCCCTTTTCCAGCTTCGTCTTCTCTGTTAGGACTACAGCCTCGCTGTCGTGCGTAGACACACCTTCCTGCCCCAGCGCTCTCCGCACCTCCTCAGCGCGCAGCCTCCGCACGTTCTCCAGCGTCGCGGACATGGCGCGGCTCGAACCAGCGGCCGGCTTGCTGACTTCCTTCAAAACAGGCGAGCTGAGCGGTGTGCGCGCATCGCTAGTCGTGCCCGGAGGGGGTAGGCGTGCCGGCCTCGGGAGCTGGGGTACGTTTTCATGCTTTTTCCCAGCCTTGCTCTTCTCCCCCTCCTTCGGCGCTCCCTCTCCACTAGCAGCAGCAGCAACATCCCCCGTCCCCGTACCAGACGCCGACCCCTCCTCGCTTCCTCGTGCCTCCCTCAGCGCCAATCTACCCATCCCGCCTCGTTTCCTCGCTCTATTCCCACCCCTCCCCCGCCCCATCCTCAACACCCCCGCCCTCTCCCCCACCGGCAGCGCCGACGCCGGCGGACTACTCCCCCTCCTCCCCCCGCGCATCGAAATCCGCAATCCCGCGCTGAGCATAGCGGCGTCGACGTCGACGTCGCCGAATGCACTAGCGACTTGGGCGTATGTTGGCGTGGGGAGGGTTCCAGACTCGTATAGCATGCCGGCGCTGTGCGTTGCGGTTGCGGTGTGGTAGACCTGCGCCTGTGCTTGCGGGGGTGGGGGGTTGGAGGGCGGGCAAGGGCTGTCGTGCTGGGTGCGGTGGTGTTGGCGCCCGCGCCCGCGGCGAGAGGGTGGGGGCGGGTGGTTCTGTGGGCTGTTGGTGTTGTTGGTGTTGGTTGGTGTGGTGGTTGGTGTGGACATTTTTGATGATATGGTAATTTAGGTGTGAGGGGTGTGTAGCTTTCTTTGGTGTTGTTGGTGGGGAAGGATTGTGGGGTTGGAAGGAAGGTCTGGGTTGAGGTTGTGGTTGTGTAGGGGGATGTGTGGAGGGTTTGCTGGAGGGTTTGCAAGGTGAATTCTCGCGGTAAGTGGGCGAATGCGTGGAGTGGAGAGGCTTGAAGGGGGTGTGAAGGGGGTCTTTACTGCTGGCTTCTATACTTGCGTATGGAATACTGCAGGGGTAAGAGACGTGAAGCAAACGCAACGAATGTTCAATCCTACGGCCTACTATTCCGACCCCCCAAAAGTCCACTTAACTTCACATACATAGGTCAGATGCTGCTCACCACGGAAGCCGTGGAAAGTATGGCGTAGAAGCATTCAAGATTCTAAATTTTCATCCAGCTTTTAGCTACCGTCAGCCCATATTTCGCTCTCAGTTATGTCAAGGGAAGGTAAACAATGAAATGACGTCCAACCCGTCCCAATTGCTTCCCGAAAGTTTTGCTCCTCGACCCAAGAAACCACCGACATTCTTTTCCTCCTCGGAGCCGTCCCCTCAGAAGTCGGCAACATGATAGCCTTCCAAAGCCTCCTCGAGATCGACTACGGTGCGGAACTCACGAAGCGGGCCGCTAGGGTTCGTGAATGCCACCGGCGGCGAAAGCGGTTGACCTGCGCATCAAAATCAGTTTGATTCCATGTGTGCGCCAAGTGAAGGGTTACCGCCAGAGTCCCGCTTCCCCAAGATCGCCACCGTATCTGGCTTGACTTCCGCGTCCTTAGCTCCATCGATCTCGGCGACTGACTTGACAAGGCCGAAGTCGCCGGAGATGCCGCTTGGCTCCTCATACATGGAGAAGAAGGGGAATCCGTGCTCCTGGTAGGTCTTCGCGCTGATCGGAAGTGAAGGCGGAGCTTCTCCAGTGACGGCGCTGTAGACGGCGGAGTTGAGGATCTGGACGTTGAAGACAGTGGTCTCGGAGCCGATCCAGGCGTTTGGGCGCGGGTCCTTCTTGATGACTTGCTCGATCTTGCCGCCTGCTGCGATGCTCATCTGGTGGGGAGGTGGACCACCGCCGCCACGGAGGCGAAGAAGAAGATGCAGCTGAGAATCCTTGATAGCCGTCAGATCAAATCATCGAAATGTGGTGGTTGCGCTACCTACCCTAAGCATGTTGTAGTGACCCACGGTCAAGCCATCTGAGTAGACGTTAGACCCTACAATTTGAAATATCTCCAGGTAAATTGCAGACCTTTCATTTTACGCCCTTGAAAGACAAGACGCTGCTGATCCGGGGGAATTCCTTCCTTGGCCTCGATGCGGCACTTGAGGGTGTCGATTTGATCATCGGGAAGGACCCATATAGGAAATTTCTTGCCCGTCAAAGTCTTGACCTGGATCGGATACGCTCCGGTTTGGCCTTCCACAGAGCCATGCGCGCCAGCTTGTCGACGCACAGAGGTCCGCATTGGCGTGATCTCGAATTGCAGCCCGCCGACGGAGTCAGCACCGGTGACCTGTGATTCTACGGAACAGCCGCTACCGAAAGGCATAGCGACGAACTGGCGCACCGTGCCGTCCGAATCCGCGATACCGTCCAGCCAGTCCTGTGCAGGAACGACGATATAGTCCTGCAGCGGGGAAGCAGTATCATCACCGGAGCCAGACCGGTTGCTAGCTTGCCCGTCCTTGATCGCGGCAAGTTTCTTGAGGCGGCGCATCTTGGTCGCAGCTGTCTCTTCCGCAGGCTCGCCAGAGACGACATTCACGCCACCACAGTAGATCTTGATCATGTACGATTGGCTATAGTTGCAGTTGAAGTCGATCCACATCGCCTCAGATTCTGCAGAATGTAAGCTATTTCTGCTAAAGATAAGAAACTGACGTGCTTACGATACATAGGAAAGAACGCTCCGCCCTTCGCGGCCATGTCCTTTGGCAGCATGTGCGCATATCTGGAAATCGGCTTCAACGGGAAGGAGCCCAAATCCGGCGGGAGAGCAGACTTCTGGTGGTTGTCTGGCACGCGGATGGTGCGCTGGAATGAGATGCGCAGGTCGTTGTTCACGCGGATTGATGTCTGCTTGAGCTCGCACTTCATGCCCTTTTCAGCCATGGCGAGAAGCCAAGGTACGGAGAGTAGACCCTAGAGCGGAAGCCAGGAGCGATGTTCAAGGTATCGAATGGGTGGGAGAGGAGGAGAGAATCAGCCTAATATAGGAAAGAAGTGAAGCGAGTAGGTTTGTTCGGAAAGGCGCCTGCTCGGTGCTTGCGCGATCGCGAACAAAGGCAAAGGCGCGATTCTAGGGTCGAATTGTTGTGAATAGGTGGGAGGCAAACTAGCATCCAGCGCTAAATGAGGTCAAATCGCAGGCGGTGAAGGAGCTCGGGTGGCTGCATTCAAGGCACCAGTGACGCCCACATGGCGCTCGGAAATACAAGAAACATCACAGACAATCTCGCAGGCAAAACAGCAAACAGAAACAGTGCGACCATCTCAGTCCAAGATTTGGAGAAAAAAAAAATTGACAGAAAGGATGCCGTCACAATGAGGTATTATAAGCTGCAAGAGTGATTATATCGCACTACCAACACAGTAACATACAAAAGAATGAATAGCCCGAAAAGCCGATAACCGAATACAAATCAAAAGAGTGACAGAAAGCAGCAGACATAAGAAACCTCGTTACAGAAGATTGAAATGAAAGACCCCGGAAAATCCCATGCCCGAATAACAACCAAAGGAGTGACAGAAAGTAGCAAACATTACCGAAAGCCTCAGTGCAGAGAGTGAAATGAAGAGCCCCGAGAAATCCCAGGCCCGAATGCAAGCCAAAAGAGTGACAGAAAGAGGCAGGCATCATAAGAAGCCTCATGACTGAGTCCCAGGTTCTACGACCCGCGGACCTGGGCTTTCGTCGGGATAAGGCTCTCTCCCAGGTCCAAATTGTAATTCCCGTATCTTCGCGTCCGCGTGCAGATATCTCGTCCGGTCCTCCCACACTGGATCGGTCTCCTCCTCAGCCACGGTTCCATTATCCCACTTGAATGGTAGGCTCACCAGCTCTCGGGCTGGAAATTTTGGCTCTGTCCCTTTGTTGAAATAGTCGATCAGAGCATTCCAAGCCTTCCAAGCTGTACAAATATTAGCTCAGCGACTCTAGTTTCGATTGCTGTTCTTTACTCACCAGTCTCACTGATCTTTGCCTCCCTGTTCCAGTCCCCTTCGCGTATATACTCGTGTGTCTGGTGGGGGAAGATCCCATTGACCTCTATTTCCTTGCCCACTAACTTCGAGAAATGCCAGAGAAGATAGACTCTCGCCATGTTGCGGTCAGAGTCCGCCCAGGACCAATTTTCATCGGGGTTCAGACATCCGCCAATCGCACAACTTCCCTTGATGTCTGGGTGATCAGGGAATGTTCCATCCTTGATGACGAATTGGTAAGCTCCGCGAGGATGGACACAGGGCTCGCGGTAGAGGTATCTGGAACAGTCCTGGGGTAATAGAACGCCGCATGGGCCGGTACGGAACTCGCTGAATGAGAGCAAATGCCATCTGAAATTGTTCTGTTCCTTCTCTGTCCGCTCTCGGATTTGTTGCAGGCTAAGGTTGTCGTCTGCCATGATATTCGAGTTGCGGTCGACCGGAGTCGCTTTGCCGGTTTCGATGGAGCGTTGTAGTAGTAAAGAACTGGAATACCGCTGCAAGTCTAGCGCTGTCTCTGGAGGAGGAGGAGAAGTAGTAGTTGTGATAGTAGTTGCAGTGGTGGGGGAATGTAGAAGACGAAGACGGGTCCCATGGAGAGGCCTTTATATACCCCTCTATGACTGTCCTCCTGGCGCATCGAGCACGCCCCCGCCACGGAGTCATGATGGCGGACTCACGGCTTGCAACACGTTTGGTTGTTCCAGGAGTATGAGTGCAATATGTGCCAGGGTGTTCAGCTTGTCGGAGAGCTCTGAGTGTGTCATGGAACTTCTCCGTGCGTGAACACAATTACCACATAGAATACCAGAGTTGATCGGTGCGGCGATAGCGTACGAGTAGAAGGTGCGCAAAAGAGGTGCTTAGAGCAGTGGCCGGCAGGTGGAGGAGTCCTTGGACGCTCAAACTAAGCCAAGAAGAGTTAGTGCAGTGCCTAAAACAGTATAGTTTGCGTACGGCTGAAGACCTCTCCTGATCGGGTAATGCACGACAGTACCCGTGGACATTCCAAGGTTGCTGCACTAGCTAAAGAACACCCATTATGAATGACAGCTTGAAGAGAACGTTGTTGTACTCGGCAGGACCGTTCAAACCCCTCGCTTCTGGACCGCCCGTGCCACACTGCGTTGGGTGCCACTCGGGGTAAAGGGCAGGCGGGGCGCGCCCAAACCCCTCGTGCTGGCCACTGGGTCTACACCCATGTTCATGACGGAGAGCTGTGAGTGTGGCTGTATCGGAGTTCCCGTGAGTAAGACAATTAGAGCCGTTGGCATAGATAGTCATACGTCGACAAAGTGTCACGAAAGACCCTGGAGGGAGTCAGAGCCCTGTTGCGCGCCACGGGCCATCTCCCGCGGCTCGCATCACGGTGGTTGACTGGCAGGTGGGTGCGCTCAAATACGACCAAGACGATGATTTAATACTCCCGGAATCAATCAACTATGCTTCGCCAGCAGCTGCCTTCTTTTTCCTACTCCGCCTCTTCTTTTTACCCTCGCCTTCCCGAATGTTGACACTAACTTCCGGGGCGCTAGCTCTAGTGGCCCCATTCGCAGGATCGGCGTCATCATCAAAGAGCAGCTCGAAACCTCCCTTTGGCCCTTCCGCGTCGCCGAAGGTCTCCATCCGCCACTGCCTCAGCCTCGCCTTCTTGCTCAACTGCTTCTTATCTTTCTTCTTCTTCGCCGGGTCACGGAACGCAGCAAGCTTCTTGAGGCCGGCGAACTCATTGAGCTGTTGGTCACTGGCAAGCAGGATGTCACGAGGAGTCATACCGAAAGCCGTGGGTGAGGTCTCCCGATAGCGGAAGCGAGCCGATGCTTTGGACTTGGAGGACGCGAGGGCGGCTTCGTACTGCAGGCTATCGTCTACGAGGTGTTCGATGAGTCGGCGGTCGCGGCGGGTGGCGCTTTTTGCCTCGGCACGTTCTTGCTTCCGCTGCTTGGACGACTTGTTGGATTGCTCAAAGCCGTCCTCCGCTTCGGTATTGGCCTCCTCTTCATCCGATGAGAGAGTGAATGCTGGTCGTTCCTGCTCCTCGTCTTCGAAATCCGGAATCAAATCCTTGATATCAATGTCGTCGTCAAACTTGGGCTTCTTCGGCTTCTTCTTTTTCTTGCCTGTGATGTCTCCGTCCCGATCACTTTCCGAGCTGGCGTTATCCTCGGCATAGTATGCCTCACCAAACCGTCTTCGCATCTCTTGATCCCACTGGTCATCTGACCAATCCGCCTCAAGGACATCCTTCCACTCCTCTATGTTGAAATCTCGACCTTTCAAACCCCCAATCTCACGGATCTTCTTCACTTTATCCTCCATCTCTTCGACCTTGAGCTTCCGTAGCCGTGCAAGCTCTTCCTCTCTCTGCTTCCTCTCTGCTTCACGCTTTGCTCTTGCAGCTTCGCGGGCCTTGCGCCTACTGCTCCCTTCGTCGCGGCGGACGGTGGTCTTGGCTACCGCATCACGTGCATACGTGACTAGCTTCTCGTTGGTACCTGTCGTGTCCTCGAAGTACAGATTGTAGGTGTTCTCCCACTCTTCCGCAGCAGCCTCCTCGTCTTCGTCGTCGGATTCCAGAGGCTGGAAATGAGAGTCGCCAGTTGGGACCCAGGCGCGAGTAGCCATGAAATTGGACAAGAATGTCTCGGGGTCCCTGTCCGCATTCTCTACATCTTCGGTTGTGAGATTGATGCGCTCTTTTTTGGAAACAGCCGGCCTGGGCTTAGCGACTAGGAAGTCATCCTCCTCATCCTCCGACCCTGCTGCTCCGTGGAGTTCCTTGACGAGGTTCCGCCTGACCTCCTCCTGCTCTTGGGCGTATGTTTTCGGCGGTGCCTCCTCGTCTTCTCCAGTGGCGAACTTGCCCTCGAGGAGATTCTTGGTATGGTATTGCTTCAAAGTCATGGACTCGTCCTTCCCAGGGCCGTTTGCGGCAGTCGCATCGTTGTCTCCTGTCTCGTGGTAGAACTGGACGTTCGAATCGTAGATGCGGGGATCTTTGGAGCGGAGGGCCTGGAGCGTGGCAAAGATGTCCTGGTCGAGGGCTTCGGTTACAAGCTCGCCGGCATCATCCTCGTCTACACCTTCCTCGGAGTCCTCAGAGTCGTCGTCACCGTCCAGGAGCGATTTGCCGTACTTCTCTTCCACTGCGAACTGTTAGCAAAGGGCGCCTTTTCGGGCTAGATTGACAGGAGCATACATCTCTGCTTCTCCTCGCGCTTCTTGTTGTGTTCGAAGCGGCTGGCGTACTCCTCGTTGACCCTGAGGGACGCTGCGCCGTCCTCCTCGTCCGACCCGTCACCATCAAGCAGTGTGACCCTCTTCGTCTGCGAGTTGTCTGATAGCGTCTTCGGCAGTTCCTCCTCCTTCGGCAGTCTGGCCTCTGCACGCTTCTGCAGCTTCGGCTTCTTCGCGCGTCGCAGTTCCGCAGGGGTCTCAAGTGCAATAAAGTCGTCGCCCTCGTCGAAGGGGCGCTTGACGCGCTTGGAACGCTTCTCGCCCTTCGATTTCGCCATGTCGACTTGTCGCGGGAGAAACGCAGGCGCCGGATCGCGGTGCACAGAAATTTCGGGCGCGACGCCAAGAGTTCGGGCTCGGAACGGAGAAACCCTGGCCGAAAGCGGAACTGACGTCGATCCCCAGGCAGTGACAGCTCGGCGCGCCGCCCCCAGCACCGAAGCATGAAAGAAAGCGCGACACTTTGCCAGCACAATTCCCGGGCTTTTCGCCATGTACTATAGCTTCAATGTCTAGCTTTGCGCCATTCTCTTGTACATATCCACATCCCTCGACACACAAAGACCGGTAGCATGGCCGAGGACCCATCGCCGCAGCCGGTGCTGGAGCCCGTCGCGAAGCCGCTGGCCCTGATGTATACTCCCCCGTCCTGCTGCGTGAACGCCTGGAGACTAATGCAGACGCAGTCCCGTCGTGATCAAGGAGGCTGCCCTCGACTCCCCGACGTTTCGCGCGACAGCCGTCCACTTCAGCGACCAGATCGACCTCATCGAACGATGGCTCGACGGCTACGTGCGCGCCGTGTCGAAGCTCGCCGCCGAGATGACCGCGCTCCAGACGCTCGTAGACGCGTACGTGCAGGCCTCGCACCCGCCCCTGCAGCTCTCCGAGGCCGTCCTCGACCACGACTACACCGTCCTGGCGCTGAAGCGCTTCGGCGAAGGGGCACGCGAGTTCTGGAGTAGCACGCTGCGGGGCATGAAGCGCGCAGAAGCCAACGTATGCGACCCGATACGCGCCTTCGTCCAAAACGACCTGCGCATGCTCAAGGATGCCCGCAAGAACCTGGACACGACACAACGCACCTTCGACGGCGCCATTGCGCGGTATGCGGGACAGGCAAAGACCAAGGAGCCCTCGTCCCTGCGGGAGGACGCATTCCAGCTCCACGAGGCGCGGAGGGCATACCTCAAGGCGAGCATGGACTTCTGCGTCATGGCGCCGCAGGTGAGATGCACGCTGGACAAGATCCTGGTCAAAATCATCACGGAGCAGTGGCGCGATATGAAGAATGCGCGTGACTCGACTAGCAAGAGCTTCGCCACGTGGAGCGGTGATATCGACCGCGTGCGCGGATGGAGCAAGGAGATGGAGAACAACGAGCGCGTGTTCAAGCGCGAGCTCCACCTGGCCCGACAGCAGATTGAGAACAGCGCCGAGCTCGGCTCACGGCCGTCGCGGGATTTAGACGACTACGCTGCATCGACTGTCCCGTACCTGAGCACGCAGGGAGCGTCTAATGCTAACCTGCACTCGCCCGCCAAACCGGATCCAGCCAATGAAAAGGCGGAAAAGCAGGGCTGGCTCTTCCAGCGCACCATCACGGGCAAGCCCGCTAGAACGTATTGGGTGCGCAGGTGGTTCTTCGTCAAGCACGGCATCTTCGGCTGGCTGACGCAAGGGACCCGCTCGGGTGCCGTTGAAGAATCCGAGAAGATCGGCGTCCTGCTCTGCGGCATCCGGCCTGCCTACCAGGAAGAAAGACGCTTCTGTTTCGAGGTTAAAACGAAGGACACCACCATCCTCCTCCAGGCCGATACTCAGAGCGACCTCATCGAGTGGATCTCCTCGTTCGAAGTAGCGAAACGAAAAGCCCTTGAGGACACTTCCAAAGATGCCGGCGCTCTCGGGACTGTTGACGCTGCCTTCTCCATTAGTCCTCCTGTAGCACCTGAGTTCGCCGCCAAGACCTCCGAAGGCCATGCCGCCCATGGTAGCGACGACATTGGAGCCCTCGACCGCGCCGAAACACTAGGAGTTCCCGGAGCTGACGCCTTAGCTGCGCGAGGTAGCTTTGACGTCACGCGCCGTAGCACCGCCGTCGACCGAGACGGTGAGGGCAGCAAGAGAGATCATGCCGCGAGGATTATGGAGAAGCTTGACTTGACGAGGAAATCCACAGTAGGGCCCCAGCTAAGTGGAAGCAACCCTTCTTCCGCCTCCGGTGGCATCGCCAGTCTCATCTCCGCTAGTTTGGCCTCCGCAAGTCATAACATCGTGCAGGTCGGACAGATTGCGGCCCCAGCCCCCGGACTTCCAGATACTCGCCTCGTTATGGGCCAAACTCTTCCGTTCAGCAGCTTGGCTCCCTCAACGCTTGCCAATCCCCCTGCGCCTACAAACCTGAGCAAGGCCGCCGTTGCCGTTAGTGGCGAACGTGGACTGGGCATAGGCCGGTCCGGGAACATGCCTGGAGGACTGATGGCCAATCTCTGGGGCTCAGTGAACTGGGGATATGTAAATCGCCTCGCACGAGAAGAGGAGGCGAGCCTCAGGGAACGGAGTCAATCTGACCCACCTAGTCCGATCCGTCCCTCTTCAGGACTTGATCCTTTTGACAAGCCGAGCGAGGTGTCTTCTGCATCACCATCTCCAGGTGCATCGACTCCGGCAAACGCAATTCATCGCAAGACTATCAGCTTGGGAGGCCCTACCCCATCACAGCCCGTAAGGCCGGGCTTGGTCACTGAAGACTTTCCGAACTACTACCCTCTCGCCCTCAGGATGCAGGATGCACAGTTTCGCATCCTCTTCCCCACCGTTCCACGCGCAGAAAAGGTTGTGCTGGTTTTCCGCGCCGTCTGGAATCCCACCGAACAGCAAGAGTTCCCGGGCCGAGTGTACGTTACGGCTAAAGACATCTACTTCTACAGCAATCATCTTGGCCTCGTTCTTATTACAAGTATTAGCATGGGTACGATCGATGAAGTAACTGCTGCACCAGGAAAGGACTGCGACTTCTTGTTCCTACATTTCAAACCCGGTTCCAGAGAGGATGGTGCCACACGAATTACCGTCAAGACTTTCCTCGAGCCTTTAAAGCTCCTTCAGCGCAGGCTAAACTTCCTTGTCCGCAATGCTACCGCCGGCGAATACAATCTGGAAGAGATAGTCAAAAAATTAATCAAGATGGAGGTGAGCGACGCGGACCATTCGCCAAGCGACGAGGGCTGGGAGGACATCTCAGTCCACACGCCCATGGACCCTGGCTATGGTGGACGGGATGTCAAGACCAGTCTTCGCATCGACGGCAATCTGTTCGGACCCCCTGGAGCGAATGGCAAGAATGCAACCAAATTCAAGCTGCCGTCACAGCCCGTCATCTTTGCTCCCCAAGGCATGACACAAGTTGCGGTAGAGAAGGAGTATGATATCAGCGCCAAAGCTCTATTCCACATTCTGTTTGGCGACAAGAGCGCGGTCTTCCAGATGCTCTACCGAGAGCGATGGGCCCAGCGCATCGTCCAAGGACCCTGGGCGACTAGTGACCAGGGTCTCCAGCGACGAGACTTTGAGTACGAAGTCGCTCAACCTGGCGATGCCGACGCTGTCGTCATCAATGACTATCAGATCATTGAGGTCTTGAACGACCACCTTTGTTACGTAGTAGCGGACCGCAAGACCCCGTGGTACCTTCCGGGTCATGAACGTTTTGTTCTCCTGAGCAAAATCGTCATTACGCACGTGTCTAAAGCACGCTGTAAACTTGCCATTTACACCAAAGTTGACTGGTCGAGGCACCCTCGATTCGCGAAGAAACTAATCGAACGACAGGGACTACAGGATATGGAGCTGGAGGCACAGGATCTTGTCGACGTGGTTAACGACCAAGTGGCGAGGCTCGGGCACAACCGGAGCACAGGCAAAGTCACCAGCATCTTCGGCCAGATTGGCATCGTAACACAAGCTTCGCAGTTCGCAGCTGAGGACATCCCACCGCCGAATCGACCGCGCAAGTTCAAGCTGCGGCCGCAAACTACTGGCTCTTTCGTGGTGCAGCTCGTTGGCAACGTCGTCGTCAGCATATTATCCACCATCATGAGTTGGGTATTAGCGGCATTTGCCGGGTTGGGTAACGTTGTCTCTGCGCACACCTTCCTCGTCGGCCTCCTTCTCGTGAGCGGCGGAGCAAACTTCTTCTACTCCTCTCGTGACTCTTGGTCTTGGTGGAACGAGCGAAATGCGGCAAGTTTCATGTCGCGGCTCGGAGTTGGCCCCTCCCCGATAATGACGAGGTCAATCTATCTCCGCGATTTGGAAGAAAGCTTCCTCGACCTGAACGACACGGTCATCCCCCAACCATCGCCAATGAATATGGGAGCGGACAATAAATGGTAAGCCAGAGCTCCGTTACCATGTCGGTTTACTAGCGTGCTAATGACGATCGCAGCCAGCAGACCTTTACCTCTCTTCTCACCAACCCAACATCCAACCCAGCATCACCGATTTCGCCGTCGACGCACGCATCACGACGTCTTCACCATACGCGCCAAAACCTAGGTTCGCACCGTCACGACTTGCTCGTCGCGTTGCGCGTCGTGAACCGCATCGAGAAGGAAGTCGTGGAAGCCGAGTTCGAAAATTGGCTGCTTGATGAGACGCACAAATGTGAGCGCGTTGGAGTCATGCTGAGCGAAGATGATCGCAAGGAAAAGAAGGAGGTCGAGGACTGGATGAGGGGCTATTGCGGCGATTGCGAGGCTGCGCTTGGTATTATAAGGGAGGGAAGGGTCGGGCTGATTTGATACTCACGGTGAGGACTTGGTTTGTATGAAGACTTTGGGTTACCGTTCAGTTGTGGATTGATCTTGCATATAGGGTATGATACCATGGGCGGATACGTAGGTACGTAGTTGCGTTATCGAATTGAAAGGCTATTCTCCCTGGACTGTAGCTGGTATTACGACTAGCGGGTAAGCGGTATTTGTAGCTACGCGCTGTGCCGCCTTCCTGCTATCGGCGCCGACTAGCATCCCAAAGGAGTTCTTTCTGGACGAGACGCTCCCCACATTACGGAGCCGACTACGACAGCGCCTCCGCCAACGTTAGATTAAGATTTACGCGATGCATTCCCAAGGACGTGTGATCCAGGAACCGGGCACATGCGGGGAAGAAGCATTTTAGCCGGAGCTTCGAATTCCACCACTCAGGATATAGGATCTTTAGAGTACTTCAGGCCACGACGCACGCACTGCAATTGTTAGATATTCGGCCTTGAATAAGCCAATTAAGCAACATGTTGAGAATCACCAGTTTCTTCCTGTCGCTCGCAGCTCTCGTCACTCGAGGGAGAGCGGGGTAACCATTCCGCACAAGCAATCATTTGACTGGGATGAAACGAAATACTTGTGCGACCTCAAAGATCCCTGCCGTATACCAAATAACGGAGGCTGACATATCCCAGAATCGCCTTCGGCGACTCATACACCTTCGTGCAAGGCACCGCCGGCTATCCAGCATTCAGCTTCATCGGCGGCTACCTGCCGTCCCAATTCTCCTTCAAGCCCCAGCAACTCCTCTCCGACCGCATTGTCGGTGGCTACAACGGCACCGCCTGTGGAGGTCCCAACTGGGCCGAATATCTCACTGGCTGCGGCCTCGGCGACGGACTCCACGATCCCGCACAATGCCCCATCCAGCTCTGGGACTTCGCCTTCGCCGGCGCGGACACAACGGAAGAACTGCTCCCGCTCCATCATAACTACACCGTGCCGTTGGTTAATCAGACGCAGCAGTATCTCACGTACGCCGAGCCAGTCATCGGGCACCACATGGACAAGACGAGAGCACTGGTCGCTATCTGGATCGGTATCAACGATATCAACGACGCTGCCGGCATGCCGAACGTTACGTACCTGGACTTCTACGACGCCACGCTTGACATCGTGTTCGACGCTAGCGTGCAGACCATGTATGATGCCGGGTATCGCCACTTCCTCTTCGTCAACCTCCCGCCGCTCGACAGGACGCCTTCCGCGCAGCAGTCGTCAAATCCAAACCCCAACGCTACTATGATTAACCAGTGGAATTCTGCGCTGGCTGCGCATAAGGATGCCTGGGCGCGAAAACATGACGATGCGACAGCGCTGCTGTATGACGTGAATTCGTTCTTGAACGGCGTTATGGATCACCCGCAGAAGTATGGGATTACGAATACGACGGGATTTTGTGGGTCGAAGGATCCGCAGGTCTTGTTGGATCCGGAGAGGTTTGGGTGTGTGCCGTTGAGGGAGTATTTTTGGTTTGATGCTGGGCATATTTCGAGTCGGGCGCATGAGGTAATGGTGGAGGATCTGAGGCCTTTTTTGAGAGGGGAATCGGAAAGATATGGGAGTGATGGTGGACGGTGACTCGTTCAAATTCGCGACGCATACGTCTACGAAAGAGGACGAGAAAAGAAGCTCAGCCCCACCGTGCAAGAATAGCATCAACCACCCGCGTCGGCCTGAACTCCGGCCAGTACCTATTCACCTCCTCCGACGCCCCGGTGATCGCCTCCCCTCTATCCAGCACCAAGTACAACAGCCTAATCTTGCCATTCTCCCAATCGTCCGGATGTCCCGCAACCGCCTTCTCCAAAAACTCCCGCGACTCATACGAAACATCCATCTTCCGTCCCGTACGCTCCTGATACTCCGCCACAATTTCATTCAACGTCTTCCGCTCCCCTTCAATCGCAAACGTCGCATTCCGCAGCTGCGCCTCGTCAAACTTCGTAAGAGCATGCACCACATAGCGCGCCACATCCGCCTGTGTAGTCCACGAAATCGGCGTGTCCCCGCTCCCCTTCACGACCACCTTGCCGTTCGCCCAGTCAAACGCGCCATGCTCCGGGTGGTTGACGAGGAACCAGTCCACGAATGCGCCGTTGAAGAACTGTGCACATGGTAGTCCGATGTCGAGAAGGTGCTTCTTCACGCCGTCCTTGATCGCCCACATCCCGCCCGTCTTTCCCTCAGTACGGTTCCCGAACTCTGAGGGTACGAAGAGCTTGACGCCGGCGTCTTTTGCGGCGTCCGCGAGCGGAATTTGCGCCCGCAGGGCTTCGGGAGTTACGGTGACGGCGGCGATTACGACGTCGATGTTGCGTAGAGCTGCCGCCAGTGTTTCGGAGTTGGCGTAGTCGACCGTGCGGAAGATGGCGCCTTTTGCTTTTAGTGTTTCGTCGGGATCGCTCTGTGGAGATGCGCGTCAGCTGTATGCATGGCATGTGCAATCTGCGCGAAGGGCGTATCTACCTGCCGCGTTAGCACTACTACCGTGGAAACGGTTCCGGAGTCTTTTTGGGCAAGGAGCTGCTCGATGATTGGCGTGCCGATTTCGCCGGTGCCGGCTACTGCGAAATTCTTGTACCCGGCCATTGCTGGTGCTGAGACGCTTCCTTGGGGAATGGAAGATGAGGGGCCTGAACCGCACCAGCTTGCCTGCTGTATTATGGGTGAATGGACGGAATGTCTTTGTATGTAGCTCGCTTGATGACTTCTGACGCGGATTATAAATGCGCGAATTCGTAATCAACAACACACGGTTGCGCAGATAGACGTACATATGATTCCAAATGCTCACCTGTCTACAGGAAAGCCATAAAACTTGCCGCAAAGATAGTATTAAAGCCCTAAGTAGACATATTAATGTAACGGTTACATGGCGGAAAGCCACCATCAGACAGACCTACGTTGCTTCCGCAACCCGTACGGGTGAGGTCCACTGACCTTGATTAGTGATCCGCAACATCGCGTGCTCTAACAAATCTCTCTTGCCAGGCGCATGGACATCATTATCACGGGCATGAAGAAGCCAATGGCTAGATCTCTTAAAGGTAGTATTCAAGAGAGCGCAACAGTTCGCTTGTATGAGAAGGCGCTCTCCTAGAACGGGCGTCATTGGAAACTGTATTTCTTAGTCAATAGAAGGCTGTGTGGTCTTTGCATTACATCTGACCTATACTAATATTCCACCTGAGTGTACTTCCTGGTATGGTGCTTCTGATAGCTTAATTGAAGCTAGACTCGTGGATGATGTCCAGCAGTTCTATAGTTGTCTCCGCTAGCTTCTGCGGTATTTCAATGTGAGGCGAGTGAAAAGAGCCCTTCAAAACCACAGTGTTCTGGAATCCAGGAATGTCGATACGCATGCGTTGGAGCTCCGGAACAAGTATGCGATCCGTTTCCGTCAAGATATACCCAAAGCACCCGCGAAAAGAGTCATCCCTGTATGGATCCCACTGCACAGGAGTGGAGAAGCAGGCGTATGGTTGTTTCGGCAAGAGGGAGGCTAGTCTCTCCGCTTCTTCCTCGGGTAGGTCATGGAATAGCATGGCTGTGGCATAATCCTTTCTAAATGCCACCAATCCTATAGACTCCTATTGACGAGATCAGACCGCGTTCTAATTTTTTTTTTAAGGATACTTACGTCGTGAGAAATCCATTCCGGAATGTGGGCGGGATCGATTCCCATAGCGGCCATAGCCGAGGTGCCCTTGGGTGCCACAAAAGCGGCTGCGAAGATAACTGCCACTACGCCACCCTCGAGCGAATGCTGTACCATTGCTTTCTTTGCGAGATTCCCCAATGCCGCAGGGCCGTAGACACCGCCGTACGAGCGCATGAAGAGTACTATGTCCCGGCCCTCGTGGATGAGGGGTTCCAAGACATGCTGGCGCAGATAGTTTGTCCGGATTCGCCGATGGCGGATTCCGGGGATCAAATTCAGGATAGGCGGGGGAAATTTTGCACACAGCCGGATACCCCTTGGTTTCGAAGGCCTGAACGAGAGGCTCGAAGAATTCGACGGGCGGCCACCCGCCCGGACAGACGACGATAGTAGGCTTCATACCGTAAATTTCTGGCACAGGGTAGGTCCGATCCTTGTGAGTAGGATTGAGAAGGAAGGTGAGAGTCCTTAAACAAGGGCAGAGTGGTGTGAAGTGTAAGCATTGGTGGAACAGAGCTAATTTGGCGGGACACGGACTGCCAGGAGTGCTGCCAACTGCCCAACGCTGCCCACGCCGCACACCAACCCCAGTCCTTGCACCGCCGCATGAAAGTGATGCGCATGGCACACAGCCATCCGAGGTCGATGTAGTCTGTAGTACTTGCAGTCAAGGATCTCTGGCTGCGTCGATCCATCCTTTAGTTGTTGCCTACCTAGGTATCACGTTCCTATCCCTCACCCGCAACACGAACGCGATTAGCAGGGAGTTTTCAATCAATCTCTAGCTTGACGGCGCGTAGCATGCGTCCCTGTTTTCTGAGTAGCGCGAAAACAGATCCTAAACAGACCTCTATTCTGTTGACTTATAGAGCTGCTAATGACCTCGGGAGTCTGAATTTCCCATCCAGGCGTTACTCCAACGTTACGGATGCGCTCGCCTACATGTCCTCGATCTACACTCTGACCTGAATGTTCCTTACGAAATCGCCGATCCATTCTGCAGTACATCGCTACTCGCCAACATCATCCCCCCTTCAAAGATGCAGCTGCCCTATTCCTTCTCCTTTGTTCTCCGGATCCTTTACATATTATATCGTCAGCAGAAGCCCTGCGCCATGCCAAATGTCGCTAGCGGTAGCCGTGTACTAACAATTGCAGATGGCGAAGCTGCAATGGCATTGTAATCCTCCTCAGAGGGCTCCCGTGGGAGCATATGCCTGTTCCTTAAGGCCCTGATATTATGGCGATAGTCTTTTCTGACTTGAGGTGGAGGCTGCTGAGACCAGTCTGGGTCGTCTGCACAATCGCAACCCTTCCAGAGGTCGGTATTCCCATCGTCGGTGATCTGCATCTTGTCAGTCCGAGCCCAACGTATAAAAGACAGATCCAAGCCAGAAGTCTACTGACCCCGTTGCATACTCCATTTTCCTCCTTGCCACAGCACTCGCTGCACCAAAAATGCTCTTTCCTAACGTCAGGGCACGGGGCATCGTCCGGGAAAACATCATCATCGTCGTTTTCGGACTCATCTTGTTTATTTCTCTGCTTGTTGCTCAGATTTCGCTTTAGAATCTGTACCACGAACTTTGGCCCCGTGGTTTTCTGCATGCCCATCATGAGATAAAGGAGCGCCCCATGTGCTCTCTAGAGCCATTTATCAGCAAAACCCGTTGTGGAGGGTCTCGGTCGAGGTATAGAGGCCACCAATATCGCGCGGAAATCCGAGAACAACGAGGTCTACCGTTACTGTTTCGATTCGCTTGACAGGCAGTCCACACGCTTTGGTTTGAGTATTATTGAACATACCACCAAGGACGAGCGAACCGCATGGCCGCGAAGTTGCGGCACGAAAATCAAATTGCGCGGGTAGTAGTAACACCAAAATGACTGATGGTTTCGGCATGGTTGAATTCTGCACATTTACAAGTCAACGTTTCGTTCATGACATGTACCGAAGAGCATGCCACAGTCGCCTATGACACTCTGCCAAGGAGGCACAGTTGCGGCGTAATGAGCTACCAATCACATGTCAACAGCCCAGAGAGACGGAGGCATGAGCGGTCTAGTCGTTACCACCACCATTTCAATTCATCAGCCCCCTATGAAACTTGGACATGCTGTATTCGTAAAGAATTAGGATGCGAGCAATGAGAACTGAGGTGCAATTTCAGGCCGACTACGTCCTCCGCATCTCTCAGCCCCAGTCGATCCACCAATCTGACCCACAATCCCTACGATTACCCAGAACTAGACCAAAGAAATGGATGTAAAACACATAGGAAGACTCCTTAATCAAACTTATATCCCTCCTGATTGACCGATGAGTACCTACGTGTCATCGGACGGGGAGATCTCTTAGGACACAATGGCGATTGCCCTTAGTTCTCCAAAACATAGCCCGTGATAAACTGGCCAACGTTCTCGCTAGCCCATGAACTAACCACATTCGCTGCTTCTTGGTCTGCACCGCAGTCGGCGCTTTGGACGGGTCGATCCACTCCACTCCTAGTTTGTTCGAGTCCACTCTGACTGGTACTTACGACGTCTTATTGAAGAAAAAAGGTAGTCGAATCCATCAGGTCTTCACAGTAGAGCTCGTCAACCATTTCCCCGTTCATAATGCCGCCCACGTATGCAGCCCCAATCAAGTAGTGGTTTGACCTCCTAGGTCCCGTATTTTCTCCTGCATCCTGGGGAACGGGACGCAACACAAATGGCACCGGCGGCCCAAACAGAATTACTACCACATCCCCCTCACGGGCGTCTGGAACGCAGGTGCCACAAAATCCACTTGTCGTTGTGAAAACGGATTTTGCATTCAATTCTCTCTTCAGGCACATGGCGTACTCGCTCGGTTCCGTGTCCGTGGCGCCCTGGTCTGTTTTCGAGGTAGCGCTGGGCCCATCCTGTTTCAGTAGCTCCAAGTGCATGTTTTCGTAAGCCGCGGGAGCCGCATCGTAACCTGACGATAAACGCTTGTTCGAGACCAGTATCTTCCAAAGGGGTTCCTTGGTCTTGAACTGGCGTACGAGTGGCGCGATAGAAGTGTCAAAGAGCTCCAGTCTCTCTTTTGCGTCAGCCACTGTGGCTTCCAGACTAGGAAGTTGCGAAATAAATTGGTCAAGATCTTGCGCCATGGGAACTACATGATCGATGGTGTCGATAACAAGACCCTCAACCTGAAGTGTCCGATTATCATCTAGTACTTTCCCATTCATGCAGCCCGAACCAGCTCCGGAAGCGCTGATACCATCCGGTGGGTGAAATGTGATGCCAGAAGGCTGATCCGCCAACTCTCCGGTCTGTCGGCAGAAGTCAGGAACCCACGACGGAAGGGGTGGTTGCTCTATAGTTGGCGGGAGTGACGGTATATACGGCGCCTTAGAACCGATTCCCGGCAGAAAGACGCCGGACAGAAAGTACAGACCTTCACCCGCGGAAAATATGTTAGACATCGCATCGGCATAGACGGCCGCACACGGTTTACGGTAGTCGGCCACCACAACCGTCTCGGAAGGCTTTACGAGGCTTAGGAGAGCATATACCCTATCTCTAGGATCTGTCGCCTGAGATGTCCGCGAAAAGAGGAGCAGTCGTCTCAGAGTCCCACCGCCTTCCTTCCGCATCTCGCAGCGTAGATCATCGAGGAGATCGAGTTTGACTGCCGCTAAAATTTCAACATCGCCCTCATCTTCCGATCCTAAATCAGAGGCATACGTTTCGGGGCTGGTCTCCTTCTGCGTCTTTGGGCGCGCAAATTGCATTCCGGTAAAAATCTCTCTGGCGATAGCCTTCCAACCGCGGATGAGAGTTGACCACAACACCATCTTTGTACCGCACACAACCAATGGATCGTTCTTTGCCAACGCAAGCTCCTGCAAAATCCAGACGCGAGATAGCCATGGCCTCTGATCTGGGAGTCCGAAGAAGAAGCTACCACACCGTTGGTATCGGTCGATCTGTTGTTTGCGATCGGCTTCGTTCCTATCGTTTTCGTCTTTATGCCGAAGGCCTTCGTTGGCTAGCAGCGGAACTGTGTCTAGTGCAACGTCGCTATCTTTGTCCGCCTCACCCAGCCAGATGATGACCCGGTCTGCCGAGGAGTAAATCTCTCCCATAAGACCAACCTGCTGGTTGCGTTCAATTATGTCTTTTTGATTGATGCAGACAGCGTCGACCCAAAGAGGTTTAGGGGTGCTTCCCTTGGGAAGTCGTAACCCCCGGAGCGCCAATTCCAGGTTCCTGGTGACGGAGAATTCCGCTCCGTCCAAGAGGATTGTATTTGGAAATGAGCTGGGTTCGCCTCCCCAGACGTAGGACAAGGCATCGAAAATGCCATATGTTAAGCTGGTCTTTGACAGGCGACAGCTAATCTTTTCGTGGCTATCCTGCGGGATGATTGTAAGGAGACGGATCTCGCGTTCGGCAGGATCTATGGGCGAGTATTGGAAACTGCCGCCGATTGACATGTCTAAGACGTGTCACGATATGCGCTTTGTCTTTCCGGCTGGTAGAATCTTCTTGGCTTTGGAAGAACAACTCGACACCGTTAATATGGAGAGATTTCGGAAGACAGTTCTGAAGAGGGATTGGGGTTACTCGAAGAGCTTGCCTTCTTGCCTCTGCATCTAAGCAGGCGTTGCCAAGGCTAGCGCGGTGCTGTGGTTGAATCCTGGATGGATGTTGAAAGCGGCTTAGCGCGGCACGTGATCTGCCTTAGTCATCAGATCCGACGCGAACTGGCGCCATGCCATCACGACTCCACACCCCATCCGCAACGACCCGGCCGCTGTCTCGATATAGATGAACGCGTCGAAGCCCTTTGCGCTGGCGCCCCGCAGCCGCGCCCTCGACCGCCCAGAACTCGACGTCCAGCGGCAGCCACACACGCCGCCGCCAAACACGCCGCCAGCCTCTCCCCTTGACGCCAACAGTCGTGCGAGCTCGCAGACGCCCCCAGCGACACCCTCGTCCTTATCTACGTACCCCTCTCCGCCGAAAGCGGCCCCGGCTTTCGATCACACCACACAGAGCGTGCTTGGCCGGCTGCAGCGCCTGCGGCAGGGCGAGCCGGACAGCGCGGGCTTCTCTGGCCCGCTGTCTGCGTCGCAATACAAGGCCTTGAACAATGCCATTGCTGCCGACAGGGCGCTCGAGAGCTGGGTCGAAAACAAGCTCCGGCGTGAGTGGGTGCAGAGCGGCAACGGCGGCGGCGTCTTCACGGTCCGGATGCCCTCCCGCATTCATGACGCCTTCGCGGACCTCCTGCGGAGCGCTATCGATGACGAGATTCGTCGCATAGGCGCTGCTGCGAAGACAGAGCAATTCGAAGAGGGCCGAGCTCGTACAAGACATCAGGCCGTGGTCAACGACTCGCACTAAGGTGTACCGCCAGGGCAGCTATAAGGACACCGATACTTCGTTCTCCTTCCGCCGTCATGGTTGCCCAATGGTGGTTATCGAGGTTTCGTTTTCGCACGACACACCGGCGCATGAGCTTGCTACGGAGTACATCAAAAGCGGCACGCATGCCGTGATTTTCGTCGACCTCGAATACCGCAGCCCCACTCAGCGAGCTGCTTCCGCCGCATCATCAGTACCATCCACCGCCGTATATTCCATCTTCCGCCGCTTGCGCACTCAGAAACCAAACGGCAAGTACGCCGTACGAACTGAATGCGTTGTCAATAATCAGCCATTTCTCACCAACACCTCGGACCCGGATACCATATCTGAAGGCCACCTCGCGCTCTGGCTGTCTGATTTCTGCCCGACGGACCGCCTCTCACGCGATGATGAGGAGGACACGGCTGTGCGCGTTTCACATACGAAGCTCGCCGCCATCCTTGCAGAGGCAGAGGAGGAGCAGATGCTCTACGATAGCCACCAACCCGGCCTGGATGCTGATGAGGATTACGAGTCTGATGAACCCGTAAAGCGCGCCGCCGACGCCTCTTTCAGCTCCTGCAACGAGGACCCGTCATCGCAAGAGAATAACCTTGACGATCCTGAGTGGAAGCCAAGCGGGAAGACGAAGAAGGCCAGGACATGAGGCGGGAGGCGCACGAGGCAGAAGACATGCGCGGAGAAATTAAAAACAGCAGTGTATCGAAGAAGGATGGGGAGTATGTGTTTAAGGAGAGGGCGAATGTGGCGCATGGAGCTTGCGCTTCAAAGATTTGGGAAGGAGGGTCCGTCGCTTGTATTCAGCGTTTAGCCTCGGCAGACACGGCTTCAGAGTATTGATACCCCTTGTCTAGTTTCAATTACAGTCACATGTAGCTTAATGGCATCACGCATCTACCATTATCGACGTCCGCTCCCGCCCGCCATGCTCCGACAAGGCATGAACCGGCAGTCAGAGCGCAGAGGCCGATGCCGATACTAACGCAGACCATCCCTTTCTAAGCACTACAGCGTGCGTCTGGCATTCTCTCTCTCCCGCCAACATCCCCGATCGCCCCATGATGGCGGCACTACTCAGCCTCCTTGGACAACGGCCACCCGAGCGCTAGCACTGAACAAGCGGTGTAAGCCAGGAGTCTGCGCCGCAACACGGAATTAATGGTCATCTCCTCCATCGACGAATACTCAAAATAGCTTACGACGACAAGCAAGAGGGAAAACAAGCGCGTGCGAGGCCGCACGTGGCCTGATTTTACGGCCTCTGGGCATGAAAAGTCGTTGCGCCATCTCAAACGTCGGATACGGGCTACGCGCGATGTACGCCAGATGGCTGCGCTGCGGGTGTTCGATGGCGTCTTGTTTACATCGCAAGCAAGGCCTAGGTGTGTGCAGTTACCAGATCCGGCAATTTACTAGCAGGAGGTCAAGGAGATTGCTCAGTATTGTCATGTCCGGCGATCGTTGTGGGAGGATCGTGAACGACAAGAGTTCATAGGCGAAGCGGCAAGGGGGTATAGTCACAGGTGACTGGGGCGCCTGCTCAAGGCCTGAAAAGTCGCTTCGAGGAGTTGAACGAAGAAGCGGAGACGATGCGGCCTTCCAGAGTGTCTCCCTAAATGTGCTCATGCCTGTCTGCTGGGATGTGCGATGGCCGAGACGTCTCCGAGGGGTTGGGGATGGCAGTCAGGCCGTTGTAAGGATCATCCTCACGTTGCTTGTACACATGCTGTCTTTCAACAGTGTATGGTCGGCCGCGGGGACCAGGCGACGAGGCGGCTCTTCCAAGTGGCGTTTTGACGTGGAGATGACCGCTAGCAACTAACGTCCTGCCGCACGATTGCTCAGCCCTGCCCACCAGAACGACCGCGAGGGAGACGGGCGATGCCGAAGGTGCAACGATGCGAGAAAGAGGAGGAGAGAAGAGTGCCATTTTACGCCGAGCCTTTCCGGTTGTAGGCGGCTGGAGAGGCGGGTGACGAAGGAATCTAGAATTCCCGTGATTTTACTGCTTCGCTGACTTGGTGGCTTCGCAAGCAGCGTCCGCATCCCTAGTGGGTAAGCCAGCGGAGGCGGAGAGGCGTTGATGTGCGGCTGGTGGACTGCGAAGGTTGGCGAGGATTTAGGGAAAGTAGTTAGTGCATTCTTGGGGCAGGCAGTTCACAAGCCTGGCAGCCTGACCGTATAATTGATGTGCTAGACAATTATCAGGATAGATGCAGTGCACATGTTGACCCTGTCGGCAGCCCTCCGAATCTCGCGCGGGCGGTCATTCGCCACTACTGAACCGTGTCGCGAGCTGTATCGATAGTGCGGTACGGCTATCCGTCAGGACTTGCAGCTACGCCTAGAGGGGTGCGTAATTTTCCCAGGCGGCTAGCGGTCCTGGCTGAGCGGTATAAGCCATATTCATGACGGTCTCTTTTAGGCTTGCGACTTAATTCTCCGTTTACTCACTGCAGACCTGAACCACGTCCACCATTACTGGTTCTTTTGCGCAATCGAGTGATCAAAGTCATTGATACGGTCTGGTGTGCACAATTTTCATAATCCTAATCTGGGCCGACTGCATGCGGATGAGCTGGACAACGTCTTGGAACTCGAACCGCTCAGAAGCTGGGCAACCCGCCGGTGGGAGGAGGCGGGACAGCAGATTTGTTCTCCAAGGGATAGTCAAGCTTCTCAAGGCGATTGGTAACATTGGCAATATTCGTGTTTATAGGCATATGGATTTCTGATATAATAGTAGGGTGGGAGGGCTGTTCATTCCTCCATCAGGACTGGAGTCCGAGTCACTCCCTGTGTTGGAATGGATGGCTTCCAAGGAACCTCCTCTGCTTTAATACGGTCGAGGCTTCAGAAACAAGATAAGTTAAAAAATACTGTCCGCAGAGACAACGACGCGACTTAAACAGATCTTTATTACTTGCCACGTATATACTCCTGGCCGAGTATCTCCCTTGCCAGGTCATTAGACTCGAGGATACAAAGCGGAAAGACACGGGTCGAGAGGGTGGCGTATTTATTTGAGGCCCTAATTTGTAGCGAACGTGCAGTGAATGGAATGTATAGCGGTGGCTGGTACCAGTCTATAAGAGCTTTGCTTTAATTTCGTCATTCCTTAAAGGCGCGGGTGTGAGAGCAGGTGTGAGAGCAGGTGTGAGAGCAGGTGTAGAGGAGAAATTGGCTTACCTAGTTACTTATTCTCTTTGTCATCTAGGTACTCTACTCGAGGACCATGCGAGCTTTCCAAGGTTTCGAGCCGACCATGTGACGACAACGCTCGCTTAATCTGACCGCACCTGGTTATTTCATCCTCAATTCGAACTGCAAACGCAACTTATGCTTCCACTCGACGTCGAACCGCACCCGTTTGAGCGGTTGTAGCCTAATTGTGGATCTGCACATTGTTGTAGCTAGTCACCGAAGAGCGCTACCATGTCAGAATACGACTTCGAGGCTTTTGAGCAACAGCGTGTACCAGTTTCGCAAGTTCCTACTAGGCAGCAACTACATACGTACTTCAGCCTCAAATCGGCTGAAGCAGTGGAGACCACCTTTCATGATTACTACCGCTGGCTGGATGACTACCGCTCAAACATGGACATTCAGCTCCTTCTCACGCAGGATTGGAATCGCAGCTCTGAGAAAAAAATGAGGAACGCCCTCAAGGCCCTTCCACATATTCCTATTTTGGAGTTAGGAACCGCGAAGGGGACGAGAACCCAACTCAACGTACATCCAGTCTTCGAAACTCAATATTATGTACCGAAAGGTGCTCCACTGGAGGCGCAATTCGACCCTAACCACGCTTACGGGCCTGTTCTGTACACGGACAATCCTCTACGAATGTCGAAGAATCTAGAAAAGGGCCGCAACCTTTCTCATATGACCGTCAATGACTCGGCGTCGGGCTTAGGCTTGAACCTTAACAAGCCCTGCAATACCTCCACAGAGGAAGAGCCGGAATCAGCAGCTACAAATCTCCTGCCCGCTGCTTTCTCAAAGTTTACCACGAAACTAATTCATCTTGGCGGCGTCGAGGCTTCCTACGTCCCGGACTTCACCAATTCCAGCGTCCTGACACTAGCACCATATGCTGCCATTGCCAAAATTAGTCCGGCAGGGGCGGTTGAAGGCATTTTTGCCATTCCAGTAGATGGGACGCGGAACGGCGACCTAGTATACGTGGACTTGGATATTGAAGCCTGGGAGCCGGAAAAGAGAGGTATATACTATCTTGGAAAGGACTTGGATGACTGCGCCCAGCGGGAGTGGACTTTGTGTGACGAAATTGAGGTTGTTGAGGTTGTCAGCTACGAGCAAGATGACTGATTACGTGTCAGTTAGCACTAGGCAAGCTTTTTCGGGATTTTCTTTCTATCAGGCTACACGCTAATACATATAGCATAAACTCCTCCACAACGTGTCTGGAGGCGAGGGCCGCTCGCACACCACCTCATAGATGCAGCGCAATAAACGCAAGAGGAGGAACACATCAGAGAGAAGATAGCGGGCGTCTGGTAGGCAAACGCCGATGCGCTGGGAAAGGCCTCGAATACTCCCGAGACCTCTTTCGGGGAGGCTACGTCCGTAATTCCTTATCTTTTGTTGATTTCATTAAACTCTTCCCATTGCGGACCAGTTAGAAAGTTCCCAATGACGGCGACTGCAGCTTCTGCACAGGAATAGCTCCTCTTATCGTCTTCCGACAAACGCTTCCAATCCGTCATGTCAGCGAGGTCATGATCATGACGAAATTAGTATCCACAAGAGCAGAATTGACAAGGCCTGCAGTACTGAAAAAAAACCTGTCCAGGATATTCCGCCCCCACTAGAAGTTCCAAAAATAGGTGCTTTCTGGTAGGTTCCTGTTTATCGTAACGTGTCCAACGGCGGGATACAGGGCGAACTCTGGCGTATCTTAGATGCATCCTCAAAGAGCGGCTTAAGAAACTCCTGGTAAAAAGGGTCCGAAGTAATGAAGTTGTCTCTTCGGTCCCGAAGATACTTATTGAGCTGCCCCTCAGTTGTTAGTATTAGACGTACGAGCAGTGCTACGAACGACCACGACTCCTTCGTGGCAATACTGAAAGAACATTAGGTTTTGTAGTTGTTCTCGAATGCGCTTAGCGTCTTTGGGGCTAAGATCGTCCAAGATCTGGCTTTGTTGCAGTTTCTTGACTGTAAGAAGCTGATTAGGAGGAGTTGTGCCAAAATTAGGGGGCTTCTCACGCATGTCCTTCAATTCACTATCTTCCGCATATTTTGAACCCCCATACCGCAAGTTGATATAGTATTGAATTGTGGTTTCGAGCAGCGATGCTAATGACACTGCCTTGTCCTTCTTGTAGGTCCATTTCCAAGGTCCAGGAAGTAGCTCCGCGAGCTCCGTAAGAAGGTTCTCATACTCACAGAATGCGTCTTCCCACTCTTTTTGTCCTTGCCGGCGTATTTCAAGGGCGGATTTGCTTAGGCGGCCTATCGACATCCCATGTTGGCTATCCGCAACCGAAACAATATCGTACATAGCCACAGTCTTATCCTGCGAGTTGTCCTCTTTGGAGAGCGACAAGAACAACTTCATAGTAGCCGTATTGTCCTTTAGAAACCGCAGCATTTCCTGGTCCTGCTTCTCCTGGTCTTGTCTGTCCAGGGAGTCTGTGTTTGGCAAGTGTATAGGCGCAGCAAACTCAGGAGGTGCCCATCCTTGTGGAATTTTTATTGGCTTTTGACATTTATGACACCGCGAGTCCTCATTTAGTTGATTCAAGAACTCCAGGTGGACTTCCCGGCAGTCGAGACATATTGGGCGCCCTGTCGGATGGAATCCAAAGCCCGTCGTGGCCATACTTTCGGAATTGGTTGAGTTCCAGAATTAGTTGAGTTGCGGCGTTTGTTGAGGTTCGGAGTGCAGTTCAGTGTTCGAAAAGAGGTGCTGCTGTTGAAGAATGGGGCTAAAAGCACAGGCCCCCGAGCGGGGAGATACATTTGTACCTAATAAATCATTCACCTATGGAAATGATTTGCAAGGAAGAGATGTGCGGTCTACGCAGTCCCTTGATCCTCGTTCCGTCCTTTCTCCTCTTTTCCTAACCTCCATCATCTCATTGCCAAAGAACTGCTACCAGAGGCGACTTCGGCGAGCTTTCTCAGCCAACAAAGCGGCGCGTCACCTCGTTTAGGCAAAGAGGATAGAATGACTCACCAAGCAGAATCTCTATCACTGTTTTCACACATATAGCACTTGATTTTGCCAAGTTGTCACAGATAGGAGAGGCGTACTTCACTTTCAACGAACTTCTTCCAATGACTCGCTTATAGTCATATACGCGGCAGCATGGGGTTGCCTGCGTTAGACACTTTTGTACAGCGTATTAAGCGGCTCTATCGCGCAAGAAAGTCATCCCTTAGAGCACCAACTGCGTGATCCAGACGAAGTCGGAGCACACGAGAGAGAACTGCTGAAGCAATCGCCGACTTACAGACAAAGTACGCCGACACTATTCGAGAATGATCTGAAGATGGAGATCTCTGCGAACAAAGAGAAGAAATTGTAAGAGGTAGGGATAGCGTAAATTCAATCAGAGATTCTACTCTGCCCTAGCTTTCCGGTCGTAGATGTCCAGAGAGACACCCTTTAACGGTTGCGATTCGCAGCTTAATTCAAAGTTATGAGTTCGCCGGGAACGAGAGGCTTTTCACCCAGAAGTTGGCCAAGGCGTCAAGGACTCATTACCAAGAAGATCTCTACATCGCGCAACTATTCACAGCGCTCACGACCTAGGCCGATACAGCGCCCTCCCATTTGGACCCTCTAACCATGCCGACTCCTACCCCAATGGTGCAAAACGGCTCCGTCCGGCTTCCCGCTCAATCCGTTCCCACGTACGGTGCGCAGATCATATGACCGTCCGTATGCCGCCATGTTCGGAGGGTGTGTCACTAACGTTCTCATGCATGAGTGCAGCAGGCGGAGCGGGAGAGGAAAGAGATGCCGCACTGTCGTGCTTTCTGGGTACCATTTCCTAGAAAAGTTCAACTAGGAGTCGTACTGTACGTTGAAAAAGGGGAATCGCAACGAATTACTTTCACCAATCGGCTATGGGGGAATTCCATCGCGTAGCAACCTTAGAGTATTAAATAGAACGCCAGGTGTACTACAGGAGCTTTGGGGTATTAAGTCGGACGTCATCCATGCCATAGAGCAAAGCCGAGGGGAGAAAAGTAGATCAGAAATGGAGGAAAAGAAATCCTGAAGAGGAAAGAAGCGGGCCGCATCTTCCAGGCTAAGTTACGCTGTAGTATCCGAGGGCAATTTCGGGGTCCTCGTTAGAAAGACCCATTGGCAGCAAGTCGTCCAGGGAGTTGAGAAAGGGTGGTGGTGTTGCGTAGAGCATAGGACGTAAACGCGGTCTTCGCCCTACTGGGAAAGCCGCAGCTACGGCGCGCAATCACGTGCAACTGCTCTATCCCCGAGGTGGCGACGATGCACCGCACTACGATGGCCACGATCCTGAACTCGACAATTGCTCTACCATCAAGTCCTTGCCTATGGCCTGATGTAGTGAACACAGCACGCTCGATAGAACGACACTTTCCTAATCGCGCCTGATTCTGTCTCGAAATGGATCCCTAACATATCTTGACCCACGGCATGCCCAGTGAACGCCTTTGAGTCATCGATGAATCGGGTTCTTGACGTCAACTCGCGGTGAAGACACCCTGGCTTCCGCATTACCTAGGTAGTCATGGAGAGCTCGTAATGGATGCTCTCCGACCAATCGCTCCCAAACATCGTTGCCTAACCACAGTTCTTCCCCAAACCAGAAGATATTGCACATTTCCCCCGTCCCCGCTCTCTACGTAGGGACTTCGTTCGTCTGGAGCCAACCACGAACTAGAAACACTGTGCTCACTCTTCAACCATAGTAGATAGCGTTGAAGTGGCCCTCGCGACAGTCACAACCGGCGTCGAAACTGTACGCCGGGACAGCTAACTCCGACATGGCGGAACTTGGCAGCAAGAGATCTCTCAGAGAGATTGCTATAGGATACAGGGCAGAGAGACGAAGCGCCTGAGCGGCATCCCTCGTGCCTTGATGTTTTCTCATCTCGCGGGAATCCCTGTCTAATCGCTCATGCGCCTCTAACGACTGCGAAGTCCCTGAAAATCTAGTATAAAAGGTTAGAGAACGGCGCGTTGATGTGGACGACGCGGCGTTTGTCTGCATGGAAATAGCCAGATATCGAATGCGTCACGGGCGCTGACCTCAGCACGTCCTAGCTTGAACCTTCAAGAAACCCGCCGGTGAGACAAGGCCGAACTTGGCGTCAGGAGAGTGAAGGAGCTCATGCCGAGTAATCGGGAGGTTATAGTCGATGACACGCTCGACAAGGGCGACATAGAGACCGCAAGCAATTACAGGTCAGGGTGGGGCACGTAGCCGTGCGGGAGGCACGTCTTCCGACCTAGTCAGAGAGGATAGAAGGAGCAGAGCCGTTCGGGTGTGGCTTACAGCGCGGCTGCACCTCGCGTTGCGTGCGGTCTGAAGTAGGGGGTGATTGTCGAAGAAGCAGTCGGCCAGATGTGCGAGATTCTTGGAAGGTTTGGAGCGCAAGGCGCTTTTGTGCAGAGGTAGACGATGGCAGAGTGAGATTGGAGAGCGAGCGGTCCCTTCTCAATAGACAGCTGCAAAAGAGGCGGTCCTGGGTGACGACAATGAGATGTTATGGGACAGCTGGGTCGACTTATTAGGCAGGTTCTTCAGCGCGATCTCCGCGACAATGGCCTTCATCTCGCTGGAACTTGGACATCTACAGCCAGCCTCCTTTCGCCTCTCCACCACAGCTCGTCTCGACTACCCCGAACCTCTATTGCGACAGGATGTTCACTTTGTCCTCAATGTAAAAGATGTTGTAAAGGACATACAGAAGTATTAGCCGTCAATTTGCCATGAAACAGTCCTCCAGCCCATATGAAATCCGATGCCCCTATAGTCTAACATCGGTGTTCTGATCCCTTCGCCAATCCGCATTATAATGCGCACCACTCCCATTCAATCATCCCACACAACCATCTTCCACTTACTACCTTCCTCCCTCAGCAAGCCCGCCTGAATCTCAACATTCGGCTTCACTTTCTTTGTCTGGCCCCTGTCCGTCTTCTTCTCTGGCCCTGGCAGTACATCCGCCACGCCAATCCTTCCAGGCCCCTCCCCGGATTCCTCCTTCAATGTCTCTACCAACCGAGCTGCCACCGCAGTACCTAGCGACAAATCTCTCCAGCTCTCCTTTGCGGCTTCACATCCTGATTTCCCATAAGAACGGAGACGGGCACATAGATGCCGGCAGAGAAGGTGGTGTCGGGGTTCATTTTCAGAGCAATGGGGAGGCCGGTAGTCGACCAGGTAGAGGCAGGGTATTGGGTGTAGTGCCTAGTGTCTTCATCGGTCTCGTCGTTGCTGTCAACTTCGGTGGATTTGTTGGACATGTCTGAATTGATGGAACTCCTATCGATAGGATGGGGTAATGGGCGTCGCTCAAGGAACCCAATCTGCATACCGCAGAAGAGTAGGGGCACGCTCCCGATCTCCCGCAGGACAAAGAAGGCCCGCGGCAGATGATATACAATCGAAGCGCTGGATGAGGGCTCCACATCATCAGGGTCCGAGTCAAGTTCCGAGATCTTTGGCGAGGTTGAGAGCACCCATTTAGTCGGAGAAGATATGTCATCCTGGAAAGTCGCTTCAAAGAGAGCGTCTTCATTGTCGACATCGTTATTATCAGGAATAGGCTCCATAAGGAAGAGACGGTACTCGTAGTGATCATCATGTCCAAGCAGTGGCTTAGGTTCGATACCAAAAACGTCGCTGACCACATCCTAGCAGTTGACGGGTACGTGGCGGGCATAATTTGTCGTCCTGGCGACATTGCTGACGGTGAGCCCCACCCACTCGCCGGAACGCTGATCAGGGGGAACATAGTGAGCAATCTTGGTGAGCCAATTCCGGAAGACGGTGAAATCGCCGCCAACGCCAACGCGCTTGCATGCCTTAGTGAAGCCGTCTTTGTCGAACCTAGCATCTCGTTCAGCCCCCGTCCTCCACATCCGCCGAAGCACGCTTGAGAATTTCCTGCCGGCCCAACGCTGAAACATGCGTATCTTGTCCCGGCCAGCAAAAACCGATGCGGGCCAAGAGTCCAGGGCCAGCTCATTATACACTTTCTCGAAGTCGGTGCGTTGGGGATAGAGCACCTCGCCCTCGAGCAATTTGGTGAGCGCGCCCATGAATATGTTGTCGTAATGGGTATCAAATCGTGAGAATTCGTCGGCATCTGGTTCCCTGAAAAGATCAGCTTTTGTCTGCTGAAGGGGACCAGAAAGAGCTTTACGCAGTCGGATTTAAAGGCTACTTACCGACCGAACGTGGCATAGTACGCTCGCTTGAATTCATCCTTATCCTAGGTGTAGGACTTCATCATAGTGTTGAACATCTTCTCTAGATCTAGTGGCGTAGGTGGTGTAGGTGGCAAGGTTGTAAGTTGTGATTGAGAAGTGTTGCCGGACATTCTAGTATAATCCATGGTGGGCTGTAGATAAGTGGAGGTAGAAGAAGGTAAAAGAGTAGATCAATCGCGGATATTTGCACCTTTTATATGCGGAGCAGCACCAGCAGCACTTAGCTCGTGCGTACTAGCCCTTCCACGTACGCATTAGTTCTTGCAAGTGCGCATTAGTTCTTTCACATGCGCCATAGCAAGTGGGAAGCAAACTATAGGTACCAGGTTCTAACCACGAAAGGGACTAGGTATAGTGGTGAGCGACGTTTTACCGGATACTCACCCGGTCACCAGGATCACTAACTGATCAACAAATCAATCCCTCAACTGCTACAACTCTGAGCAGCATCATACGGCAACAGGATCTATCAGGAAAGAAGGTCTTCAGCCAGATTTCTCACCTATAGTCACCTGCCTACCAATTCGTCCTTCAGCCCCTCACCAAGACTCTAGCATGAAAGTCTGCGCCTTGTCTATCCCTTGGTGCCTCATTTCCAGAGGCAGTTTGCCCTTCGTCTATTGGAGACCTCGTCTAGGGACTATAGTAATTACACGCAGAATCGTTGCGCTACAGCGTTTTCCACTTGAGTGTAAGTAAGCGCACGGAGTCGCTCTTTGGCGAACACGGCGACCTCTTAGAGCCCAGGATGGGGGGCGTCACAATATCCCTATGGAGGGCAGCACGAGCTTCTGCCAGTCCAACTTGAGTTTCGAGGACCATGGCAGCCTGCTGCACGGCGGGCGTCGTGATGGTTCTGGGACCGGTATGAGCTTTCGTGGATTGTCGCACTTTAGTGACTATACCATGGCATTGCACCCGGTAGCCCTAAACGTGCGTTCGACCTCGCTCTTGTCATCCACAAATTCCCTATGGCCAGCATTTTATGCCAAGTTCCTTTTACAGCACGATTGAAGAGGGTACCTCCTACAATCGGAGATCTCTAGTAGAGAGTTCACTGTGGGCATTGCTGGGTAAGGTCTTAATGTCTGATGTAGCTTACTAGGGCGCCCTCATAGACCAGCGTTCAGATATTCCGGAGGTGCGAGTGGTTGAGACGAAGCCAACGGAGCGTTATTCTGTATTGACATTTTCCATGGTCCTTCGTGATCCCCTTCGCGCGCTTGCCGTCGGCGCTGGGTTCGCCGCTCCGGCTTCAGACCAAGAGGGAAATAGCCAAACGGCGCTGCTGGAAGACTTCGGTCTTGATGTCTGCAAAGTTCGACGACTTCCTTGACAGCACTTTCACCCGGGACGTGGTGAGTGTTTCAAACTCCGCCCTCTGTCGGTCTCACGCCCACGGCGAGGATGTAGGCAGCGATGAAGGCGGCCTGGTTTCTGTAGGTGATGACTGGAGAGGTACTGAGGAGAGTTCTCGATTGACAGTTCCAGGCTATTCCCATGGTGTCATGCTTATAGGCGCCGCATCGCAGCGGCGCGTGTGGTCGACTGCCGCCGCATGTGCGGAGCGTCTTGGGGGGGCCGTCCGGCAGAGGCGTAGGTCGTCAGGCCCCAGCGGCAGTCGGAGACCACGAGAACCTTGCTCGCCTCCTCCATCCTCGGCATTTCAATCTTCAGGTGATCCTTCGGTTTCCACGCCAACCTCATCGTTGAAGGCCTTCAGAGTCATCGTCAACGGTTGATAGGCGGCCAGATGGTTGCTGTATCCACCTTCCAACTTACACACCCTCTCTAGCTTGGATGTCTGAGGTTTTTGCTCCACTTGCTCAATGCCATCATTACCATCTCTTTCCCATCCTAATCCAATCTCCAGGCCATCCTTTCCCCAAACCAGTGTTGCTCTTCCACTCTGGAAGCCCTCTTCACTTTCTTGCGGCGATGATAGAGCAGGTAATCAACAATGTATGGGACTTCGTTGGATCATTGTCGTAAACGCTTGTTTCAGTTTTAGGGGGCATTGAGATGGAGCAAGGGGGCTGGCGTAAAGTGAAGTTCTGGAAACGTTCCGAACAACGACGGAATGAAAGGTTGACCCGGTATTAACGCATCTTAGACGTACTGTACATCAAAGTACTTCAATGTGGCCGCCATGTGCTCTGCTAGTGCTTATCGACCACGATGTCTGCACAGTGTCATACTGTATCGCTCCAACAACTTCAGCTACATGGACCGTATTGCCTTCATACGACTCACTGACCGAATGGCAACTCAACAGATGATCTTTTGGACACAGGTAAAATGATTGTTATCGTCAACGAGGGTGGAGATCATCGGGCGAGGTAATTATGGCAAGAGAGCCGGCTAGCCAGGAACGGCGTGAGTGGTTCTTTTGTCCATTATTCGCAGGCGCGTACGATTATTGACCTTTACAAGAGAGTTAAAATGCATCCTAGTTCCCAGCGTGCGCAGCCGGTGTAAGAAATACCTGTCTCGGCACCATTATTGATATAATGCAAATCAGCCGGCCACCGTAGATTCTCCCGTCCGCGCGCAGCTTCCTCTTTAATGGCAGGAGATATCACGAAGGATTCCGAGGTCTAAGCATAGGGACAATTTGGTCAGATTTTGGCTGCATATTCGGTGACGAGTTCTTCGGCATCAGGACGTTAGCAAACGACTCCTTGGCTTGTGCGTCAATGCGACTGGAGCTCTCATTAACTGATATATTATCCTCGGAAGAACAATGGTTCAATATGCCTTCGATGAGCGCATCTTGCATGGCGTATACTGCCCCCACCGTTGGCGTTAAAAGCCGTACTGCTGAACGTGGCGGAATGCGACTCAACTCCGCAGCACGTGAAGCCTCCATTTGCACCAACGTCGGTGTTCCTAACTCGCACGGAAGAAAAAGCAGCAAATGTTCCCGTCTAGATTATTTCAAAGTTCCTCCAGTTCTGATATAGTAAGAAGGGGTTTCCCGCTACCAGAATTACCCGTCAATGGGTTCGGTACGGCGCCCGCAAAGGAAAAGAATGTTTCCACTAAGAGTCTTTCTAGAGCCTATTCTCCTTGAGCCCATTATCTTCGTTACAAGTACCCCGTCTCAACAGAGCGCCTCCGCTTGGCCTAAACTAGCGGATCCTCGCCCCGTTCGATACAATTCCAGATCAAGACAGTGAAGTATTGGGCTCGATTTTGTTGGTGATATGAGGAGCTCGAACTTTTTGTTTTACTGATGGATCTAAGTAGTCAGTGCAGCACAAGCACCAGTAAATTGGAAAATAGAAGCCCCTCGTAGTGGTACCGCCAGTATAGCTTGAGACGCTCGGGACCTTTCTGATCAAGACGCTGGACATGGACGCCCTATGTTGGTTGTAGGGTCCCGCTCCTGTCCGATGAAACAACGCTAGGCCGGCTCGCGGATGGTGGGAGTGATTGCCTCTTCCATTAAGGTAGCACCAAGTACATTTGGCTCGAAGAGGCGCCCAGGGCCCTGTTGGAGGGGGCTCGATGTACAACCCACCACGCGATGGCTCACGACGCCCTGAAGCCGCAGGGCGGAATGATGGCGGAAGGGCAACTAGGTAGGAGCTCGCCACGCAGTGCCTTCATTAGTGAGATACGGAGACTGAAGAGCCTGGACTAAGGAGTCTTCGACCGCTGCGGCGCTGCGATACTGGCGTGTTTTTCTCCAACAGTAGGTCTCGAGGCGGTACGAGCGACGTCGCTGCTGTGGCAATGTCGTGGAGGGAGTCTGAGTTGAACCCGACCGAAGAGCGGCTGGAGCTGGGCGAGGATCCCGTGGCACCCCATGCCGTTTGATGGCTAGAGTCTAGCTAGCGGCGATGCGGAGCCGGTAGCCCCCCTCGTGTAAATTCACAGTGAGGCAATCAGGGAGCTGGCTGTAGTAGACGCGAAGATGTGGTGTCCGACCACGTCCTGCTCGCTGCCTGGTGGCTTTGGTGGCGACTACGTCTTGGAAAACTTTTGGGAGAGGACGGGCACCGCGCGGAGCGCATAAAGGCATTGCACCTTAAGTAGTAAAGAAGTTAGACCACTAGTCAAACATGTCATCTGAAGACTCGCGGGTGCGCGGAGCGCTGCAAAACACCGCACCTTAGGGTCTACGCCTTGTTGTATGCATTGGGAGCCCCCTTTGTCCTCAAGCTGATTTGCTCTTCTAGTAGGGGCACTGTCTGTTCCCTAGCGGATCGTCCACTGCGCAGTAAGCCCAGCCGGAAGTCAGCATGCAGTAATTGCAAACCCCGCCAGGCCAGAAGAGAACCGGGAGCGTTCCATGGTTTGGCCTTCCAGATTCTATTGGCTCCGGCTCGATGAGCTTCTCAATGGCCCGTCGAAGCCGGAGGGCTTGAGGGCGGATACCCTTATGGAGCCCCTAGAGTGTTGGGGGCCGTTTGGGGAGGAAGTACCTGGTCAAATCTGAATCTGGCTCTTAAGTTTGCCAAACGCAGCGGTCAATAGTGGCGGCTTTTCCGGCTTCTCCGCCGCGGGCCACTCGACCTCACCACTCCCCGCACTGCCCTTTGATCCGCTGATGTTCTCCTCTTGCTGCAAGCCTAGCGGGGGCCGAGATGACCAGCATTACGCCGCTGGGGGGTCTGCGTAGCATGAGCCTTGACTTACCGCTGCTCAGAAGCGGCGTGGGCTGGCTGACGTCTGGAAACGACGTTGCATGTGCCCTGCTACGAGCACGGCCAGACACTTTCGGCAACAGTCCTCGTACTTCACACCGTTAGGGGTAGTACGCTAGGAGTGAGGACAAGGGGTACAAGACTGTCGCTGTTGTGGTCCGCCAGCACGGGGGCAAAAAGCCGGGAGACAGCAGGGTTGCCATGACCGGGGTCTTTGCCTGCTGAATGCCGTAAATGCGCTACCTACCATCTCCCATATCTGAGGTGAAGTGGTGAAAAGGTAGCGAGGGGGAGGAAGGACCTGCGCTTGCCTGGAGTGTGGGCGAGTAAGGCGTGAACATCTTTGGGATTGATGCCTAATACAGAACCTTGGTGCCTTCGAAGGTGGAGTCAGACATCTCGCCTCTTGATGGATGCGCACATCTCGAAAAGCCTGCTGCATACTCCGGAGAGTCTCAAGACTCCAGTGGGAGAGGCCTCTGCTCAGTCATCAGGACATGTACACACCGGTCCGAAGACCTTGCCCTTGGACGAGCGGGCGAAAGATAAGCGTTCTGGCCTCACCCATCAATGACGAACTAGGTGGATGGCAGCACTGATTCCCGTGCTCCATGAGCGTGCTTCCTAATAAGGTATAAGAAGAAACCGCTGACTAGGCCAGACTACCACAGCCCTAACTCCCTCTGCCACCCCGGCGGCACTCTTGACCTTAATCCGTGTTTACAGAGGCCGATGTGAGGGTGAGCGGCGGGACCAAGCCTTGCGAGTCCTTCTAACAGGACACTAACCGGTGTTGACCTCAGGCAGCCAGCGGAGTAGCATGAGATCGAGCGTCCGGAGGCTCTGTATCCGGGGATATTGACCCGTAGAAGCATCGTCCGCTCGCCTAGCCCCTTCCTCCTCGAGGGCTACGCACCCTGGCCCCCCAAAGACGGAGACAAAGGACAGGCCAGACGCCGAAAGTCTAGCCTTCCTTGGGGACATAAAACTTGACTGGCAGTCAATCTTCGTTCGGCTCGCTAAGACCGTGAGGAGTCTTGTGGATGGCTGGGCAGTTAGCATTGTTAGGACTGGACCCGAGTCTGACCACAGGCTAGCACACTATGGAGCGAGAAGCTGACCAGGATGGATTACTTGTGGTGGCGCATTACTGGTTTAGCTTAAGTCCCTTCAATCCCCGCGCTGTGTCGTCTTAGTGCTGCATCATAAGTCTTGGATGTACCGAGGAAGAGATGAGCGTTCGATCGGCGTTGTTGGCTTACAAGAATCGGGGTATGATTCTACTTGAAGAAGTTAACAATAATATGAGAGCTGCGAGCAAATAAGATTGCAAATCGCCATAAAGGTTTAGTGAAAGAGAATGCCATACTTCAGACCAGTGGGTGGACATGGTGTTGAAACACGTAACTGTGTCGTCCTAGGTGCCGAGCCTGGCCTCTGTGGCAGCGACGCGATCTAAGGGACGTTTTCGGACAAAGAGCTTGCGTTCGTGCTAACGGGTTAGAGTCGCTGAGATGCCTTATGGTTGGGAATGCATCGCCACAATCGAAGACACGGGGTGCGCACTACGTCATGATTCTAATTAGCTCATGCGGCTCTTCTGCACTTCAAACTTCTCCGCAGTGATAACAGCTCGCCATCGCAGTATTTAACGACGTATGAATGCAGTGTGAAGCACAATACCACGGCTCCTTACTCGCGAGAGACCTTGAACAATACAAGAGTGAGAGCAAATATGTCAATGTGGGCATATCCCCAAGCTATAAAAGCTGTTGATTCTTAATTCATACTCCTGCGACGACCAACTTCCCGTGATCTAGGATTGGGGAAGTCGAAGAGGGGAGGGGAGGGAGATCTGTGCGCAGATGCGTCTCAAATCAAGGAGGTGATCATGATGATGGTGGTAGTTACGAAGGCAGAGCTAGAGCCTTCTGCTTGTATTAGAGAGCGGAGTAGAAGCATTAATCCTTCTCGTCATCCTCCAAGTCCGAGTCCGAGTCATCCTCCTCGTCATCCTCGTCATCCGAGCCCGTGTCTAACCACCTACGTGTGATACGGCCGTCTTTCGCCTCTCCTCGATACGACACAAGGCATACACGGTTGTGGTGGAGTCCCTCATCGGTCCCAGCTCCCATGTCTGAGTCTTGTTGAGCTCTAGCCCAAAGGCGGTCCTTGAGTCGAAGATCGTCCATGACATCAGCGAGTTCCGCGCCCTTAGCCTTCATCCCCGCCTTACGCATCGTTGTTTTGAAGCCACCGTAAAGTTGGCGCAACTTTCCCGCAATAAGAGCTAAGAGAATTTTTACTGCTGGTAGAACGGCCTGGGAACTTTCGAGGTCCATGTCAGCGCGGCCATGCTGGTGTGCTTTCGGCGGAGGCTTAGGGATCTTTTTCTCATCGATGAGATAGAGTTTTCCTGTGGTATAGTCGGGCTTATACCGCAGGACCACCACAACCTTGGTTTCTTTCCAGTCATCCTCTTTGGCAGACGCGCTGTATTCCAAATATCCAATCTGCCAGCCTCGGAAGACAGGCTTTCTATCCTTCGCGTCGCGCACCTTAAGAATAAAGCACGAACGCTGGTAAACTCTCATCTCCGGGTCCTGGTTGCTATGGTTGGGATCCGTGTCGGTATGTGCAGCAGGAGCCAACCACTCGGTAGAATCTGATTCGTTAATGCGCAGCCGATAGTTGTACTTGGTATCCGGACGTATGTGGAGCCTAGGCTTAAGTATTAAGTCGTACAGGGTAAATACTTTAAACCACTCCTTGAGTCCCTTTCCCTCTAGACTCTGCAGAGTAGTTATTGCGTCAGCCTCTGTCCGTTTAATTGCGGGTTTTGGAACGTAGTCTTCCCGAGCCTGTCTAGAAAGGATTCTCCACGTGTTGAGGGCGTGTTGTGTCGGCTCTCTAACTCGAAGCCGCCAGCAGGCGTCCTTAAGCGTGTCTAAACCAATATCCAGACGTTCGACAATGGGTAGGAATCTCCCATAGCACCAGATACAAAATTTATTCCAGGAAAAATGCTGAACGAATGCAGGAGCGTTGCTGCGAGCTTTGTTGTACTCGGTTTCGTTAAAGCGCGTCATCTTCTCCATGATAGGGAAGAGTTGACCGTCAACATATTCCTGGAACTGGCTCCAGTCGCCCTTGTGCGTGTTCGAGTCAATCTTTCTGCAGGCCTTCCTGTACGCAGACAAGGTCCAGGTATCGTTCATAGCACGGAATAATATCCAAGCTTGGTCGTCTGTTGCGAAACACTTGTGAGTCCCCATTTGGCTGCGTTCACCTTCTAAGGTTGTCCACTCTTGAAATGTCGATAGTGAGCGGGGGGATTATATGGCGTTCTGCTTTTGTACCTTTATATGCATGGCGGTGCATTGCGCGAGGGCACGGTTATGGCACGGACCTTAAACAGTATGCTTAAACAATATGCGCCTGTCGGGGCGGGTGGCAAGTATTAGGACAAAGAACATGGGAAATATGGTTATATATATGACCCTAGGTCACGTGAAGCGGTAACCATATCGGGCAACAGCACCACATCCCTTTCACCTAAGATTGCACTTCAAACCCATAGCGAAATCTACTATAATCTACAATCGATCTGCACCAACACAAAATACAGTCCCGTGACCTGGTGCTGAACGTCTATCCGCGCCAACAAGGCAACACCAACCAATTAAGGTCATCCGCGGTAATAGTACAACCAATTCCTATCAAAAGATCATTGGAAGCTCAAAATGCTAAACTAGAAGCTGTCCCCCCAGACCGTTACTATAACCGCCCGCGGGTATCCTCTTAGTCTATCCAGCTCCCAATAAGAACTTCAGTCCCGTCCTTGCTGCAAAGACCATTGAACGGACCGCAGAAACTGCTCTACAAGCCGCCTTCTGCTTGTAGGTCCAAGGAAGCCAGCATCAAAGATCTGACATCGTTGTTCACAGACCAGCTCGGCGCAAGAAAAGGGCGTGGATTTGCTTCCGGTTCCACTCTTGCCACTGGTATATAGCTCATCGTACCGCCGCATTCTCCGACAGATTCTGCAACATGCAACCGGCTCAATGTCTCTCTTGTAGGCTTGCGACATATGATACTTCATGTCCATCCTGGTAATGGGTTTATCCTTTTCGCACACCCGCCAGATCCATCCAGTTCGGAGTATCCGTTGGTTCCGAACATGTTCAAGACAGCGCTTTGCTGGCGTCAATGTGATGACCTCAATAGTCGCACCTGTCGTTCCGCATAGAAAGCAAACATGGATCACACGTGGGGGGCGATTCTTAGCAGGGAAATCCTCGGCCTGGTCCAGGTGTAGTTTCAATTCGCGAAGGCGAGAATCCACGGCGATTCTGAGCCGTTTCTTGATCTTCCTGACGCTTAGTCTGGACCTTAACTCTGAGGCTGGTACCCTTGTCGTGTCTGCATCGAGCGTAAGAGCGCGTCTTATTCTGTTCCACAGACTGCTCTTGGTCTTCGGTGCCTTCGCCTCCTTTTCAAATTCCTGGTCACGGGCCGATCTACAACACAGCTCCAAAAGAATCTCCAAGGTGCCCTGCATAGGAATCGGCTTCTTCCTTCTGTCCGCTGTATCGTCCGCCGTGTCGTCCGCTGTATGGTTCGCCTCATCGTTAAGATCCTGGAAACCTTTGTTCGTGATTATCTCGAGCCATTGATCACGGACGTGGCCTGCTTTCGTCTTCGCCTCATCCACAAGCGACTGAATCTCGTGTTGGTGCTGTTCATTCTCGTTCTCTGGGAAGACTGCCTCAAGGCTCCCCTTGATTTTGGCCAGTGGTGCAATGCACAGTTCGTCAAGCTCCCACTGATGGCGCATAGGTACTTCCGTTGCAGATCTAATTCATCTCTAGGCTAGTTACGGAATTCTGACCAAATCCTGAAAAGAGAAAATATAATACCTTTCAAATAGCTGAGGCTGGAGAACATTTGATCAAATGCGTTAAGTTGACATCCTAGATCTTGAATCCAGTACGTGATGCTATCGATCCATTTGCGGATATAGGATTCGGCTTGCTCGAAATCGAAATTCTCGTTATTCATGCGTAGTCCAATATGGGAATGAGACTGCTCTGATGATCCGATTCCGGGGTGCTCCGTTGACTCGCCGTGTAACCCTTGGTCGTCTTCGTTTCTATTGCCCCTCTTCTTCCTCTTGTGTACCCTCTCTTCCTCTGGCTGCTCAATCCACGGCTCTAGGTTCAACCGAACCGGTTCCCAATCGCTGGTCATTAGGGTGCAAATGGCATCCATGGTCCACTGATCAGAAATAGAGTAGCAACGCAGCTTCAGTAAAGTACTAACGGGAGAGTATAAATTAGATATGTTCTCTTTGTCTGCAAAGCAGAACCTTCCCGCAGAAACTTTTAACAAACTTTTATCCTACACAAACGCATGTTTGCTAGAATTATCGCAGAGCTACTAGGCAATGGCACGATAGCAGACGTAACTCCGCCATGATCTTCATCATACGGTGCGAGCTGTTTCATGTGTAGGGTTACGGAGAATGGTGTTATGCCGCCTACGTTGAGTTGAATCACCCGCCTTCTAGAGCCGCCGATGTCGGTCTGCTCTACATCCGCAGGTTGGCGACTTAAAACGAGAAAAATTAATCAATCTACATCCGCATGGGGGAGGCTGAGGACGTGGAGGGAAGTTGAGGCTGTGTGGCTCATGTACCATGGATATACATGGTAGAACCGCGTAATTCTTACTACAACGACGGCTTTATATTCGCGCATTTCCCTTTTGGAAGCAAATAACCCTGAAGTGTGATCCGAGCTGGCGATCTTTTGCGATGCCAAAATGGTTATAGGAAGGTCACCCAGCCTTTTGTTTCCCTTGAAGTGAGGTCTGGTCAACCAGAAAGTCTTGCGCATCTCGATTCCCCAGCCTCAGGTATGGAGGAGTGACTGGGGCGCTTTGGTGCGGATGTGTGGGGTCTTAGGGAGATCAATGATGTTAAGAGTAGCGCTTAGGGAGCCAGCAATGCTGTACGAGGAAGCCTAGAGAGTTCGGCAGCTTGAAGCTTAGATGGAGACGGTGGCCTTCTATGGTGGAGTCATGGCGAGTCAGGTGGGCGGGTTGAGATGGGTGGTATTCTCGATCACGACCGCATTTTAGAACACGATGGCATTTTAGAACACGATGGCATTTTAGAACACGATGGCATTTTAGAACACGATGGCATTTTAGAACACGATGGCATTTTAGAACACGATGGCATTTTAGATCACAATGGCGTTTGGATCACGACGGCATCCCGGATAATGATAGAGAGTGGAAGGTAGGCCGGTCACTATGAAGCATGGGTATAGCGGACAGGGGTCTTGATTCGGGAGAATCTGTTGTTCTCCTGAGCGATTCGGATAAAACCGAGCCGTATAGGACTAAACAAGTATTAGCACCGTCGCAGGGATGAATAGATAAGGTGAAGAAGGGCGTCTCGCGATAAAGCGTAGGCAACCTCATCCCGCGGGCGCTTGACCCCGCCGTTACGCCGCAGACGAAGAAAGCATGCGTCGAGGTGCACGAGAGGCTTACGTCTCACCAAAGGCGAGGATGTCAACAATGGAATCTGCCCGCGGCTCAGATCCACCCCGCACAGCTATACGCGGGGGACTGCAAGCAAGAAGACGAACATGATAAATCTCCGGAAGAACCGGAAATAGACGAGAGAGCGTATGAGAAATTAAAGGATCCGTTTTGGCAGATTGTACATGCGGCTCCGTACCTCAAGATGCCGTCGAAGACATGGGCCGGACGGGAGCAGTATGCCGGCACGCTTGCTGGCGAAATAAGGTTTGGGAAGAATACGGCATAGCTGCTTGAGTCTGTCGAAGCGATCGTGATGGTTACGCGCTGCTCGGTAATTCTTAACGACTGGGTTGAGCGTTTCTTCAGGATTGCCAGGGATGAATGAGACGAAGATGCGAAAGGGTTTCTAGAGGCTATGCTCTTGTTGAAAGTGGATAGCTGCTGTAATCGCCGTCTTTGGGGGTTGATAGATTGAGTCGAGGTATTCAAGACAATCCGTCCGAATGGGGATGGGAGTTTCGAAACGATAGTAGAGTTCGCTGTTGCCTGGCAATAAGCGCATCGAAAAGACGGTTCGATAACACAGTACGTCATACCGGAGCGTTCCGCACGGTAACAACTGGCGGCAAATTGCCTAGCCGCAGAACCAGCCAGTCCAGCGTTGATAGAGTGGAATTAGTAGAAGCGATAGAGGGGCTCTGCCGGAGCTAGGCATTATTCCATACATTCGCGACGTTGATGAGTGAGCAAGGACGGGGATGAGGACTAAGGAGGCGGGACAAAGCCTGGAAGGAGATACTGTAATATAAGAGGAACCAACCTAGGGAGGGAAAAACGATCTGGGGAAAGAAGAACAATCTAGCGAGAGGAAAAGTAGAAAGAAGGTTAAGATAAAAGAAAGTGATTGGAGTTAGCTTCAATTCTATATAGGAGAAATCATTTGCTATCGGGTTGATCGAACGGATTATAGCTTTCACAGCGAGCGCAGCAACATTTTACGGGCGAGGTATCAAGTAGCACCTCGAACGCAGCAGGTTCAAAGCCAGCGTACAACTTCAACGCGAAGCCATTGCGCGCGAAAGAGCACCATCGCTCTGGTTGAATTGAGCCGAAGTGCGTATAAAGGGGTAAGCCTCAACGCATGCAGATGTCTAACCACTGGTCAAACAAGTGCATGCCCCAACTGGCGTCCCTAACGGAATTCGAGTGGGGACCAAAAAGGTGGGAATTATTCTAGGAAGGGACGATGCAGTGTTCGTAATACGAGAAGAAGAGAAAAACGATTGGGTGAGAGAAAAGGTCGTGAGGTGTAAGAATACGACGCGTTTGATGCCCGCGATAGATAGCTCGAGCAGAACGAGGTCCGTAAAGAGAAACGGCCGTTCGCAAGAAAATCAAATAGCGAAAAGAGAGGATGCGTCAATATCGACAAGCAGAAAAAAATCTCGAGCGATTCCACAGCCGACTGTCGAACCGTACTTTTTGTTGTTGGAAGAACAAACCCCCTGAAATGAGCGGGACAAAAGTATAGCGAGGAACGCCGAAGAAGAGTATGCATACTGGAAACTGGCCAGATCGATTGCAAATGAATGACGGCGTAGGGGGCAAATGCGCAAGATTAATTCCCATAGCCTCGCGCTTGTCAGCGCAAAAACCGCCGAGCACAACGTATCCGGGTGTGACGACGTCGCGAAAGTGCTGTCGAGACTGCAGTCATGAAAGAGAGCCGTATTCAATAGAAGAACGGGACAATCGTACGAGGCGCCAAACATCAGTCTTGAGTCCTCACACCACCACCCCTCTCTCGTGACCCTTCCACACCCCCTTCCTTCTTCTCACTCTCCCCTAATAGCTATCTCCCCCTTCCCCGAACGTGTCAATACTTCCGCGCCTCCGACATGCAGGCCTTCCAGTCCACCTCTTCCGCATCGCCCGCATACTCCACCTGCACCAGCAGCTTCTCCTCGCTCGTCTTGATGGCGTTCGCAATGCGGAGTTCGACGGCGTTGATTAGCTGACCCTCCCGGCCCCGCTGAGCTGCTTCAGCATTCTCCAGCCACTCCTGCAATATAGCGGCGTGCGTGCGCAGCCGTGTAGTCTCGCCAATGTTAAGCCCTATGTGCTGCATAAGGCTGGAGAGATGGTCATTGGCGGGAACGCGGCGTCGAGCTCCCCTATGAGACGGACACCAGGCTCGAAATGGCCGGATGCTCTTCGAGCAGCGGCTCTAACCTCATGTCGACGAGCTCATCGGCTAACTCACCGTTTCGTTCGCCCAGCAGACTCCGCTCAACACCCGCATACAGGACCTTGACGCCGATGTTCAAAGCGCAAGACAGAGCACAAAGAACGTGGAAGCCTCCCTTCAACCCCAGCGTCAAGGCGCGTGTCGCAAGGCCGAAACTGTCCAGAGCGTCAACGCCGGTGATGCCGTAGCCTGCAAGGAAGCGCTCGACCTCGGGAAGCCCAGGTCTAAGCCCTACGGGATGGAGTTTTTCGTGTCGCAGGAAATTCAAGAGACCGCGCATGGGCGTCTTGTGGCTTCCATTCGATGTCCGCATGTCGCCGAAACTGGCATCGAGCCAATCGTACATGATCCAGAGTTGACCAAGGACGGTATTCATGGCCTGGGCGACAGTTTAGAGGCTTCCCGCGTCGCTGTTGCTGCCCAACATGCTCCGGGCGGAGTTCGTATTCCCAGTGGACTGTGTTTCGCTAGTATCCTTTCGTTTCTCGAGCGCCTCCGGCCGCTGTCTTGTTGTATCAAGAGTCTCCTTCGGAAATGGCATGCCGTCAGGGCTAGCAAGTAGAATGGTGTCGTTGGGGTGGTTTCGATGGCCCGAAAGGCAGACTCGCTCCAGCTCGGTGCGTATTTTCAGCATAATAGCATCTGTCTGGTCGTCTTGGTGGTCTGCAGAGTCGCCGCTAATCTCCGGTCCAATGTACCCAATTCGTTGCGGATACCAGTGGCGGCGTAGTCGATTGCCCACCGCGCAAGCCTCCCCTCGCTCTGAACTCAGGCCGTCACCAGCTGTGTGCCGTGGCTGGGAGGAATTTTGTGTTCGAGACGCCGGTCTCTATGCTGACAATCAACCCCTATTGCTGCGGAGGGCAATTCGGCGGCTCGCTCCCAAAGAACTCCTCATCGGGGAGGGATAGAGAATTGGTATCAGATCCTGACCTTGACCCCGTCCACAGCCCCAACGATTGCGAGCCCGTTTCCAGATCGGCCGCGTGTCCGGAATCCCCTGGCTTTTGTCTCAACACTAGGTCTTCTCATGGGAGCACCCACCCAACCAGCGCGCTTCCTCTTATCGAGATGTCCCCATATGCGAAGCCGCAGTCAACTAGTCCTCTTTGTTCTTGTCGGCGACAATCTCGTCGACCTGCTCGCTCATTCGACCGATGTATTCATCGAGGGTGCGCAGGAGACCTAAATCGCCGAGCCGGCCGCGCTTCCCCGGGCGGTTGAGGTGGGCGAGGTGTCGGTGACGCAATTGACGACGTAGAGCGTCGTGTCGTCTGCTAACACGATCGGTATATCCCGAGACAGGTCACGGTAGTGCCTCTAGTGCCAGATTGAGCGAGGTCGAAGACATAATATACATACTGAAGGAAACTCTTACATTCTTTTCGGAAACCTGGGAGTGCTGAATTGTTAAAATCGTGGCGGCAGCTTTCTGGATGCTTTCTGAGAAGCGCTTCGGCGTACGTAAGAACACTGTAGCGCTGAGCGGGGCCGTCGACGCAAACATAAACGCACTGTAGAACGTGGTCTCGAAGAGCAGGGTAGAGATGACGGACGGAATCAGGACGAGTGCATCTACTCGACAAGTGCGCAGGTGGCGGTTGGCAAACCGGCGGACTGGCTGACCGATTCGGCTTCTTATGCTTTACTGGTTGTTACCGAAGCTTACTCGTTCGGCCTTCTTTTCCGAGCCTGCCACCACTTGCTTGTTTACCTTTTTTGCTCAAAGTTGTCGTGTGTTGCTTATGGCGAAGACTCGCATTCACGCTCTGACATTCCACAGGTTCGAGAAGGAGAGCGGGGATTGGGGGGAGACTGTACTCGGAAGCCACGCCCCTCTTCGACGCCTCCGTTTAGATATTTATTTTCTCGGCGTTCACTCTCGACCACCCACTACTTCAGCCCTTTAACAATGATGGATGTTGCCGCGGTGACGGTGACGGGGGACGTTGTGAAACCTAGGCCATGCGATTTTGAAAAACTGCGAAGAAATTGCAAAGACCGAAGGCAAACACCGTCTTGTTCAAGACAATCCAAAACGGCGAATCGAGATTCCTAGCAAGATGCCACAGGCCCGAAAGCTTTGATGTCGCGAATAATCAGCTCATGAACTCTTTGCATGCGCAATGTTCAGTCCAAAGAGATCCCAATTGCCGGCTCCAAGTCGACGCGTCTTCCGGGCGCGCCGCCGGAGACAATGCGCAAATCAACACAATATCGGGTGTTAGTCCTGCCACCAGGCTAGCCTCCGCATCAACTGGAGGTGACGAAAAGCAAATTGTCACGGAATGGGAGGTTGAGTTCAAAGCTTGAGGGCGGCGCTTGGAGGAACACGACGGAAGCATTATCTGAGAGAAGGAAACACGTGAGACCGCGATTAATCAACGTATACTAGTAATAGTCTCTTCTTTCTTACCAGGGATATTCGTGCTCGTAGTCATGAGCGAAGGCATTCGTTTGTCGGACCGAGCGGAGTCTGCCCTGACCGGCGAGTATTGTGGTTGACTCAGGCGGGGCACGGGAGAGCCGGTGAGCCGGGGGCTCTTCGTGTTAGTTGCGGGATGGCCCTTCGAACGGGCCTGTAAATGGCGGCGATGGCGGTAATGGAGGTAATGTCTACGTCCAGGCAGTCCGCGGTGAGATATCCCGCTTAGCTTCATTGGAAGCACAGTTCGTCCATACGGGTTAGGGCAACGGAGGGCAGCTAACTTAGCATCATACCAACGGGGTGGTGCACTTCTTGGCCTGCATCGATGTTTTCAGACCGTGGCCTTCTGCTGTCTTTGGACTCGCCCTCGCTGCGGTACGGTGACGGATTCCCATCGCTGCTCGTTGGCGTAGAAGCAGAACGTCTACTGAGTCGGGAGCGACTCAAGAAGACCTGCATCGGGAGCGCGACCGTCGCTGCTCCTCGTACATTCTCCCAGTTCAAATAGCATGTAGTCCCCACATCTTGGTGTTCGGTTTGCTGGGTCGAGACAATGAGACGACAAGGGCGCGGTTCTGGCTTCAAAGCAGCGCTCCAGTGTACCTGGCACAGTCTCGTGATAGCTTTCTCGCAGGGTGAAAAGCAGTGTCAAGTAGCCGCGGGATGTCGAAGACCGGAATCCTTTCGCTCACAGTTCTTCTTTGGCTTCGCCTCGTCGCCAACGCCGTGCTCACAGAAACCAGTACAGAATGCGAGCATCATCAAAAACAGAGTGCCGAAGCCGTTTACTGCTGTCGGGAAGAAATCAGCCGCAGGTCTAACTGTGTCGCCTATGTGCAATCTGTTCACCTTTCATCTCTAGACACCTAGGTAACATGTTTGACCCGTGGTCCAACTTCGTTACCACTGCACAACCCTGGATGTCGAAGTTGCTAGACCAAATCTGGCCTAGCAGCGATCGTCCCCCAAAGGGTCGTCATCGTACAGGTCCCGCTTGTCGATTAAATTATGGGGTTCTGGAGCAAGAAGAGATGCTGTTACGCAGCTTGGAGAGGTGCGAGTACAAAGGGACGTCGCCATCGCAAGTTGAAAGCGCAAAGGGGAAACGAAGGTCACTAGTACTCTTTTCCCTCCGCCACTTACTTGCTACGCGACGGTGTGGCGAGGAGCTTGGTATGCATCCTTATAAGAAAGGCAGTCCACTCGCGGACCGGGCTACCGCCGACGCTCGCATGCGAGCGTGATGGCCGTACTCGACATCAAGTCTCCTCAAGAGAAGTGCAGGGCTCATCCGGCTTGAGGTGGTTTGTCGCCCTTCGACTGCAAAGAACTGCTCTGTGTCTAACGTTTCTTCGAAGTTGTTATTAAAGAAGTTGGATAGAAGGAGTTGGATAGAAGGAGTTGGATAGAAGGAGTTGGATAGAAGGAGTTGAATAGAAGAACCGGCGCACCGCCACGGCTTAATCGGGAGGCCAGCGACGTCACACCATCAATATCAACGCAATCCTCATCTCTTGACCTACATGTCGCATTGTCTCACTATCAGTGCTGCCATTGATAAACTCTATCACGCCGACGCCGAGGTTGGGCCTAGGATGGATGAGGCCAATAAGGGGAAGTCAGAGCACTTCTATGAGCTTGCTATGAATAAGAGCGCGGCCAGGGAAGGGGCTAGAGTCGTGTTGACGCTGGATAGGCTGACGGAGTTGTACAAGGCGATGGCGGCGAGATCCGTAGAATGCGACTCCGCCGGTGTATTCGACGCGCGCGCACATTGCGATATCATACAGACCTAGTACAGTCCTCTTTCTCTGCTGTTAACTAAATTCAGATTCGCTTTTGCTTTCGTGCTGCGAGGTCACTCCGATTATGACGTTCCAGCGCTCGGAGCCGTCTTGGCCGAAGCTTCCCCACCATGTTGGGGCCCGGCAGATGAACCAATCGGAGCGCCGCGTGAATACCGAACCACGTGATCGGTCGACTTTCTCCCAGCAAGTGGAACTACTACTTACTGCGACGATTACGGAGGATTGGATGAGCGAGAATACCAGCCGATCACATCCACTACAGGATCGTCCCCCGGTTTTAGTTATCCCGAAGCATCCCAGATCGTGTAAGCTAGATAGCGCACGCCTATTGCATTATCGCTCCGTTATCAGGGCCCAATAAGAAGGATAAGAGGACACAAGAAACCTAAATGTAGACGTATTCTAACGATGTCTCCTCTATATCAAAGACGCCTTGAGGAGAAAGAGGCCAAATCTGGAGCCCCCTGTCTCCGCACCCTACCTGTGACGACTACAGCATCAACACTCTGCACACGCAACTCGACGATGGCCCATGACAGGCCGCGGGAGCATTATCCAGGAAGTGGTCTCATCTACCAGCAACCGAGAACGGTGATGTGTACTCCTCCCGCGTTTGCTGGACGGACTCGCGACTGTGTACGCAGTGCAAAGGATAATACTACTGCTCGCTCGATTGGATATCGCGACGGCTTTCGCATTTCCTACCAGCAAGAAATGGAAGATCGGTGATCTAATCGGCATAACAGGCGCGCACGTGGATTCGCCGTGCCTGCGTATTAAGCCAGTATTAAATTATCAGGGTAATGGCTTCCTGCAGGTAGCATACGAGACATGCGGTGGTAGATTATCGCATACATAGTTCGCTTTCCATCGGCGCAGCAGCGGCCAGAGGCGCGTTTCCGGCGGTGCATGTCTCTCCCTCAGCATTACAAGAGGCGTATCTTGCACGGTCTTTGCGGTCGCCTTCTAGGGTTAAACGTAGGTTGGGGAGGCGCTGCGGCTCGTTCTAGATCCCCTTTGTCTACCTTCCACTCGCAGTGTGGCAGTTTCTTCGGCGAAGGATCGAAACGATGACTGCAAAGAACGGCTCGGAGGCTTTACCAGCAGGTGAATTGCGGATGGCTAGTTGTGCACGTAGCTGAGATGACTTTAACCTCGTCAGCCTTGTCCAGGATCAACTGAGACCCCTTGATCGAGTAACCTAGGCCTATCTCATGGCATCGCCGATCACCCGTTCTATTCCCGAACATCTTATACGACTAATCGAAAATGAGTATGAGCACGAGGTACTGGCGCCGAGGCAGCCGACAGCTACGCCAGGTCCCCGTGGGCTATCTCGCTGGGAGCGGACGAGGGTAAGGGCGATCGGAGCCATTCGCGAATTTGCATCACTACTTAGTTTAACTGCGATATTCATTTTCAGTCGATTGGAAGTTACGTTATTGGGTCGCAAGCTCTATTTCAGACACGCAACTTTCGAGCAGCCCTACTCCGGCGGCCCCGCCCAACAGACAACGCTTCTGGCCCATTGAAGGACCACGAGGCTGAGAACTGGACCTATTACGCTCTTTCACTTGGAGAACATTCGCAAGAAACATGGCCAATCTTATTTCACTTCGGCGGCTGTAGATACTACTGCCTCCAACCTGTCAGTTCGACCCGACCGTGTGCAGCATGGTGTTCTCCATCGCGGTGCTCAACATCGGCGTCTCCACGACCGTCGACGTGGACATGCACACCTGCGCCAACTGGTGATGGATGCGCCGATGGGCACGAGCTCGCGAAAGTGGAGGGTTCCGGATGACTGCAGCAACGGGTTCAAGGCCGCGTATGGGTGTATAAGCATCGACGTCAGTTCTTCTGCATACATGCACAGCTACCTCGTAGGGGTGCTAGCGGCGCGCTCACCCAGATAGGCGACTGCACGGGCAGACATGGGCAAGCAGGTGACTTAGGCCGTATATAACAGCTCGCTCGACCGCACGAGGATCGCATAGACGACGAACTGCAAAGTAGACGTATGCTGCCGCTAATAGACTCGAAAACGACTAAGCCAGGAACTCGAGTGCTTACGGAGAATAAGGATTACAATTGCGTACATGTGGCGTTTGCACTACTACACACTATTCGCCTAATGTTAACATACATCCTAAGGCCCAGCGACGCCCACTCGTACCTACTCGCGTTCCTGATGACGATTACGGGTACCCAGACGAGGATTTCCATGCCCTTATGGCCGGAACTATTCAAAGACATGTCCGTGTTCGACAACATAGTTACGAAGGGGTGTGAACTCACGCTCGCCAGCAAGGACATCTACGAGCTCATAGTGGAGATCAGGTTCCCGCAGAAGCTCATCTCCAAGCCCAACAACAGGCTGGTGGAGTTCTATCTCCCGCCGAGAGGGTCTCACACTCGGCACGTGATAGCCACCCAGACGAGAGCTGATTCATGCAAGACTCGGTAAGGACATCCACGAAGATCTTCGAAGACGTGCGTAGGATCTCGGAGGCGATAATATATGGAACCAGGCTGCTAATGCCGACGATCTACGTGTCCAACAGGCCGCGCGAGCACTATGGTATCTACATGTACGCGGAGACGTACACCCACGAGGTGATGTTGTACAGGGCATACGCCGGGGCCTATGCTATTGAATTTGTGGTTGGGAGCGCGCTAAACTGCACGAAGCACTCAAAGAGCTCAAGCAGAACGGTTATCGCGTCGGTACATCCTATCTCGTTCCACACTTCCGGCGGCCAGAAGTCAAGCTCAGTAGAGCTTCGCGAGGTAATCTCGGCGGCGGCCAGTTCCATCGTTCTCTCCGTATAGTTTGTTCTCCATTACAGGCTCTACTACGGAATATCTCGGTCGCACGTCGACATCGAGAACACTAACGAGCGTACCCTTACCCAAGACCAGATGGAGTCGCTCAAGCTGCTTGAAAAGAGCCCAGCGACGCCGCATACGCCCGCACTGGAGCTGTGCGACCGCAAACTTTCTCGTTGCTATGATGCTGGGTTTCCAGTAGCACGGCCCGATCATCCCATAGGTTTCTTTTGATCGTTTTCTTTCTAGGAGCTGGCCTATATCTGCTTTAGTGGTGTAGTATGCGAAGGTACTCTAGAGTTAGTAGGCCATCTAGCGGACGTGGCTCCAATAGGGAAACAGTTCATCATAAGGCTTAATAGCGGAGTGGGATAAGCGCGGAGACGGACCCGAGTGACGAAATCTAGCCCGGACTTACAAGCGGCAACTTCAATGTTGAAACTGGCGATATTATCGATGCGCCGCGTCCACAAGTCAGGCACGCCTTCCTTGCAGCTGCCTAGCTCCGTCAATCTCGCAGTTATGCGTATGGGTAACGCGTTCTCATTTTCGAAGAAATAGGTACTATCGGTGTTTGTGTCAAAGTTGGGCGGATATCTGTCGCGATAGTACCAATATTGCGGATTGTCTTGGACTGCAGTGCGCGCGGAGGATGCGAGAGACGCCGAGCGAGAATACCTTGCGCCACCTCTGGAGACTAAAAGGTTGTAATTACCCTCGCTGCATTTAGTTGTACCTACAACTCACACATACAGCCGATCCGCACGCTCGCCATTCTGGAGGCGCAAGCCCCCACACAACGGAACTACCAGAACCACCGTAGACAGGATACATGAGGATGGAGAAGTCTGCGTGGAGGGGTGCCCCGGTAGCCGTCGTCAGTATGCTGCTGGCGTTGCCGACGACGTTGCCACATCGAAGCTTTCGCTTTCAGGGCCGACTGCTTCCGTAAAGTTGCGAGATTGAGTCATAATTTCTTGCAAGTCTCCCAGAGCCTTGAAGTTGCTGAATAGGTTCAATCACTCGGTCTTGTCGATCGCTTCGATGCCGTAGGTATACGGAACTTCGAACGGTAAAAGACATTAGGTTAGTCGAATATGTCGTTACGTTGCTGCTCCAGTCGTTGCGCGGTAATCGGAGGCGTCTGCGATAAGGTAGTTGCCCACCGGGCTACCAAAGGCTCAGGCGGTAACGAGGTGAGCCGGGTGGGGAACTGTACCTACAACGTCACGGACCGGCCTCCCCCCAAGGCGATCGACGTGTTTCCACCAGCCGCACCAAAGCTGTTCACGACGCTGTCTTTTCTCCTCGAAAACGACTATGGGGGCAAAACCAGAAGACACATCATCACTTGTTATGGAGTTGCCGCGTCAAAATGCCCTGCTAGAGGCGCAAGTCGTATTCCCGCCGCTGCGCCGACGTGGGCGATGCAGTCGTCGATGCTGGCAGCCCTACCGTGTGGAAGTGCGCCCTCGCGTGCCGCGGATGAACGGGACGACAACTGTCCGGGTTCCCTGGTGCGATGGGAGTTGACACTCCCTTCTCAGCGACGTTGAAGCTGCTTCTTGGCCGGGGGGACCGTAATTTTTTATGAGGCGTTCCGCGTGCGCGAACGCGTTGCCCGCGACGAAGTCGTCCGTAGCCTTTAGCATCGTCGTATGACTCTTACGCGAACTCCGCCATGCGACCCTATGTGTCTGGCTGCGCGCGGCGACCGTGGGACTGCTCGGCGCCGTATGCAGCGTGCTGCCCCGTCGCGAACGCGCACCGTGGTATTTGGATGGGGATAGTTAGACATGGAGCTGGGTTGGCCGCTCGACCAAGCTCGACTAGAAGACACCTTAGACTTGGCGTCGCGGAGAGGGCGAGAAAATGCAGGTCGAAGATAACCAGCGTCCAAACGAGGGTGCAGTTCATGCGGGGGCGAGTCACAACCATCATGAACGGAACCGTCCCCAGTCCCTACGACTTTGCTCTTTGTATCATCGCTCGTCGGGTGCGTAGATCGTGGTTTACGTGCCAATATATCTCTGCTTTTCATAACCGCGAAGGTGCTGCTCGCCAGGGTCCGCAAGTCCGCCGCCAGTTGCCACGCCCTCCCTCTTGTTCGCCATAACAATCGACCACGAGGCGTAGTCGAGAATACAACCCAAAGGTTGTCCAGGTGCTCGAAAACCAGGAAACCCGAAAAATTCCTGCATTGGTGGATTACTGTCGCAGAAACGCAGCACCAGAAAGCCGTCACAGCTCGCCCACCAGCAACCACTTCGCCACCCAGGAAAGCCACACTGATCCACTGAACAGCATACAAACCAGACGGCGATATGGACCGCGAGTGCAAAACTCTTGCTCATGCAGGCCATTCAGAATTCGTCGACGTGGCTTCACGGCCTGAGCACGATGCTTCGAATCGTTATCTTCAGTAGCTGCTGAATCTGCTGCGCACGCCGCGTCGCAAGTCGACACTTTCGGAAATACATCTAGAGAGCCCTGTCAAGCCAGCTGGTCCCGCTCCATGCCTTATAGGCGCTCGAATATACGCTCCACCGCCCGTCCCTCGTCGAGCAGATATACGGAGGTTAGTAGTAAGGGGCTAGACGCGTCATAGTATAAGATGGCCAACCTGCGATACGTTAGATGGTAACCTGGATTGCGCTTACTAAGTGTACCACTGCTGCGACTTCCCGTCTCCTGAAAAAGCCGCCTCCTGGCCTATGACGAACGATGCTGAAGCCGATTTGCACGGACGTTAACATTGTTTGCCATCGTAGCGTGAAATCGCCTCCACCTGCCCTGCGTAAGCTGGATTGCCATTAGACCAGCCATCCCCAGATCGTTGTCGGCTCAGACAGGGCAGCGAACGACTGTGGCATTCCCCACGCAATCCGGCCGTTCTAACAGTATCATGGACGAGTCCGGCGGGTTTACTCCCTTCCGCTCCCCTCTTTCACGGCACAAGAACCCCGAGTTGTTGAAGCAGGATTCGAAGATCGACTTATGCTTCGCTTTGACATTGTGCGGGGTGAGTAACATTGTAATGGCGAGTGCCGTTCCTGTCAGTCGATAATGCGTGGTCCACCAATTACGGGGCTTCGCCCGCGCCTCGGCGCCGTGCCGATCCTTGCGGCTCTTCTTCCCGACGCGCCTTCTCAGGAGTGATTGTAAGCTGGTTGGTCGCGCCTCGGACGTCGGGCTTCGAGCGCCGCGCGATTACGCGTCAAGGGCGTAACTCTGAGGTTTATGCCGTCGTACGTAGAAGGGGATGTGTTATTCGTATAGTCCCTTGTGGCGAGGGGGAGGATTGGTGTGTCTGCGCGCGTGCGAATTGCCGTTGGTTCCGTGTCGAGCAAACCAATCCATCTTTGTTTGGCCGCTCATCCTGGATGGGCGTGTTCAGGGAGCTCGGCCCCTCGTCCGTCATGAAGGATCACAGCGTCTACGCACAATAGTCGGTGGTGTCTGCTTGTCGGCGAATTCGAGCGTCTTTCTCTTCGCAGGCGGTATGGAACCTCGGCCGCGTCCGTGCAAATCGGAAGAACGGCCGCCGCCAGCAGCGCGGCCCAGTAATAGTCACTGGAGCGAATGTAAGACTTTTGTTTGTCGTAAATAAGTCGGCGGCCAATAGATAGACAGGCTGAAGCGCGCTTTCTTTCTGCAAACGATTTGGGGAGTGTTATAGCGAAATCTCATGGATATTTGATGAATGTGCACGGTGGTTTCCAGGGTACAAGGAGATGTAGTAGCATAGCCTCCCTTGTCGCGCAGAGAGGAGCTTTTCCGCGTGCGGATAGACGAGCCGCCGTGTGTCGGATAGCTGTTTGACAATGCGCAAATCGAGCACATGGACGGAGTTCTCAAAGAGCTTTCGGGGCTTGAAGGGCACCTGTGCGGAGTTAGCATAAGTTGATTGAGTGCTAATAGAGCCGAAGGGACTATATAGAGATATGAGGTGGCTGGAATCCATGGCTGCCGCATGCCTTCGGGTTCCAGCATCTAGAAGGTGTGCTGGGCTCTAGTCAGGTGGCGGCGGCGACGTCGAGTGATAACGTTGTCACCACGCCGAAGGCGTGAAGGAGAGCTTGTATAGACTATCTCGTGGTTAGCAGGAGGTACTGTGTATTGAGCAGCGGGTGCATGCGCATGTTCTGGTTCGTCCAGCTGCGGAAGCTGTCTACTTAAGGAGAAGTCGGCAGAATTTGTAGCAACGCTGCTGGCACGACCGGGGTAGTTATAGGTGGTGTACTCCAGAGTCGAAGAGACGTTGCTACAAAGGTCGGCCTCGGTTCGAGACCTCGGGTCATGGCCGCGCGGTCTGTGCTAATCCGAGATAGGACTAGTGCACGTTTAGCGCCTCGGCACCACACTTTCCCGATGTCGGGTTTCTCAGCCTTACCTTTCTTCTTTACTCTAATACACACTTTCGTACAATACTTATCTTGCACTTCGCTAGCGACCAGATACAGCAGTATGTTTGTGAATATACGCTACCCCCTTCCATTCCTACCAAGCGGCTGAGAAATCCATGGGGAGCTGCAAACGAATATTGGGAGGTACTCTCAAGCGCCCCATCTACGTCCCACTCGAACATCCCGAGCCTAACTACCAGCGCATACATGGCCATCAAGACTTCATGGGCGGGCACGCCGTCTATCGTTCCAATCACCCCAGGAAAGTCATGCGCGTAGAGTGTCTACGGACCAGGGCCCTTTAGCTAGAAGAAAGCGACGAGAACGGGCGGGAAAGGCCGAATAGAGAATACGCACTATGTCCTCCTTTCCAGCGGTGCCAGTGAGGACTTCATATTATCCGGTGATTACGGCCGCGCTACATTCGCGATCCATTCCACTTCGCCTGTATCGCATGGAAGACATGAAGAGCTCCGCATCCACCGCGCCTCATAGGCTGGCGATTGATTCATATTAGGCGGATTCCGTGGCGTCAGCCACGCGGCCAGGAGATCGGAGGGCTCGGACGCGGTATCAGTATGCACAGTTCAGGTAGCGACGAAGAATCGAGGCACCCTCCTCGTCAACATACAGGGTGACACCGGCGTCAACCTACCGATATGGTTAGCAGATCATGTCTGGTAGCTACCCGAATCCCAACAAACAACGCCAGTTGTGTCATAGCCACAATCTGTTGACACAAGCAACTCTCAGGAGACACCCAGAATGTCTGCTATTGCGGGGCTTTCTATTTGTTAATCCCGCTCGAAATCTGAATCGGACGTCTGCGGACATCACCACCATGGCTGATGTAGGCTTCGTCAGCCATGCCGCGATCGAGGACTGGATCATTGCGGGAGTCTCGGCGTTAGCAACGCGTATCAACGTCTCCAAGCATAATGCACATTGTGGCTCACGATGCAGCAGGGCTCCTCACCGCTATCACTCAGCTCGAGCTGTGTGCTTACTCTGCCGATCTCAGCGTTCAGTATCGTGTAATACGATCTGATCTCAATATGCAGCGTCCTACGGCCGCCGGCATGAAGACGCAGTTGAAGGATATTCTCGTCGTGCCAACGTGTCAACCTGGGGCTTTGTGGATGGGGCGATCAAGAGAGGGAGAAGGGCGGCGAGGGATTTAGGAAGGTTTCTTGAATCTGATTCCCATTCAGCGCGCCTGACGCTGCCCAAAGCAGCGCATCGCTCAACACCAACACCGACGGCGTCACCTTACCCCATTTAGAAGTCCCCGTCTCCGCGCTGGTAACCGAACCCGATTGAGAATTGACGGAGAGATGACCGCGAAGAGAAGGAAACTACACTTGATCATTCTCAAGCACACCATCAGCCGGAACGACGATCGCTCATTCTACCAGACGGAGAAGCTACCGCACTGCTGCAGTCCCCGATATTCGACATATGCCCGCCTTCGCAGGCGTACTCACACGTTGACACATGCTCAACAGACCCAGAAGAATGGAGCGTGTCAATATCGTTCACCTCGGCTCCTGTTTCTTCGGCGGAACTGCAGGGACTCGTAGGTTGGCGATCAATTCCCACCGGCTTCTACTGGTTGTTACAGCCATCCTCCCTCCCCGCGAAGTACTCAGAGGGCGCAGGAAACACGTCATATCCAGTCCGAGTATCATCCTAGAAGCATACATTCACCCACCCCACCACGTATTGCCATCATGCAGGCAGCAATAGAACAAGCTCGAGGCCGTACCGGGCAGACCTCTCAGCAATTTTGTACTATCCGGACCAGAAGACCCAGCTGCCGGATCCAAATAGCACCTGAAGCAACTCGGTGGCGATTTGGCGGACGCCATACGTGTCAATAAAGAACTATCGTGAACGATAACAGTAAAGAAATGAGTATCGGCATAGAAATAGTGATCCTGAACTTCGTCACCTAGGGCCTCTAACAGCAATCAACGACGATTGAAACTTTCCCGTTTTCTGCGCTTTCGCAATTTGTAACCTCCTTATGCTGAATTTACACTTGGGCTCCGGAGAAAACTCGTGGACCGGAACGTTTCCGTGATACCCCTTTACGGCAAGACGATACAGCTGTCCCCTCGCACCCTCTTTCTCCATTTGGCACTACAACACCTCTATATTCTCGACTAAACCGGCAAAACAGTCGCCAGAAACGATCTCTAGAGGCCCGCCACCGCTTCCTCACTCTGTGCCTCATCGCGCGCAGCACGAACTCCGAGCTCCTCACAGACGCCTTGGTCCACTTCTTCGACAGCAACCCCACAAGATCATGCGCACTAAGAAACTGTACTTGCCCCCCTAGGGGTGGGCATCCAGCCGCACCAGCGACTAGGCACCTACCTCAGGTATCGCTCGGCCTGGCGCATATACGGCGTATTACGGCTATATCAAGTATATTCAGTCGCGGTTCGAGAATCCAAGTCTAAGGGGTTGAATTATCATACTTACGAGCTGGCGGGCACTTACGCAGACGCGTAAGTGTCCGCCCGAAGATTGTGCTTCATGGCAGATCAATCGATCGGATTATCTACAACCAACTTGCACATTCGAGGACGAAAAGCAGCATCAGCATCGGCATTAGCATGAGCAAGGAAAGGACTTTCACAAGATCTGTCCATACCGGTCACTTCCCTCGGGCAACGGGGATCCGATCAACCTGCACACACGCAAGTGCCGGTGTCACTGTTAGGAATCCTAGACCTTAGTGGGTTCGAGCGCGAAATGGGATAGATGGGATGGGCTCGTGTTTTTCTTCCCTTCGCATTCCCATGTCTCGGACGGATCCCTCGACTCGCTTTTCAATACCGGCAAGGGGAACCGCTTTTCTAGAAATGGATATTAGATTGTATGGTGTGGTGCGCCGGTGCGGTCATGCTTTCATCATTCGGCACCGAGGCCTGATTCTTCTATCCTATTCGAGTCAGGGCGTCATCGGAGTCGAGGTCGAGATCAGACAGAGGGAATACAGGGGAGAGAAGCGCACTGAAGCTTGCATTATCCGCATCTACGTGAACGGTGTCTGAGAGATGGCCGGGGGTCCTGTTTGCGGTTTAGTTTGAGAAGGGAAAATTGTAGGGCGGAGGATCTGTTGGTTGTCAAGGAGAACAGGCTTGACATTGCAGGATGAGGATGCAGCGGTTTTTGGGTAGAACGGGTGAATCGAAGGCTAAAGATGTGGCGGCTGTCGAAGAGAGCTGGCATAGAATAAGGCTGAAGATCTAGCGGTTGGGAGAGAGAAGTGCTGGGGTTGCTGATAACGTCGTGGGCTGGGGACGACGATGGTTCCTGTCGATTGTGCGGCTGCGTGATAAGCACCCACGCCTAGCCTCTGGATGGCGCGCCCTTCGATGGCGATGGAGTCGCAGCGAACGAGCTGTACTGTACGTGCATGGTGCTGAATTCGAGGACAGGTCGGGAGCTGCAGCGTAGGATTTTCACGTTAGGTAACGATGGCGGCACGTCCTCACACAACGTCATCAACCCACACTACCGCCGGCGCAAATTTCACGCTCGTCAGCCGCCTGCGACCTCTACACGGCCTCGGCAGCAGAACCCTCACGCTCGTCTGCCGCCAGCAGAATCCTCCGCCGTCATCAGTAGCGCCAGCTCTATAACTACGCTCTCTGAAGTTGTCAGCTCGTTGTAGGGCGAGAAGCTCTACTAAGGTGCCGCTTTTAGTCAACATTGTTCACAGCAGGAAATTAGCTGAGAGATCGAGTATGAGGAGTTAGATTCTATCCATGAGCTCGGATGCTATGCGGGGCTATGAGAGCTCCGGAGGAGGAGGGCGACGTGTATGGGCCGATGGCGGGCCATAATGACCGTCGTTGGTGGAACTTGGAGGGCAGGACCCGCGGCCTGCTGGCGGGGGGCAGGGGCCGTTCGAAGGTAGGAAAGCCCGCCAGTGCCAGTGTTCTGCGCGCCGCTGAAATACCTCTTTCGCTATGTCGTCAACGCGCGCTTTCTCCAAGAGCCGCCAAATGCGACAACGGTTGCGAAGCTGCAGCGGCAGATCTAGACGCGCATCCCCTGATTCGCAAATGGCCGAGAGAGAGAGCTGACGCGCAAGTCCCTCCCAGTCCCAGTCCCCGCTCTTCCGCTTTTCTCTCATCAAGTCCATGTCGAGGTCCCACAGCCACGGGAATGTCGAGGGACTGATGTCCGTTTCGGGAGCTTCTGCAACTGCAGTCGAGTATGCAGACCGCGCCTTGAGGTTACCCAGCACCAATTCGGTGATGTTAGTGATCTGTAGCGGGCACTGTTCGTGAAGCTATATCTGCTTAGCCTATGTTGGATCATGCTCGGATGTTAACTAACCATCGCCGCTGCCGGATCATCTCCAGCCTCCCAATCGACGTTGCGGCATAAGGCTCCACCGAAGTAGTCATGGGGCTCTGGCAGCTCCCACACACATCCGCCAACACTACCAGGCATCCGTCGGTACAGCACCTTCCACAGCTGCCGGGTGGAAGTAATAGAATCAGGCATCGGCGCCGGCGCCAATGCTGCACTCTCTATGTAGCGGTCCGCAACGGTAAGACAGGCCCGGTGCACGGGAAGGTATAGCGGAGAACCGCGCTCCGCCTGTCTGAGCGGACGATACTCCACATAGAGCGGAACGACTTCTTCACCCGACGGCAGGGTGAACAATCCGTAGTCCTTGTGCGTCGCTTCGAGTCGCACGCAGCGCTGCGGTGAGTCCGGGGGTGCAGCAGGGCCAAGACTAGGCGCGTATTCTACAAATGGGCGAGCTCGGGGGCGAGCTCGGTAGTACTCGTCCAGTTCCTCGGTCTGCTCGCGTGTAACGTGCGCTGAGGTCAAAAGGATAATATCCGTGAGCCATTTTTTTCGTGGCCAGTCGGGCGTCCTGTCGAGCCTCAGGTAAGCAGGTGAGCAGAAAGAGAGAAACGCGGCGGTATAGTCGAGGACAAAGCACCTACCAGTAGCCTGGATCAATCGTTGGGGCTCCGCAGATGCAGCAGTAAATTTGGTCTCGCGATGGCGGCATGGCTGACTGGTACTGAGTAGACTGCTCAGGTGCTCTGCTCCTCTTCGCCAAGTGGTGGGCGTGGTGATGCGGTGGAGGAGCGAGTCAAAGAAGTGAGTCGAAGGAATGGTCCTCGGGGATCGCCAAGGCGCTAGTATCCGAGCCGTGCACATACACATCACTTGATCAGCTGCGACATAGCCAAGGTTACTTCCGTCCTAATGAAACTCCCGAACTCGGGTGCCATTATCACAAGTAGTACCTTTTATTATGCGGGTGTATCGTGCCGGTGCCCTCGCACCCGCCCACGCCGATCAATCACTTCTCGACATCCTCGAAGAACTCCAGGACCCTACCAGCCCTTTACTCCAATGCCTCCTACTTATGCAGGGTTTTGCAGCGGTATAAAGAGCGCAATCACGGCCGCTGCTTCTGTAAGCTACAGCCAATTCACCATGGCTTCTTATCTCTTTCGCATCGCGGCCCTCGCCTTTCTCCTTCACCTCTCTCATGCATGCTCTACCTCGGCCCTCGCGAATCTCTCCTCCACTCATTCGCCACCAGTTGCCCCATCTGTTCCGCCCACGCAGAATATCCCCATCCACCTTTCAGATTATCCATCAAATACCACTTTGCCCAGCAATTTTCCCTACTCCAGTTCCTCTCTTACTATCAGCTCAGTCGCCGACCGAACCTTGACTTCGAACAGCAGTGCTAGCGCTGCAACCACTCTCACAACCCCCTCGAGTCCCTTGTTCATTTCCTCGACCTTGGTTATGAGCAGCGGCAACACCAGCTTCGACGCTACCTCTTCTTTATATTTTCCATCCGTCTTCCCTACCATCACCACGGCACAAAGTCTCTCGAGTAACCCCCCAGGAGGTTCTACACATCCGGATGCTAATTCCCCCACTACCACGGATCTCCCAAAGAGCAGTACCCTGGCCACAACTCATACATCCTCTACAAATCCTCCTATCCCCACGGTGACCTCTCCTAGTGGCAGACCTGGAGTCGATATCAACGCAACATCCGTGTCCTCAGTGATAACAACCTCTTTGCCCCAAACAAGATCAAGCTTGGAACAATCTCAGGCCGCGACCACTACATCAAATGGCGTTCCTGGTAGCACCGGAGGGCTATTAGTGCCCCCGGGCAGCACACTAAGCGCTACTATCACTTCTGTCTCCCCTGGATTCTCTGTCATCACTATTTTTGCCTCCTCCCTCACCGCCAATGATTGGATAACTACGACCAATTCGGAACAACACACAACCGTACTCCCGTTTATCTTAACTGGACCTTATCGTGGAGTCGCGCTCCTGAACCTCCCTCAGCTCCCAAATGTACAATATCGGCTTCCAGGGCTGCCACCATTTCACATGCCTTGCGTGAGGGTGTTTGGTGTGTCCGGAGGAGACTGCACATCGCCGCCTGATACGGATGGTCCTCCTCCACCTGGAATCCCTTCCAGTGGTCCACAGCCGTCTTTCCCGGCTTCGACACTGCCCCCTACACTCCCATCTAGTGGATCACGGCCGTCTCCGCCGTCTCCGAGTAACCCGCCTCCGGAGTCAGGGAGAACAACATACACGCCGTCAACTGCCACTTCTAGATGTGCTGCGACTACCATTGCCTCCAACTGCATAGCCAAATGTGCAACCTCCATGTCAGCCCAATCATGCAACTCATACACCACGTCGTGCCTTCCTCCAGTTACTGGATGCTCCGTGCAAGGGACAACAATAACAATCACGAGCGAGAGTACACGTGCGTGTTTCCCTCGTCGCACCAGTCTAGCAGCTCCGGCCTTTCCCGAATCAACGACCGGCGTGGAGAAACGCGCAATAGCTGGCCGTATTACCCTCGATCCTATTCAAAAAAGAGGCACAGCATCGAAAATAGCTACTCTTGGATCTTGTCGGTTGCATACACCAGCCGCATTACCGCTTACCCGACCCGCCTGGCCTCAACCTCACCCGGAACTGCTCATAGCTGAAAAGAGTGGCACAATGTCATCACGATTCACGGTCGTGCGACGTTACGATAAAGCTACCTCTATTCAAGCAGGACCCTGTCAAAGTGTTGTCTTCACCACCACCCGTCTAGACGCTAATGGATTTGTCAATGCCCCTCCTTGGGTCGACTATAATGGTGAACAGGGTTTCGAGAACTCCCGAATATCCTTGGACCATGCATGTAAGTACGCACACAGATAATTGTAGCGCCAGGCTCATTCATTGTATGCAGACGAAAAGAAGTGGCTGAAGGACTTCTTTGAGAAGCTCGTCAACACCCTTCCTACGTGTGCAGATGCGAACCGTATCCTTTTCAGCCATCCTTGCCAGATTTCCCTTATACAGAATGTTTGGAACGAGATTGCGAGTGATTCGAACCTGAAATTCGTTGCGATGTCTTCATACCTTAACAACGAGGCGAAAGGCAGTTTCTTCCCCAACAGCGGGGGGCGTTTCCACGAGGCGTATGTGAGCCCCGACTACCAGATCTCGAATAACTGGGACCGGTGGACATGGTCCAGCAACCAACTGAACAAATGGTCCGCAATAGATGAGTGGGATGACATGATTGCCCAATTTCAGCGCACTCTCTATGGTGTCTTGGAGCTACGGGGCATGACGGACCTGATCTCGGAAACCAACAGAGCCATTTACACAGCGCTGTAAGTTCAGACCCGTGCAGTGGAGGCAGGAACGCTAACGATCATAGTGTCGAATTTGACGCCAACAACCGATATGCGGGAGATCCGACTTACGTAAGAGCCGTCCCCGGCGGTCTAGCAGCGGCGTACAAGGAGTACATGGAGCGCAACGTCTTACCCAACATCCGCAGGCCTTCTGAGTACCTGTCGGATCTGTTCGAGATGATTCAGACGATGGGGACAGAATCTAGGTCTCTTCCAGGATTCTATTATCCCGAATGGCAGGAGAGATACGACCTGGTAAACGCCCATCAGGAACACTATTGGGATGCTGCGACCAGGACCTTTTCGTGGCGTTACGACTTTAACTTTGACTGGACACCCATGCGCCACGTCAAGAGAAGCGCCGGCTGTCCTCTCCACTGGTCATCGAGTCTGGTATCCTCAGTCCAATCAACGAGCCTAGAATCCTCAGTCCAATCATCGAGTCTGACATCAGTCCAATTATCGAGTCTGGCATCCTCAGTCCAATCATCGAGTCTGGTATCCTCAGTCCAATCAACAGCAGAAGTCCCAACCCTGACATCGGCTGTCGTTACTCCAAGCCCGCTGCCAACCCCAAGTGCATGCGAAGGAAACCAGGTCCAAGGATCCTGCACACAAGCCTCGCTTCCGTCTAGCCCGCCGAACTCCGGTCCTCAAGCGCCAGTGTGCATCAAGCCTCAAGGCCAGCCATATGTGCGCTTCAACGCCACTGCTGCATATTCCGGCGCTGCAAAAGTGTGCCATGATCTCATCGCTCGTCACGTCGTCCTGGATGCCCAGGCCCTTACTCCATACAACGCGGTCTCCAAGACCGGCGCAGAGAATGGAGGCAGCATAGTCTTCACCGTTGCCTTTTATCTGGCAAGCTGCAACCCTGGCACACTAAAGGGCAGTCAGCGGTTGGATTTTGCTGCGATGGGACAGGACAGCTGCGTCTTCAATCTCTACAAGACTATTTCCACCGTCTGCCAGCTTGACAACTCGTGGCCGGACTACAACGCGCAGTATTCTCTCTTGGGTGGCTCGTGGGCCGCTGAGTGTGGTCTCTGGTCTATGAGGGGGGTTGTGGGCGCAGAGGCTGACGTAGCGGATGGTGGTGATGCGGCGGGTGAGGTAGTTGATCTAGGGCTAACGCCCATAGAGGGAATGCTGCACTAGGCGCAGTTAGTAATTCGCTCAACCTTGTTATCGCCAATACAGTATTGTTGCCGAATATGGTTACTGCTACATGTAACTTGGGTCATATATATATAGCCATATTTCTCTTATTCTCAATCAATTAACTCATGTCTCAATACTTGCTACCTCTCCCCACCTTCATAACCTCCCCGCCTCCCGCACAAACCCCCCACAACTATCCGCCGCAAAACCATCCAACCCCCAAATCCACACTTCCAACCCAGCAAATTTCCCCACTCCCCCATACATTTAAATTTCCTCTTCAGCATCCCCAGCACACCGCCCAAGCCCCCTCATCCATAGATCCATGTTGTACTCCGATCGAGTGTAAGAAAATCTACTACACTCTGCATTGTTGTGGATTTTCGCACCAGGCAATGTAGTTCAGACGCCGCGCTGCTCCCTATCCCCTAACGCTCGCTACGAACGCTACGAGCACTACGACAGACTTCTCTCCTCTCTCTAAACCCAAATCCAAACTCGAACCCAAACGAAAAGAAAAGAAACCGCGGTCACACCCACTACCAAGGCTCTTCCTTCCATACCTCCCCCACCCTCTCCCGCACATCCCAGCCTCCCTCTCTCCCCTGTCCCCTCCCCCTCCCTCCTCGTATCCTCCTCCCTCCACGCCATCCACTCTCTTCTACGCCAGCTTCTCCACATCCCCGCCGCGAGATACTATTATCTATTATCTATCCTTGTATCCTACTCTCTCCGCCCTCGTATCGTCTCTCGAGATAAGATGAGATGAGATGAGATGTTGCTCCGGCGCTTGCGCTTCCACCTGTTCGAATTGCACGACGAATGAATGGAGGAAGCAGTTGGATTGGGTTAAGTTTAGGTTGAGTACCGCGCGGCTGATTGGTTAGTCGGAAGGAGCGGGTTTGCTCAGCATATTCTTTCCAGTTTACCGTGTCAGCTTCTCAAGACGACGCGGGCGGAGATAAGCGATAAGTGACGATGAAGGAGAAAAGGAGAAATGGAGGAAGAAGGGGAAGGAGTAGAAGAGTGTCGTGCAGTCATTTCATTACAATAGACTAGGACTAGGATATATACCCAGCCACAGAACCGAAATAGCATCGGTATCCATCCCTACGTTGAGCAACAACTATCCACCCAAGCCCTCCCCATCCCCCAGCACGCTCTCTCTAAACCACGGCAGAAAAACCTCCTCGCCCCACCCGCGACACAGACACCTCAGCACAGCCAGCAGCCGATAACAGCCCAGCAGCGTCTGCGTGTCACCGACCGCCCACGGCGCCTTCACAATGGCGACCTCGTCCTGGCAATCCAGCATCCAGTACATTTCCCACGTATGTCCAAACACAAGCAGGCCCGGCAGCGGCACGCAGCGCGTCTCCGGGGCGGTGAAGCGTGCGATGGAGTTCTGCCAGGCAGCCATCCACATGGCGAGCTTGTACTTTGCGTCGTCTTCGTCGTTGTGGCCGCGCTTAGTCTCGATCGAGATGAGGGCGGGGTGCTTGTCGTTGTACAGGGACTGGTTGATTGTGCGGAGGTTCTCGTCCTGGGCGCGGAGGAGGCCGTTGAGGCGGGATTGCGCGTCGGCGTCGGGCTTCCAGCATACAACAAAGTCGACGACCTTGGGGTCGCTGGCGTCGTCTAGGAAGGAGGGGGCGAACTCGCGGATGGGCTTCGCGGTGGTGACGGTCGTGGACTCGAAGGCGTGCTGGAACGGGGCGAGGGCGAGGGTGAAGAGCGGCTCGTGCACCTTGGTGTTCCACTGCGATTCGTGGGCGCCGTCGAGCGACAGCGTGCGCGCGACGTTGACTATGCTCTTCAGCGTGTTGTACTCCCATTGCTCGCTGTCGACGTCAAAGATGCTGATGTCGGTGTCTTCGACGTTCTCCACCGCCGACGGCGGCGCAGCCAGCATGTGCTCGAACACGCGCTCCGTCCGCCCTAGCTTGTCCTTGATCGCGCGAGGGACAATGCCCACGTCATGCGATATGGATTCCAACTCCTCCCAGTACGGCCCCAGTCCGTGGTCGCGAAGCACTGCCTTTGTGTTCTTGTCGGGGTATAGCCATCGCATGGGCTTGTCGAGGAGAACCGTGTCTCTGAGCTTCTTCGCCGGACTCGCTGATCGACTACGATTTCCTCCGCTTCGTTCGGAGGCTCGACCTGTCTGGGGTACGGGTTCGGAAACGTGCGATGCGCTGTCGGCGGCTACCGAGCTCGTCGCAGTGGTGAATTTCGGGGATGAGATGGTGTTCATGAAGTTGGCAGCCGAGGGGGTGGGCGAGAGCACCGGCACCTTGCCCTGCTTCCGGTCCCTTAGCGTTCTTTGCGACATGTTGTTCTCGATAGGAGCAAGTGCACGCCGCTTTCGTGGCCCCGGCGGGTCGCGACTATACGCGGGGCTGGACCGGTGCTGTGCGTTACGGGCCCGCTTGCGCTTGCGGGCGTGAGGGCTGGGGGAGAGGGGGTTGTTTTCGTTGTTTTCGCGCCACTCGGCGAGAGCAGCATCGACGTCGGCAATCCACGCGGCGACAACAACAGAATGGAGAGTCATTGGCACCACGAAGGTCGGGGATGAGATATGGCGGCGATATAATGGGCATTGTCGCACAAGAATAGGCAGCCGTGTTGTTTGTTTTGGTGTTGAGATGCAGCCGGAGGTCGGAGGTCGGAGGCCGAAGGGGCCGATAGCGCTTTGCCAGATACGGCTAGGACACCGTAACTGAGCTTCTCGCAGGTCGAGCCACCAAAGTCGCAAAGCCACAGATCTAACGACGTCGATGTGGTCGCGTGAACTAGGAAATTATCAGGGCGCAGATCGGAGTGTACCACCCCGTGATGGTGAATGTATGAGATGGATTCAACAACCTGCCTGCACCACATCTGCCAAATAGAGAGCGGAATGCTATCATAGTTCGCTTCAAGGTATCGTTGGAGGTTGCTATGGCTGGCTTTAGAAAGGAGCAACCCGCGTAGGCTCTCGGGCTCGTCTTGCCATCCATAGTATCTGAAGGGAGTGTCAGCGGGGAACCGGCGTGCTGCAGAAACGAGGAGTAATACTTCACAATCCTGGGATGGGCTCCTAGCGCCTCTAGTATTTGCTGTTCGACTAAGAAATTGTTTGCGATCTTCTCTGTCAGCCTCCTGTACGCCGGCGATTCCTTCCATACCTCGGCCGGTTGCTTTACTATCACACCGGGCCGTACTGGAAAGATGTATGAAGTCGAGCCTCGACACTCTGGCGCGGACATCGGTCAAAGTACATAGCTAGAGGGAATGCGAGGATATGGGCGAGTTGAGTTTGGGTCCGGCCGCCGCTCGGCGCTTTGGCGGGGCCGTGCTCTTGGCACCTCGGGAATACGCGACTTCCAGTTCACCCTTCCGTACCCTCTTGGCTGGTCCTTCCACTGGTGCAGACCTCAGCTAACCAGCCAACCTTAGCTTCTCGCTTACCTAAGCCCTCATCCGACCTCACCCACCACGCTACCAAGCCCGCGAACTCCGGCTCCGCCGCCAACCTCCGCCGATACTATATCCTTCGACAGAGAGGTTGTTCTTCGCGACGGTATCATGAAGTATAATTGCTCCAGGTGCGACTGGCTCCGGGAAGCATGCTAAAAAGCACGCGCGATGGTTCCCGCTGACCTCAACTAAATATCGTTCAAGGCCAACTTAGTTGCATGCATGTATACGACGCCTATGTTGAGTTATCAGCTGGTACGCACGAGCTCCCTCTTATTGCTAGCGGCACTGATATGCATCGTAGCGGCGATTGGTATATTCTAGCATAGCTCAGTCGCATTCTGTTGCCGACACCCGACTCCAGAAAAGCGAGAGGGGAAAGAAGGTAGACAGGACAGGTTTTCATGGTGCCTATAACTAGGTGCCCAGACGGCCTAGTGCCTCCTCAACAGATGCACACTAGACCGTTCGCGGAGCAAAGAGATTACCCCCATAACGTGACACCAATAGACTTCCTCATCCTCCTCCCCGACGCCAGCATGCTATTGCGAATGCGCCAAGGGGCTCGGCGCAACCGCAGTTGTATCTCCCTTGACGCTCCCAAGAAAATGACAACGGATCATACTTTTCGCTCCAGCGCTCGTCCTCCTTGAATGCATGTATGTTCCTGCAGCGCCAGCAGCAAGCCTTGGGGTTCAAGAACGCGTCAAGGGCAAATCCAGGCACGTCTGTATACCGCAGAAAGTCGAATTCCTCACTCATGCGTTGTGAGAGTACCATCTCTCGGTGGTCACGGAGCAACCTGGCCCGCTGCTCCTTATCCGGGCAGTACTTGTATTGGGGCGTCTCTTGAAAACGCAGTTCTTCTTCTCGTAGGACCTTGTTAGCCTTGTCCATTACTGCTTCGAGCGACTTTGTGTTCTGGTCCCGGAGTTCGCGCTGTTTTCGAGCGACGTAGTTATTGTTGCACCGCGGCCTGGTACAGGTAACAGCGCACTTCTCTGGGCCGTAAAAGAACACAAAATATGTTGCTGACAGACCGCAGCCTCCTTCGTAATTATGCTCAAAGTGCACCCCTAGCTGTTTAAGGTATTCCACTGTTAATCTGGATTAGCTTTCGTATATTAACCATATGAAAGAAGTCTTGCCGCTGAAGTGGTTCGCAAACCGATCCGGTGATGGGAATATGGCCGCGACGATTATATTGAGCAGTATTCCTTGTGGCTCCCTGTATGGAACGGGCGAATTTGGGGCTAGACGCCATCTGTGATTGTTGATTTGACCGACAAGCACTTGAAGCACTTGAATCACCTTTGCTAACGTGCCAGGGGAGAGATTGCCATCTTCGTCGCCAGAACCATTATCATCGTCGTCTTTGCAGAATATAATATTATCGTAATCTCCGAGACTGATGTCGTTGTTGCTAAATTCAAGGCTAGAGAGAGGAGAATCGGCATCTGTGTCGTTGTCGCTGCTTTCGGAATCGGTCGGGCTTTGAAAGCTGCCACCGCCGCTTTCAGAATCGGTCGGGCTTTGAAGGCTGTCATCGCTATCGCCACCGGAATCAATATCGATTTCAAGTCTGCCATTTCTGTCGCTTGCAGAATCGCTGCTCCCTTGGAGGCAGTCGTTTAACTGGTGCAGCAGCGAGCTTGTATATGCAACCGACTCCCCAAATTGGCTCGTTAGATCTGATATTCGAGAGTCTGGCTCCGGAATCGTTCGCATCAACTGCTCGAAGGTGCTAACAGTTGCACACAGCTGCTTTGTTGTTTGATAGAGATCATCGGCACGGATTTGGTCTCGCTCGGCAGATGTCATGTCAGACACGGGCTGCTCCACGCGCTCGCTATAGTTGTACGTCACCATAGTTGGTTGATTCGATGTGCCTGCAAATAAGTTTACCTGATATCTGCAGCAGCTCAAATAGGGAAACGAGGTGAGAGAAAGTATAAGTCTAAGCCTCTTTCGTACTAGCGTGGACTAGCGCGTTGCCTCATTGGCAGTCACCGGCCTGGGAGCCAATCATCTGTTGAGACAGCCCGCTGCACGTGCTATATGGCCTCAGCGGGAATTGACAGTAGGACCGTCCTCGCCCTGGTCGCTGTCCTCAAGCTCGCACGCGCCATCCGCTTGCGCTTCTCCGAACTTCTGCCTGGATCTACCTTTTGCACGTCAGCTGCGCTCGCTTGATCGTATTCGACGGCCTTCCGACATTCCGCCTAGAGACAAAATGTGGCAGTTGCCAAACAAGTTGCTCTCAAATTGATCTAGCGGGTTTCCTTTGTGGTACGGATATGCCGATGTTTGCGGTGGGAGCTGAGTCGAAAATGCCAGACGCTTCCAATCTGGATCCATTATCGTGGGGCGGTCTCTTAGGCGACCTCTGGAGTGCACGACAATGCGAGGAGGGCTCCGCTGTTGTAAATGCGAACTCTCTGCGAGCAGGCGAGCATGCTGTACCCCCCAAACGGGAATGTAGTCTGGCTTGAGCAAAGGCCTGTCAATGTCGAAGCCGAAAAGAGGACAAGCGGCAGAGCCACATGAGCCTAGCCGGTTGACTGATCCAGGGCCTTGCATCATCGGGACTCCCCACGACACGCCTCGATTGTCCCCTCCAACTAGTCGCCGAGCTTGGAAGGGGGCGGGAATAGCTGAAGCTCTTCTTCTTCCTCTTGGTTAACAAGGGCGTTGCCCCTGTATTTACATAACCCTGCAAGGTACGTCAGATAACATCGTAAGACGTGCTTTGCCAGTGCCGTAAGGTGGAACGAATACATGGCCACTGGGACGCAAAATGGATTCCCGCGCACTCAGCGAATCGCTTCTCAACCTCAGACGCTTCATCTAATGCTTAAAAAGGTAGGGAATGCCATTGAGGATCGTGTAGGGATGACAATGCGCCGCTCTTCAGATAAGGGTGAGAAGTCCGTACCTTCAAGTCGCTGAGGTCGAGGTCGAGGTCGAGGTCGAGGCCAAGGTCGATGTCGAGGTTGAGGTCTCGATTTACTTCCAAGTAAGGTTCCCTTTCAGGTACGCGCTGCCTAAGAACTTTAGCTTAATACTAGCAAGGAAGTAGGAGCGAAATAGGCCTATCTCTCGAGGTAGAATCGCGTGGGAGGAGTGAAGACTCGAAGTGACAAAGTTAGTGGCTAATGCGCCGGAGATGAGGCCCCGATCCGTTGTGATCCGTGCACATGGAACCACAATGCAGTTCTTAAAAAGGATATCAACCACAATCCCCTGGTCTACAACTTATCTATACTTCCAACCAGCCTTGCATTCGCTAGCATGACGGGGACACCCGATCAAGTAGAAGAAGCACGCCTTCGACTCCGAGCCATGGACAAAGAATTATTCTCCGAGCCGAACTTACGAGCGCTACTCAAAGGCCTTCCCCAGATAAAACGCAAAGACATCGAGAAATCCGTCAATGAAATCTCCAGTCTTCTAGGCATGCACCGCGTACACTGCCGCATGCGCATCGGCCACAACGAGCATCAAGATTACATGCTTAAACCGTGCACCTTTCAAGAGAGGGAGCACGAGGACGACGACGATTCACCTCAGCGTGAGGAGATCCTCTGCTTCACCAACGTCCGTAACGCCGTCTGCTTTTGCAATAATAAAGCTAACCAAGCACAGATGCTAGAGGAGATGGCAGACGACTCTTCAAGTACTACGCACGCTTTCCTCATGCTCGGGAACGTGTTTGCACGCCCCCGTGGCACGGACGGCGACTGGGTTGATATTAAGACTAGGCTGTGCCTCCAGCTACTCGATGATGCAGGGGGAGAGTTTTGGATACTCGAGAAGGGCACGCAGGAAGACACCTTTACGGCGACTTGGGTGGCAGAGGACTTTGATGGTCTGCGAGAGGAGGTTGGCATCAATTGCGAAGACGCCACTAAGCTAAGGCTAAAGGGTGGTATTGTGAGCCGTGTTGCTGGAACTGGGCGCCTCCCACGCAGCCTCAGCAGGATATATAAACAGCGCCTAGTGTAGGGGACTAAGGAAGGGGGAGAATTGACACGGCCTCCTTCTCCCATGCTTTAGAACTAGCAACTTTTCCAGGCCCCTCAATTGGAATTCGGTGCGCTAGTCTATATCGTGTCTATCGTGTCTAAAATCTCCTCATCAGCCCTTTAACCCGTAGTCCAACTTCGTCACTGTATAACGCCCGGCACACAGAATTGGCGCCTGTGATAGAGGTTAGAAATACTCATCGCCTCAGGAAGGACGCCTGGCATGCGCAGGATTTCGCCTATCTGCAGGCGCATTTTATTTATCCCTAGCCTGGCAAAACGCTTTCGACCTTGCTCCTGAGAATAACGCCCCAGCGTTCTTATTACAGTGACTCCTTTTCCTACATATCTCTACAGGTTCTTCCCATCTTCGCCATTGTGGAAATCCGCACAACGCACGAATTGTGCAGAAACAGAAGAGAAGAGCTAACGCATCGCATCGCAGGCCCTGCGTGCCAGCGTGATCCCTCCAAGAATAGCCCTGGAGAATTCTGCATGTTGCAGGATGGGAGACGAATACGAATAGACCGCGTGAAGCAGGGTTGATCGAATATGGGAGGCGTGACGACCCACGGAAGACAAACGTCAGAAACCTCTCAGGGGTAATGAACCGCTTCGCAGCCGTTGAGTGGGAGTTTAGAATTGGAGTGGAAGTGCGAAGTCCCCGCTGCGAGAGCCCGCCGATCAATCCACTCGACCCTTCGACGCGCTCTTATATCCATCTTCTGGCTCCTTCACACTCCCGTTATCGCAGCAGATCCCTCAGACCAGTCCCCCAGACCCTGCATATTGTATCGCATAGACGCCCCCGACCCAATGCCATCATCACAACGTTGAACAAAGCAGGTGTGCCAGTGCGGATGTATAACGTAACGGCGGTTCTGAAATCGAGGCTTGTCGAAATTGAGGAGCCACGAAGCAAAAGCGGCAGGATACTGGGTGGTATTAGCATGTTGTTGCGGCACGGCGGCTCCGCTGGACCTTCTCCTAGGTATCCGCTCCAATATCCTCTTGTCCAGTAGTGTCTGCATCCGGCCAGCTTTCCTTCTATCGCTCACCCCGCAAGGCGCGTTCTCTGCTTGTTCTTGTCGAAAGCCGGGTGGGGGTTGTAGACAGCCCTCTCGAAGCAATTGGCTGCTATCTCTCAGTCATTGTCATCCAGCAGCCAGATCTCGTGTTCTTGTCGGGTGGAGGTTGTAGACGGCCCTCTCGAAGCAATGGTTGCCACCTCTCGGCCGTTATCGTACAGCTGCCACCTCTCGGCCGTTGTCGTCCAGCAGCCAGATCTCTTGTTCTTGTCGAAAGACGGGTGGAGGTCGTCAACGGCCTTCTTGAGCAATTGGCTGCCGCCTCTCAGTCGTGGTAGAAAGGTGGGTGGAGGTGGTAGACGGCCTTATCGAATCAATTGGCTGCCACCTCGTTGTCGTCCAGCAGCCAGATCCCTATGCTCCATGACCGCATCGGGTATGCGCCCCGAAGGCAGTGCTCCATCTGGTCTGGCGCTCGTTTCGGGTTTCCTCTGCGGCTTTTGCGCGATCGGTACGTGGCCGCATCTCCGTTGCCGGTATTTGTTGTCGGGGATGCTTGAACTCCCAAATCGCGGAGGGCCTGTCGGGGGTTAGAGGAGCCTCACGGCTACCGCGAGAAGCTCGACGTACCGACTCAAATGGAAGGCGGAAGCCTAGGTCATCCCCAAATCGCCATTGTGTTGTCGCGGAGGGAGCTGGTGAGACCGCCGGAAATGGAGGATGGTGCACAGCCACCGAAGCGCACACTGCCGTCTGAAGAGCGTCGCAGAGTAGCTCCGTAATGCGCCCGATGTGCTGGTTCTAGAGAAGGTCACGAGTGAGGGACGGCAGTTTAGCGGAGGTTTACTGCCGAAAGCGCCGACGCACAGACCTCAACACCACCAGCACCACCACTCGGGAAAACAGCGACGCATCAATACGAAGGCGTTTTTGATTCATGAGCTTGCTCCACGGTCTTACAGGCCCTTTTATGCGCGGTACGAGCTACCCAAGAGAAACGGCGTCGCGGTGCGGAAGCATCTTGACCCCTGGCATTATCCAAGCGTCCATCCCTGGTTGGGCGCGCCTTCGCCTCGACCCCCCTACCTCGTCTTTCGACTGTATACTGTGTCCTCCAAGCCATGTCGCCCAATGAGGCTTCGCTGTCGCCGTCTTCGAGAAAATCAGCGACGTGGCGGAAGCTATCACCGCCACCGTTACCAACCCGAAGAAAGGCAACACATCAGCTGATAAGGGAAAGATCCCAGCACACGAGATCCCATTCCGCGGAAGGGGGTAGAAAGATAAGGTAGAGGCCTCGAATTCGAGAACAGTCTTTCTGGAACGAGTATGGGGGAACCGAAAGATTCTTCAGCAGCTTCTTGCAACAACCAGATTTCCCCGCTACCGCCAACGCTCGCTAAAGACATATATCCGGACCAAGGCTTCAGCCACCAAGCCTATTAGTTTTGTTTCCATCACATCAGCCGGTGTTGAACGACGCGCTTCATAGATAATCCACCACCTCCTCTGGTTTGCAGGCTAGTCTCTTATCGCTATTGCGAGATACCCCGCTAGTTTCCGCTAATGTATCGTGCCGTAGCACAGCCACTTCCTGTAATTCCTGGAAGCATAAAGGGTCAGGAGTCCGCAAACTGGCCGGCGGGGCGCATCAACCGAGGCTTATGTCAGAGTTTATGAAGGGCGAGGTGGATGCGATTTTGCAGAAGAGCTGTCAGATATCAGTCTAGGACCTAATATGCAGACAACGGCTTGCATGATGCCGAATGCGTACAGCAAGCTTCGCCGAGAAACGGAGACGAAGCACGTGACCGCGCGGTCTTTCGCGAACATCGATCTTCCAGGCCAGCAGATTAACTAAGACAGACTTTTTCTTATCAGAGACGTAGTCGGAAACGCATCAGTCGATAAAGCTAGAGGCATGGTCTCATTTTTCGAGGTATGTGGTCGGAAATGCCGTCCGTCGAAGTCGTGGGCGGAGTCCCGATTCCAGGCTCTTCACCAACATTCCGCGCAACGTTCTGCAACAGCAGGATAAAATGCAACACAAACGCAAGATTCTGGCTCTGTGGGATATTGTAGGTGGTACCGTTTCGATTAATTGGAAGCTAACATCTGAAAAGAGTCTGGCAATATCAGGGCTCCCAGAATTCCCGCTTAACTACCTACTTCCGGTCAGCACGTTAAATGGATATCGTAGGCTCTATACCAGCCTCTCAAAGCCATTAGAGTAGGTAATGCTACCTCCGTGCCAACAGCATTCCAAGACTGAAGGCGCCCATCACCAATATCACATCGAGAACCCGACTCCCACGCCTAATGAATTCGGAAGCGCCATCAAGGCACGCGCGAGCCTTCTGCAGTGGCCATAGTGAAGACCCCAGACGCCGGGTTGAAGACTATAAGAGGGTCCATTAGGTACCAACACCGAAGGACTTCAGCTTTCGTCCACCACGATAAAACTATCAGGGGTGCTAGTAGTATATTCGAGGGCGGGTTATATGCGTCGGCCTCATGCCGTCATACCAGCACCGTCATGCCAGCACCATCGTGGTTGGTATTATCCGGAGAATCGGGCTCGACGGGGTCGCGGTATCGACCTCATGTACGGCGTTTCCTCTAACCGATCGGCTCCTTTGTCGGCATTTTCACATTCATACTCAACATCCGTAGCGCCTGTATCCCGTCTAGGACTATCTTAACAGTCTTCTCTCTGCTCTTAAAAGCCGCCACGCTCCGTTCGGTTCCATCACCACCAGGAACTATCGTTCGAGCCGGAAACGGAGTACGCGGAGCCTCCAGTACGGACTTAGCGTCTCCGGAGAAGCTTATGAAACCGAAAAGAGGATATGGAGAGTCGCAAGCAGAAGGTGGATGATATGGATAAGGACATGGAGGTGCGCCTCGAAAAGATTGAATGCATGGGCGCTGCAGCTGGAGAGACGCCGTTGAGCTGGAGCCATGATCGCTATACCGCCTGGTACTGACTAGACCTCTGCTTCTGTAAGCCCGCCCCGTCTCCGGCGAGCTATTTGCGGTTCATAGTAGTAACGCGCCAGGTTTCGACTTCGTCCTCTCGTCTTCTTGCAGGAGTAAAGGATGCAGTGGGAAACTCCAGGGTAGTGTAGCTAACTGTTAGGGAGATCGGGATAAGCACGTAGTTTTAGGAGGTAGAAATAGTACTTAGAAGAAACAGATACAAATATAAACATTAAAAAAATATTAGAAAAATATTAACATAAATCTTTGTGTTAAAAAAATTTTTAATGTTATAGCAGGACGGCTTCTTGGGCGCTTTCTACCTCTTGCGCGGACAAACTCCAGCGGCCTATCGAATCGTAGCCTTTCCCTTAAAAAATTTAAAGCCCGCAGACGCCCTACGTTCTACGAAGTCGGAAGAAAGTGGTACCGTGAGGAGGAGGATTCTTCGACCTTGGGGCAGCTCTGGTTACCTCGGTTCATCCCGCATCCCGTGTGGAAAGCCAACGGCGACTCGTTACCGGATTGGACATGATCCACCTCGGAAAATCCACCGCCCGTTCTCTAAACCCCCGGGGAACCCTTGAGTACCATTGGTTTCGGAGTTCCGCGATAGAGTGGTAGATTTAAACGACCTTGCGCTCCTCCCGGTGCCGCTGTCAAAGACCACGCTGAAGCGGGCAAGAAACACTCGTCCAGATCCGCGAGTGCTGGGAAACCCCGATGCTGACCCCAACTCCGACTCCGACTCCGACTCTGGCGGCGCGCGCATTGACGACAAAGATTCTATTTCGATCTTATACTCTCTTCGATGAGAATCGCAAATCGTGGGGAGAAGAAATCAAGCCGCTCGTATGCATGTGTTTACGAGCCAGCGGATAGGCCACAGGTAGCGGGAACTCGTACGACATGAGTATCCGCACAACGGGATCCCGCGCACGATATCACGCTTGCTTGAAGAGGAGAATCGGCTGAAAGAATGGGACGACGATTCTACTGCGCAGATAGCCTTCAAACATCAGCACAACCTATGCCGAGATCGGCTGCGGCTCGTCAGACTCCAAGAGGTCACCATTCACCGTCAATATATGTCAGGGCCCGAAGGAGCAGTGCGCACCGGCTTCCGAGGAACGGGACACCATTCCGAGGTATACGAGGAGCGGGGTCAAGAGTACCCATGGCGAGAGATGGAGCGCATGGGGGACGTCCCCCCGCAGCCGCTACGCGCGATGCGAAATAGCTCGGAGGGCGAATCGGTCACTGGTCGCGGGTGTGGGCGCAAGTGCGGGTGTAAGTGAAGGTGCAGGTGAAACTGAAGCTAAAAGTGAAGGTGAGAGTGCAGTCGAGAGCGAGAGCGAGAGTAAGAGCCGTGCCGTCAATACCGCGGGCTCCGAGGAAATTACGGCAACTACCAAGCCATCCTACCAGTTCGCTGAGGAAGGTCCAAGAGAGAAGTGCAAAGATGCAGCATAGGAAGTAGATGATATCTGGGACAGTGAGCGGAGTCAGGAAATGGCATGTCTATCTTTCTATCGATCCGAGCGCCATACCCTTAATTCACCCACCCCATCCGCGATGCTGTTTATCCATACATTATCGTCCATGACCTATATGCTAACGCTAGAAGGCATGGCCTACTGGATCTGTATACCTAGCATAGGCGGCGCTGCGCCCAACGTCTCGAGCAAAAAAAAGCTTCTATAGAGAAAGATATAGCGCAATTACTGGCCACTAAAAATATTTTACTGTGTGTAGGAACTTAGAAAGTCCTTTCTTTGTTGAGTTATTAATTAGGCAGTTACACTCTCAATAACGCACGTCTCCCGATTACTGACCAACCCACGTCGGATCCATGACCGTACTAAACCGGAGCCAAAGCTCACTCTCCGTCCCCTTCATCCCTGTGTCCCATGCCACATCGTTCTCCAACTGATAGATCCACCCGCGCTCTAGCTCCCTCCTCTTCTCACCCCCTTCCTCATTCCAATCGTTATATATCTTCCCCCACTTCCTCCGTACCGCTTCTACCTCTTGTTCTAGGTTGTTCTTGCGTTCTTCAAAAACATATTGTAATGCGTTAGGTAAAATATCAAACCGTGAATTCATGATCAAGTCAGCACCATGCGCCTCTGCCGCATGCTGCGTCCACTGTCCTGCCTTCTCAAAATAGACATCGCACCCAGACAAAGGGCAATGAAATGGCTCGGAATCCTCCTTATCAAAGTAATGCCGATCGAGGGCTTCGATTGCAAGAGTCCTGAGGCCTATTCGCTGCAGCTGGATTCTCCCACATTCATACTTGAGTCCCTCGAACTCACCGACCGGGCCATGGAATCTTTTAGGGGGCATGAGGACCGTCTTGCGCTCGAAACCAGATGTCGTGACCTTTTTCCATCCGCCGTCGTCTGCGAGTCGATAAAGTACTCTGTGCCAATTGTTCGCAACAGGACGCGCAGTCCGCTTGCAGCCTCCAGATTGCACCTCCACGAGTACAAAAGCCAAGACATCAATCTCAACTGGGCATGCCTCGATAAGCGCCTTTAGACAACAGGCAACAGGCTCATCGTCACGCTGTCGCATGGACAACGACTCCCAATTCTGGTTGACCACCACTCTTTTCGCGCGAGGAAATCGCGCTTGGAAAGTCTTCCAAAACTCTCGGGCCTTTTCGTAATCAAGTTCCAATACATCGTCTTTGAGAGGAGCGATCTGACTATCAGCGCTCGAGTCGTACTCGATCTCAACGTTCTGCGCGTAAGCCGTAAAGGATAGGTCGTAGCATGTATAGCCTGAGTGCCCGCCGCCAAAGAGCCAGTACGCCTCGATGAGATAGTAAGTATTCGGATCCGCCCAGAAAACTTTTGCGGCTTCGGTGCGAAGCGCCGAGGTACGCATTATCTGATAGAGAGTAGGAGGGGAACAGAAGGTCAGGATGCGGAGTTGAAGCTCCGCGGGAAGCCGGTTGAGGGCCGGGAACGAGGAGGTTTGTGATGAAGAGCGGGGTTGGACAGCGTTCGATTGGACGTATAGATGGAAGGGAATGCGTTCTTCTCCGTCGTCTGTCATCTGGAGGCTCCAATTCAGTGGCTTCGTCCATGGAGGCTTGGATAGTGTGGCCAGTAGATTACAGATGGCTTGCTCCTGCATACTGGGCTTGTGATTGGGTGATTTAGTGGCCGTTCGAGGTACGATATCGCGCTTGTGTTCCGCGGCGGTGCTTGTGTTCGGGGTGGAGGTGTCGTGGTGACGGTGAACTGTGCGCCAAGAATAATGTGGCATGTGATGAGGCCACAGCGGGGACCAGCATTTGTCAGCAGGACGTGTCCTCTGCCAAGGCACAGCAGGCAGCCTCGGGCATTGATAGTGGCACAGACGCTACGAGCCCTCTGCCAAAGGCACAGCAGGCATCCTTGCGCATTGACTTTGATCTGCTATGTACGTAGCCAACCGAGATCGGTGCAGTGCCGTTGATTCACTGGCTACCCCGCCGCCAAGCTCTAAGCTCCACGCCTCCACCAACGTAGCTTCACCCACAATGAGAATCTCACGTCCACCAAGAATCTTGCCTACCTCTCTAAGCTTCAGCTTCACCAGCCTGCAGCTGCCATCACGATATCAGCTCCCTTCAGTCCACCTCAGCAACAACTAGAATCGCGCATTTAGGCGTTTACGTTAGTTATCACATTCGCGGGAGATTCGCGGCGAACAAGGTCGGCGAAAATACAGTTTAATTGCGCACCTATGTCTAGCTAAACGAATGTAGTCACTTTCAAAAAAAAAAAACCTGTCAAAAACCTGTCAACTTGCCGCTAGAGCCCGCCGAGTACTACATCTTCACGTATCGTACATGCTTCCGCCTAGCCACGCACCACGCCTGACCCCGCGGTTCCTGCGCAATGGGTCTCTCTTTGTCATCACCATACCCTTAGTTGCTATCCTCGCTAAATCCAAGGTTGATCATACCGACATGATTGTTAGAACCATCGAAGAACATGCTGAGTGTTCCACCGACAGCGGCCAAATGCTTGTCGTACTTGGCCTTCTGCGAAACGAACCAGCTGACCTCCGACGTGCATCCATCCCTTGAGTCCATGAGCCTCGAAACGCCAGAGGAACAGAGATCGCGCACTCCCTTAGCTAATTCCTTGATCTGTTCGTTGGCAATGGCTGCAGGAGGGTAGAAGTTGATGGCCATTGTGAGGAGAAGATCTCGACCGTTGTGAAGATAGCTGCTTTGTTCATCGTGGGCATTATTGAACTGTCTGTATGCGTATGCGAGTCCACCGTCCTTACTAATGCCTGTCTTGTCGATTATGTCTATGGCATCTTTGCAGAGGCCGGCTGCTGTATTCTTAACGTCTTTAACCCACACAAATTCGTCGTGTAACTGAGTAGGCTCTCCGGTCTTGTCCTGGCACACCGATTTCTGGTCGAGGCCCATGAGCTTCCCTAGTACCTGGATATTATCCGTAAAGCCGCGGGCCTGTATGGCGGAGTCGAAGTCGTCTTTAGCATTCCGGGGGACAATCTCGTGTGCTACTTGCGGATAGGCTCCAGGAAAACAAGCTCGAAGCTGTCCCGTAGTAGGGTTGCCCTTCTTTGGAAAATTAGGGAACGTCTCTTAAACGCAAGCTACGAAAGGGTTATTTGGCGTGAAAGGTGCGCGGGGGTGCTCCTGAGCTAGAGCAGCACGAACGGACGCCATGCTGACTGCTAGAGCAGTGAAGAGTGCTGCGTCGTACTTTACGTTTGAGAGTAGAGTAAGACCTGAGAAATGCTTTAGTGTAAACAAGGAATTAAGGATTAATAATGGAAAGATGAATGAGTTGCTAGTTAGGCAGTAATGGTAGAGAGATGGGTTGATTGCTTGCTTACTTTCTTTCTTTCTTAGCAGAGAAGATGGCTCGCTTTATACAATGCCTCCGCCATGGATCTGCCAGCTGTCTGCCTTACGCTCTTGACAGAGTATCAGAAATTGTGCAGGATATACACCGTGCAGTGGCAAAGGAGTACCTGATACATTTGCCATACGGCGTGTGAAGACGAAACTGAAAGTCTCGGACATCTTGCTTTACTGCAAAAGTGTTCGCAGTGTGTGTTGTCACCACGTCTCCAATCGGGTCAAATTGGGTTAGACATCAACCTCAAGGCCCAATCGAGTTTTTCCATTCAGGTTCGCACGGATCCGAGAAATCACCCCGGAAAACAGACCTAATTCCAGTCCTGCCTGTTTCATGCCAGACTTCTCCTCTAAATCTCCCTCCTTCCTTCTCTACCGGGTGCAAGTGACGCCCCAAACCTACGCCCCATCACATACGCAAAATCCTTGCCTGACTGTCTCTCTGTCATTTACTAAGCCAGCGACCCCATCACCGCATAGCTTAAGGGATCGTTCAGTCGCCCGGGGAATCCGCGGCAGCGACACCTGTCCCTGCGCATGTAGGCGTCAGGCGGCTCCAGCAGCGACATGCCGTGTGGCGAGATGATGGCGTCGGGCGCATTGATGGGAATCTCTGGCTTCTGGGTCCAATCGCAAGTCGATTCCTTCCTTCCTTCATCCATTCGCTCATCCAGGCGGTAAGAAGAGGGGCCGCGTTAGTCGTGAGGAAGAATCAACAAAGAAAGAAGCGGGCTCGGCGGCTCGTGAAGCCGAGTACCTTGCCCCATCCAAGAAGCATGAGGCGGGAATAGAAGATATTATTCCCTTATGTCGAACTCCGAGTCGTCGAGGAGCCTGTCTTCCCTCTTTCGCTGCTCGAGCACTAAAGCGTGATATGGACGTACCACGTTCTTATCGTGCAGGATATTGGGCAGATGCTCGAAGCGGATCGGGTTGTCCTTCCGGTAGGCAGAGCATTCCCGTTCTGCCGAAAGTGACGGCCGTACACCTCTTCTAGCCGATCCTGGTACCGGATACTGGGCAGTAACACCGCGTCAAACAATCATCTCCGTAAAACGACGTTCGATTCTTATGGTAGCTAATACTACAGCCCTTGGTGAAGGTAATTCCTGGATAATAGTACGCTCTGGATGTTAACTTCCCAATCTGTCCCCCTGTGAATGTCTCCGCTTCCTCCAGCACCATCTTCTCCAGCCCGGGAGCCAATCCCAACCTCCTCGTGGGACTGGAGAAGCGCGTACTAAGACACGGTCTCGTCTCGATCGGCATCCTCTCCGTCGACCAAATGCGCCTTGGCCGACTAGGACACGAAGTAGCTACGACTGGGGAGGGCCGAGCGAAAGGGACGCTTACAAGAGTTTTCTCGTCCAGTTTTTGCCCGGCCCGTTCTTTCTCAGTTCGTTCATAGAGATGCCGTATCCATACTCTCTTCTCATAGTAGAGATTCTGGGAGATTATATCCTTCTCGAAGAGGTAGATTTCCCAACAGCGGAACAGATCGACGAACAAGCGACGAGAATAGTGTGCGATGAGGGAAAGGCTACTGTACGTGCATGGTGCGGATAGAGGAAACGGGATATGCGACTAGGAAGACCTGAAGTGGACGTGGTAATTGAATGTAGAAGGTCAAGGCCGGTTTCATGGTGTACGCGGCGAGTTTGTGCCGCAGCACCCAGGAAAAGAACAAGACTACAAGATAGCCATTACAGGCGTAGTAATGGGCAGCGGAAAGTCTATACTTCTATATCTTCATGGATAAGCGCGATTACTGATACGTAATATAAGAATGCACGAACGACGCAATCCCGAACGTGACCTGTGGGATGCGAACCAGGTGCCGCATCACCGCTAAACGCTGTGGTGTACCACCCTGGAGCGGAATAATTTCGGGAGTAAGAGGTGAATGCCTAGTGCTTTCTGGAAGTATTGCCCATATATTCGGTAACAGATGAGGAGGCGGCGGGCGCGTTCAAGGAGGATGGGGGGCCTATGGTACATTTAGGTAAGGAACATATAGGACATTTAAATCTGCATTCCGCGACGCAAGCACCAACGCAACCATGACAGTTAGTTAGCAAACTCCCAAAGCCTCACTCACACCGTGTCAGGTAGTAGGGCGTGCTCCAAGTACTACAGCCCGCAAAACCCGCAGCCGTTTCCAGCATGGTCGTAGTTTAGAAGCTGTGTTGAAAACTTTCAGCAAGGCCCTAACAGCATTTCAGCTTGGTCATTCCTGGTCTCAGCGGCTTGTCGTCGTCGCATAAATTTCAGAGCCCAATTTTGCGGGTCCGCCGCTGAAGACTGGGCTGAGCATATTCTGGACTCCTTCAACGGCGAGTCCAGCGCCACCCATCTCCATTCCTGCAAAGACCCCGACGAGGTCGCTCCCTCTCCCGCCAAAAAGGGCGCTCGCGACAAGGCGCATGGCAGACCGGCATGTTCCAGAGTCGTAGCAAAGACACCGCGTTCATCAAAAAGCTTGGAAAGGGTTATCGACAAAGCCGGAGGTTGCAGGGGAGTGGTCGCCTGAAGCGGTGAATGTAGCTTGCGGAAGACCGCGCTTTGTATCATCGCCATCCGATTCTGAGTCCGCGACATTGGTTTCCTTATTTTTGTCTGGTTTGAGGTTCGGGTCTAATCCAGCAGGTATCCTCATCATGCGTAAGGAGGGAAGTAATGTGCACAGCGAGCGGCTGTAGAGGGTTCGTAGACTCCGAGTAATCGTACCAAGCAGAATATCGCGGAGTCGATCCTCCAGCCCATTGTCCCGCAAACTACACCCTGACAAGAGCGGCTGGAACCTAAGCCTTGTCGATGTTGCAGCTACAAACGTGGTGGATGCGGCCAGCGAGAAGGACGGGTTCCCGAATGCGTGGGATGCTATCATGCTAGAGACATCTACGCTTAAGCAGCCACCTCCTGCCCTTCCCGCGCTACGCAGTGTTGGAGTGGGAGCGGGTTGGAGATACGCCGGTCCGGGCATTCATCCAGAGATAATCCAGGCGGCAATGCTGGCGGCTAGGACTTCCCCGGCGTCCGCAAGGTTTCGAATTGCACTTCTTCCTGGATCCGCAGTTCGCATTGCTGATAATATTCCCCCTTTTCCCTTTCCGATTCAGAGAGTGCTTTTGTACGTAATAGGTCGACTTGTCAAGCTCGTGAGACTAGAAGCGGTGATTTCGTCCAGGTCCGGATAGACATAGAACTGCCAATGAATGTCCTGTAGTCAGCTGATTGTCCGCGGACGATCTCTGTATTGTGTTACTCATCAGCGCAGTTTCCACTGGCGTCTTTCAAGTCCAGAACATGCATTTCGATGCGGTTCAGGCAAGTCTAGGACGTTCCCTCGGATAGAGGGATTAACCGAATAGGCGATGAGCGCCGGTTATTCGCACCTTCTTCATATTCCACTCGTACTCATCCAGTTGGAATCCGTATTCCGCAATGCGTACTGAAAACGATACCGTAGGGTTGTTGCTATCTCGCGCAGTTGCCGCGCTCTCGCGAAGCATCCTTCGTGCTTGGCTGGGTTAAGAGACGACTCCTCGACGGACCTGGGAACGATTCATTCCATTAGATGATGACTTCCCAAACACCTTTGATTGCTCCGATGAGTTTGAACTCCCAATCCCACTTGGGGTAATTAGCTTAACCAGTGAGCCGAATGAGTTCAATGCCAGACTGACCAAAGTGGTCTGGCCGCGGTAACAGTGATCAGGGCGCGGACGGTCGCAGTTACGGCAGCACCATCTGATCTGACCAGAGATTCCGACCTGCTGAAGTAGCTGGCGCGCACTCTCCGCACATACGAATACGCTGACGTATCCACGCGCTAAAAAGTGAATGGAAGGGCGCCGAAAAGCGAGCCGATGGTGGGCAGCCAATGAGGGGCGCGACCAGGAGGCGAAGTATAGCAGCCGTTGAGAAACACATGAATCCACGCCGCGTCATTGCGAAACCTATCAACATCCAGCCGGTACTAACGCAGACCGACAAGATCTGAGCTGACGCCATCAGCGGAGGATACGAAGCTATAATGGAGGGCTATAGCTACAACGTAGGCTTCGGCAGCAAGCAGGAAGGGAGGGGATGGGGAGGCCGAGGAGGAGTCTCGCGCTGCATGTTCGGCCTCATTGTCTAGAAACGCTGGTCTCAGCTCGTCTGCGAAATCGGTAGCGGGGAGTAATCCGAGCCCCAGCTGTGAAGCTCGAGGGCGAGGGGTGAAGCCGACAGTGCGTTGGAGTTCAATCGCTTAGCTTTCCTACTCAGGCTTAGCGCCACACGGGCTGTATCCAGAAATTTCCAAGGTTCTTCGCGCTCGATATATACAATACACCACACTTAGTCAATACACTGTATTTCTCAATTTTCTTCAACAGGTTATGAGCCTGGGCTCCCCAACGCCTACCTCGCCGTCGCTACGATTAAGCACCTCTGAAAGCAGTCAGATTGCTCACCTCGCCGCCGCCGATTAGGCTCTCACTGTAGCTCGTCCGTTGACTATTTTGAGGTCCACTCTTTCTTCCGGCGAGTCTCCTCTCCAAACAGCGCTGGCAAACCCATCGCAATACCTTATGGCATCATTAGTTAAGCGAGTGAAGAATACTGTAGGTTGCTCTGCCCACGTATATCAATTTTTCAGGGGAAGTGGCAAGGACTGAGACATGAGTTGGTTGATTGAGAATACGAGAAATATGGATTTATATATATGACCCAAGTCACGTGTAGCACTAACCCTATCCGGCAACACATTTGCTTAGCGGAGAAGCTGAACCCCCGTCTATTTTATTGGGAGAGTTCGATCCGCACTTCCCTATGCCAAATGCTCTTGTCGCAGGGAAGAATAGCCAGGAGGTTGGAACAGTTCCACAGATCTTCATTTCGCAGCGAGGGCAGGGCAACAGTGCTCAGCCTTCTGCGGGGTGCGTCCGTGCACTTTTCGGCGTCACCTCTTTTCAGCTCAGCCTTCCCCATGCTCTGAACACTCCTCTTCTACCACCATTTCCACTTGTCAGTAACTATCATTTCCGGTCCCCTCATCTCACATTAGTTTGATTTTACTCGCATCAAGCCACTTTGCGACCAAGTTAGGCATCAGCCTAGAACCCGCTAGCCTGACCGAGGATAGCGCCGTCGATCTCTGGTAACTATCCCGTATCCAGTCCACGGGTACCGACCTACCTAGGTAATCGGCTCTCTAGGGCACCTTCTAGTGTTCAGCAACTAATCCGCACGAAGTTTCTGGCGGCTGCTACCGCCTACCGTTCGTCCTTGCGGCACCTTCGTACCACATTCGCACGATTCCGTCCTGTGGGAGCAAGCTGGGTCAGATCCCTCGAACTTGCCTCTCTCGGTCCGATAATTTCTGGTCACGGCGACCTACGTGACGCGAAAGCGGGAGTCCTTCGAGTAGGCATATAAGATCTAGGACGGTTCGGATAGTGGGCGTCTAACGCCAACGGGTCTTCTACCTCAAGAGCCTACCAAATATGGACCCTGTCAGCTTCGCCGCAAGTGTGATCACCCTCGTCACGGCAACCAGACAGATGCTCGGATTTCTGAGCGACGTCAAGGATGCCCCGAGGCAGCGAGCAGACTTCGAGCTTGAGCTCGCGACACTATACTCACTGCTTATATCCCTGAAGAATCGCCTAGATGTCTCAAATCCGACATCAAACTGGCACAAGGCGTTGCGGACTCTTGGTGTGCAGAACGGGCCACTGGCTCAATACAGTTCCGTGCTCCAAGAGATGCTTAGGAAGATCACGGGCGCAAACAAAGTGGTGACGGCTATGAAGTGGGTGTTCACAAAAGAGGACGTAAAGGTATTGAGATCGCGGATTGAATCCCTGAAGAGCACGATCCACATTGTGCTTCAGCTGGATCATTTTGAGCTCTCACAAACGACTAAAGACGATACCCAAGAAATCCGGTCAGACACGCAGATGATCAAGAACGACACTCAACAAATCGGGTCAGACACGCAGATGATCAAGTACGACACCCAACAGATTGCGTCAGATACAACGATACTTAAGGGCCATGCCGCTGCAATTGACCTCAAAGCTACATCAATCTATTCCGCTATACGGCAGCATGAGTATTCCCAGAAGCTCCAAAGCGCGTTGGACTGGGTCTCCTCCACGAATTATCCAGCCCGACAAGCCGGTTTGCTCTTGGAACACCAAGCGGGAACAGGGTCTTGGTTCATAAACTCTCCAGAATTCGGCCAATGGCGCCAGCGACCGAAGAGCACTTTGCTTTGCACGGGAATCAAGGGAGCCGGAAAGACAATCATGGCAGCGGTGGTGATTGACGAACTAGGGAGAACCTTGAATCTAGAGAAACACGGCGTGGCATACGTGTTCTGCCACTACAAGGACCGGATGGGTGAGCAAGGGATGAATCCACTTGCAGCTATGTTGAAGCAACTGGTGCAGAATAAGCCGTCTACTGCCGAACCGCTACTCCAGCTGCATAGTCAACACACGAATCACAGATCATACGCCACTGCCACCGAGATTCGGGACACTTTACGACGTACTCTAGAGCTTTACAGCTCGGCATACATCGTGGTAGATGCTCTCGACGAGTTTCCAGAAAAGGGGCGCCGCGGACTGTGCGAAAGCCTGCGCTATCTCCAAGGGTGTTGCAAGGTAGCCGTGATGGTTACATCGCGGCCAAATCCAGAGATCATTGAGGATTTCAAAGAAGCTGCAAAGGTCGAGATACGGGCAAAAAGTGGAGACGTGAGAGCATTGGCGGCCAAAGAGGTCAACGATTTGCTAAAGAATGTTCGAGGCGATACAGAGCTGGTGAAACGGGTGCTTGATACAATAAGTCAATCGGCGGATGGCATGTAAGTGTAACTTCGTCTTCTCCACAGCATGACTAATCGGACAGGTTCCTGCTTGCACGGCTCTACCTGGACCAATTGGCGGGTGCAGAAACCAAACGAGAAGTCAAGAATATCCTGAATCGCTTAGAGAAACGCGCAGGAAGTGGCGATGTCGACACCATCTACCGCGAAGTCTATAGTGACAGCATCGAGCGAATCCAAAGCCAGCACCCCAACAGGAGAGCTAGAGCCATGCGGGCTCTCGCGTGGGTTACACTCGCACAGCGTCCTCTCACTACCAAAGAGCTCTGTGTCGCCCTAGCCGTAGAGGAAGGAGATGAAGACTTTGATGAGGACAATGAGCCTGATATTGGGAGAATAGTTTCGAGCTGCGTCGGCCTGATCACCATAGAGACAACCACCGATTGTGTTCGCTTCATCCATTACACTACTCAAGAGTTCTTCGACAGTGTTATTCACTCCTGGAATCTCCGAACCAGCAGCTCGCGGACAGCCTCCCAATCAGATCTGCGACCTATAGTATACGTCGCTTCTACCTGCCTCGCTTTTCTCGGCTTCAATAGTATCAAAGACGGCTTAAGCGAGTCCAACTCAGAACCGAGTCCTTGGCTTGACCCAATTCCTGACGTTGGGTTCCTGGGATATGCTTACAATTATTGGCCATATCACGTCAAAAATTGTCAGGAAGAGATAGCTGAGAGGGTACTCTCGTTCCTGAACGATGGGCAAGTGATGTGTAGCGTACGCTGGACTCCTAATGGTTATAGGTGGATTGGGGACTCCTCGAATGATGCCGAACCTTTGCACGTAACGGCCGTCTTCGGACTTACGCACCTATTCGAGAGGATCCTTCAAGCAACCCCAGATGACTCCCCACTCGTCGTAAATGCCAAGGACTCCGCCAGTTGCACTCCTCTGTTTTATGCTGCGGAAGCGGGTCACGTCGAAATCGTCAAGCTGCTTCTCGCCCGTAGGGACGTAGACGTCAACGAATTCGGTTACAATACTAATCCACTCCTGGTTGCTACTGCAAACGGCCACATCGACGTCGTTCACGCCTTACTCGCTCATGGAGCCATCGATATCGAAGCTCGCGATTTTTGGGACCAGGGCGTCCTGTTCCAAGCAGTCGAGAGTGGAAGTGTTGAGCTTGTGAAGCTATTCATCGAGGAGTATGGAATTGCGGCTCACCAGCTGAACTATTGGGGTAAGACCCCGCTGCACGTTGCAACTGGGATAAGCGTGGAGGTCGTTCGCTACTTACTTGGAAGAAGCGATGTGAGAAGACATTGTCTAGACATTGGCGGTAACACCGCTCTACATGCCGCCGCAAGGTCGGCCAGCTTGGGGGCAGTCGAGTTATTGTTAGAAAGTGGTGCTTTTGATGTGAACGAAAAGAATAGGTTTGGGGAAACAGTACTTCATTTGCCGGTGTGGCGAGCCGTCGGAAATATGGACGTTGTCGAACGACTCTCTAGAGTAAAGGGCGTTAATATAGAAGCGAAAGACAACGAAGGCCGAACACCGTTAGAGTATGCCGTCCATCGCTGCAACGCGAGGATCGCACGGTTCTTGATCGACGAGCGACATTGCGACGTAAACACAAAAGACAACCAAGAGAGATCCCTCATGGTGATAGCGGCTCAGAGCTGGGTAGACAGTCCGCTGTTGTTAGAGTTGTTGATCGACAGAGGCGTTGACGTAAATGAGAAAGATTCGGAAGGCAGGAATGCAGTAGTACACGCTGCTGAAGTAGGTAATTGGGAGGTCCTAAAATGGCTCATGAGAAGAGATGATGTCGATCTCGATGTTTCAGACAAGATAACAAGCGAGGAGGGAAGAGAGCGCTTCAACTCTTTGAAGGAAGAACTCGGCAAATAGTCACATACTTCGCTTACAAGGGAACAGAGCGAGATGAGAAAATCGAACAGAATCCAGCAGTTATTATGCTATAAAGGCTATGAGGCTAGGCTCTCTCCGGCTAAAACCTGTGATAGATGCAGCGCTGTGGAGAATTGTTGCGTTGCTGCGAGGTGGGCGCAGCGCACGGAACGCACACCAAAAAGGCATACGAATATGCATATCAACCTCATCTATTCAAGAAACAAACTCCGCAACACAAACCTTAACCGTGCCAAAACTCTACTCCCGTGCTAACCCTATACTCCCAGAAACCCAAAACCCCGCAGCAAACCTACCCCGTCTCCCCATCCTTCTTCTCTATCTCGCCCTCCTCGCTCACCGCACCGAAGCCCCCAAGCGGCGCGAAAACCAGGCGCCGAGGCGGCATCCACAGCGGCGACATCACAGGGCGGCGGGGGCGCCGCGGGCCCGAAGACATCATGCCTAGGTACGGCGAGTCGATGGTGGAAGTTAGGGCGGGGGTTTCAGGAGCAGCAGCAGCAGCGCCATCCTCCCCCTTCTCCTTCTTCACCTCCTCGACTAGTACATCTAGGTTAATAATAGCAAGATAACAATTCATGCGGCCCCAAGCGCTCATTTATATCCCGCAGACAGGGAAAGAAAGCTCATCGCATCGGATTAGAGCAGTCATACCTTCGCCTCCGCGGCGCACCGGCGAGCCCATCTCCCCTGAAGCCGGCACTACATCCCCTTAACATTAGCTCGAAATCTCATCAAAGCTCAAGCCTCTCCATTCCCAACGTCTTTCATCCCTCCTCCCAGTATCTTCTATCTCCTTACCCTCCCTCGCGGTCGTCGCCGTCGCCGTCATCCCTCGCCTCCTCGCCGCCCTTCCCAACCACGAGCCCGGAGGCAACGGCGTCGGCGGCGGCGGCGGTGGTGCGGCCGCGAAATCGTCCTCGACGCGCGAGAACGCGAAGCTATCGCGCGCGCCCATTGCGCTTCTCTGCTTGACGATCGGCGCGAGAGTCGCTGATGCGCGCTCGGAGAGCGCGGGCCTGCGAGGCGGCGTGCGCGGAGGGGGATAGCGGGGGGAGGGGGCGCTCATGTTGGGGGGGTTTGTAGCGGGACAGGATGGAGGGTTGCGGTGCGGTAATGGGCAAGCTGGGCTTGGTTGACGATGGATATTTCGTACCTTGAGCGCGCGGGAGCGCGGCGTGGCCTGAGGAAACTGCGCTTCAGGTGTCGAGCCTGCTTCGTTCCGAGGTTGTTCCTACGAGCTGTGGTGGAGAAGTTATTCTAGGCTTGAGTATTTCTTTGGTTGGTGAAGAATTGTTTTATGAATTCCGCGTATCTTGATGAATGATGGGAACTTGGAGTCCCCCGGGCAAATATACCAGGGCACGGAACGATCGAGCTTGAAATCGGAGAAGGCTTCAGGCTCGAGGCATATTAATTGCAAGTACAGTACTGTGGTAAAACTTCTTTTCGATAAAGTGCATGGCTTTTCTTTGACACTGTGGTGGTGATGGTGAGGGCATCCACCACGTAGTGGATGACTAAGTCACGGTGGGCGGGCGGCTTGGCGTGGCAGGGTGCTTGCGAACACGAACCTCTCCGCACACCGGGGCTACTACCCCACCAATGCACTCGCCGTCTTCTTCAACCACGTCATACGACAAGTTTTCCTAGCTTTTTTCTGTCATACGGCGACAATTGGAACAGTCGCGCAATCTGAACGCGCGGCGTGGGTTTTTTGGAGGCTTGGTAGCGCTGGCCCATCGGTCCAAAGCTACTTCCAGCTCCTCCATCCCCCTCCGAGACGCTGCACAACCACGTTCAGTCGTCAATAATGCTGGCTCATAATCCCAGGCAAGATAGACCCCCTCTCTCTCACCGGCGCTTCTAACGAACTGAATACAGCGACTCGGGCACCTCCGATGCTTCAATCGACCGACTCCCACCTCTCACCTCCCACCACGCTGCGCAGACGCTGTCTAGCTTCCGGGACGACGGTTCGCTCGAATGCTCGAAGTGCAGCTCCGATACATATGGCATATCGGGGTGGGGGACGGGGGAACCGCGGCGGATGCGTGGCAGCGGAGACTAAGAAGGACTGCGGGCTGACCTGAACGCCCTCAACTACGATCGTGCGAGATTGGAGGGCACAGCTAGGAATTTCGGGCTCTATTGCGGTCAAGCAGATGACCGCGGCGACCAGGAAGTTTCCGGGTCCGGAAGGTGATGCAGTGGAACGCAGGTTGCCGGCGCCTTCCCCCACACCACAACGTCGACGCTCCTGGACTCACCTCTCACGTCCTCCACATTACCCTCGCTACATATTCCTTGTGAGCATGGCGGAGATGATTGCTCCCAAGCCTGATTGAGATCGGCACCTTCGACGAGGCGCGGGCCGGTGTCTGCCGCCGCGAAAGGCGACCCGCCGCGTGCGCGCCCTCTTTCAAGGTCAGTCATTCTCAGCCCGCTTATACAGATGCGCGTTAACATATTTAGGCTGCGCTTTCACGGTTCTCGACCCTCCATTCTCCCCACACAGCACCCCGCCACCGATCCACCACCAGAGCGCCTACCTCCCGAACCGAACCACCGAGACAGTTCCTACGACCCCCAGGAGGCTCGCCGCGGCCTCAGACTACTCGCGTGTGGCACGGCAAATACCGAGGTGGGACAACGGGAAAGAGAACCGCGGCTCATGGCCAAGGCATCTTGCTTTCCCACGGCTGCGTGGCTCTTGCCTCTGTAACATTTTGTATGAATGAACCTTCATACAATTCGCTACATCGGGAAGGCATGCACCCCCGCCAGGACTTCGCACCTTCCATGCCTTGACGCCGAGGAGCTACGTTCGCGATACCGGGAAAGAGCACTCCTTCGCACTTCACTCCCGTCTCATACCTACAATATGGGAACTGCTCCGGACACATTGGCTTCCTATTCCTCGTTCCACCTGGTGGTGGCGCTCTCACCCCATCTTCATGCCTCGGCCAGGTCTGACGGCTGCGCAAAGCACCGCTGTGCAGAGGTTCAACAGCCTCTTCAAGAACCGGCAAGACCAGCTCTTGGATGACTATACCGCCCTTCTGTCGACGTTCAACGGCAACACCGACCTTCTTCTTCCGTTAATCGACCGTAACGCCCTCCAGTCAGTTCGACAGCAGCAAGAGACGCACCTAGACAAAAACGGACGGGCGGCCCTCAACGCGGTTCGTACACACTGGGGCATATCCACCAAGCAGCTTGACGGTATTTTCTTGGGCGACTGGGTCTCGACCCGCTTTCTACGTTGCCTTCGGGGTATTGCCACAGACACGGCCGCGACTTGGCTCGAAACCGTCCAACATATCCGAGGCGCACGTTCGCACCGCCGGGAGAGAGCGTCCAGATCGTCCACCGAACACGGCTTCAAACCGCAAGACGTCGAAAAAGCCCTCTGTACTTTGCGCCAATCACCACCCGAAGCCCCAGCAGACTACTCCTGCGCCATCGTCGGCTCAAGATCCTCCTAGCATAGAGCAGCGACGCTCCGCTCCATCACCTGGTCAAGGTGATCATATTGGTAATACCATCATGGAGAACACCGCTGGTATCAGCCTTGCCCGTATTCATTCCAGAGATTCTACCCCAAGGGCCAACGGTAGTGGGAGCTTCGGCCTCGTTGAGCAACACAGCTTGCCAGACGAGGACGTTGAAGTTGTCGACGATGAGAGCCTTCCACACCTTGAATCTGATCGCTCTGATGGACTTCACGCCACTGCGGTCGACAACCTCCAGCACGACAAGTCACCAGGCGGAGCTGGATGGGGGATCCTCGGCCGACTTATTGGCGCACCCATCGTCGACCTCGACGCGAAATCGGAGTCGTTGGTGGAGAAAAAGAGGGTGCTGGGTGATGCGAACGAACGGTACAATGACCTTGAGCAACAAACCCGAGAGAGGTGTGCTATTGAACACGGGGACATCCAAGGCGCGTTGAAGGGTAAGATCGATGCTCTGAGTAATGAACTGAGGCTACAAGAAGAGTTGATCGCCAGCGCAAGCAAGTTTTGGCGGGAATTGGATGACGCCGGTGGTGGACATGTCGATCGGCGATCCGCTGCCGACAAGATGGGGGCTGTCGAGCAGTTGCTGTTTAGCGGCAAGAAGGAGCTCGAGGAGAAGAAGGGGGAACTTGAAGGCTGGGTCTCACGGCATCGCGACGCTGTGACGGCGAAGACTGCGGCTGTGCATGCCCATACAGCGGCGCTGGGAGAATGGGACGCTGCGCTGGAGTCGTTCAACGCGGCCGCCCTCAACTTCCGGAACGAGTATATTTAGGATGCAGTATGTACCTCAATGTAACAGTTCGAGAACGCATTGCCTGCATCTTTATCTAGTCTACACCTCGACAAGCAGGACAACTTGAGTCGCAGCTGCACGGAATCTTCTCGAAGTTGCAAGGGACCGACGCCTCCTGGAGACGGTGCGGAAGGCTTATGCGAGCCCTCACCAAACAGCCCGATCACGAATTATTGCGACACCTGGTACCACTGCATTCCTGCCTGATCGGGGCAGGTCGGCAGCCTGGTATCTCGTTTCGGTGTCGACGGCCAGCCATGAAACAACGTGACGATTGCGATCGCCGAAGTTACGAGAGGGCGTTTGGTATCTCATATCCATCGCACCGCGGTCCGGCAACTTGATGCGCTTCCGAAGCTAGACATCGCCGCACACTTTAACACGTATCTTCTCTTTGGCAAAGCCTGCCGCTCGGTGCTGCGGTCGACTCGAACCGAATCACTAACAGCAATTGGCTGAAGGGTCGTCTGATTCGACGAGTATTGAGTGCCCATGTCTATTATACATACTCCATTATATGCGCAAGTCAGCGTAGTCTCTATGGTCGAATTGCTATATTTTCGAGGTCGCATTGGGCGCGATTGCTTCGAGCCGGTTCTTCGATGTCTTACACTGTCAAGGTTTGATCTACCCAACCTCACGTGCGTACATGTTCCCGAGGTTGTTCCTTACTAAGGGCACCGGATTGTTAAATATTTCATTCAAACAGATATACGAAGGCGTTTTCGAACAATGCAACGTATCTTTACCAGAAAGTAGCCCCATCCGCTTGCTTTGTTGTTGCTGCGTTATTGTTTGTTCGCTTCCCACTAGGCACGAGTATATATTCCCGCTCATCTACCCACGGTAGAGTGTTGATCGTCCGTCAGAGTCAACTCCCTACTGAGTGAATACTTCGTGGCGAAAATAGCCCCTCCATATTTAAGACCGCGATTTATAAGCCTCGATTCGACATCCACCCAAGGAGCAGACATCCAGCCAACCAACTCACCCCGCACTCTACGTCGTGCTTCTTTGGCCGATCCTCCAACCAACCCACCAGGTGCTTCCAAAAAACCCCGCCCCAATCGCGACCACTCCCTCGACCCCGTCCTCGAGGTGCCTGACCCATTCTCGACTCTCTGCTCTTAAGTGGGTACGTGTCTCTATTCGACTCTCCAACCGAAGTCTGTCAAAAAAGCAATGTTCGGCTCATGCTTGGATGTGGACACTATCAAGGGCATTATAGAGCAGGCTCAGCACAAGGACATCTTCATGTATACAGAATTTCTCAAGCTGTATCACAACCTTCCCCGCGACATTGCCACGTACGACCTCGGCAAAGTCAATAGCATGCCTATCCGACTGAAGTTTCACCTGTATAATAATGAGAGCATGGTCAATTACCCAGGTGATGAATGGGACGAGGATCCAGAACTGGCGCCAGCCGACAAGTACTGGATAGCACCGCCGAGGAAGTGCCGAGGAGATGTGGATCACGAGGTTCAAGATGTCGGGATTTTTGACGATAATTACACTACTCTCCTGTACCGAGAATTCTTCGCTCTTCAGCCGATCAGCAGCAACGACAGCCTGACCTTCGGACTCCAACTCGGCTACATCGAATATCAGTTAGAGGCCGAGTGGCTGCCCACACCGATGGTCATCTTCCGCGAATTCGTGCCACAGACCTTGGCATATGGAAAGCTTTTCTTCATCAACCTCACTACGGTGCAGCGCTACGAATGCCTCTCTGAGGAGTACATCGACTGTCCTATCACGAGCTACTTCCAGGACCTTACCGAGATCAGTCATGAGGGAATAGCAATTAGGAAGTTTTCTGGAGTTGCGGCGCCAAAGCGAGAACCCAAGGCAAGCTTTGTCGCTTATCCGGTCAAGACCGACTACGAACGGGTTTGGGCCGACAAATAGGTTTGTTGATGCGGCTTTACAATGCAGTTTGATGATGGGGCCTGGTGGTTTGCGCATCTCGAAAGCAGTTGCTACTCACGAGTAGGCAAATGGGATTCATGGGAGGCAGCTCTTCACATATACTTAAGTACTAGATAGGAGCATAGTAATAGAATATGCTGCACAGGATGGCTACTCCTGCCAATTTGCTCTTTACCAAAAACTGGCAACCTTTGGTGCGTGACCTTCTATCTCCCAAGGCCTCCGGGAACAACAAAACCGGAAAGAAAAGGGCGCGAACTATATCAACACTTGCACCTGTTGTGAAGAAAAGAATTGAGCACTTGTATAACTGGCTGCAAGTTTCGCTCTCTTATCTGGAGATCTTCGAGAAGGTCTTCAACGATATCCCAAAGAAGCCTAGCATTAGTATGTACTCGGAAACAGGAGCACTGAACACGGCTAACATTCTAGGCTCGGCATACCGCTTCATCCTTCGATGCTCTTGGGACCATGCCACCATCTTTGAACCAACGCGAAAGATGGTCACGTTGCTCTTGAATGAATACCCGGAGATTTCGAGCCACCCTGCGTTCGAAGAAGGGCAGGTGGATGAGATGAATAGGAGAGTTTCGATGCTCAACCAGGACATCATGGGGCACTTGGAGAATCTGAAAGAGGCCGCTGGAATCCCGAGATCGTTCGACTTCATCCCAGGCACCACGCCAATCCCCACCCAATCTGCGCACGAGCTTCTAATCGACATGTGTGCCATACAATGCCAGGAAGGTATACATCTCCTGCCCATTAAAGTGGACACTTCTTGCTCACCAAAGAAATAGCCCTCATAAAGACCTCGGCAATACCAGCGCCGTACGACCTTCTGGCCGTTGTTGCCTTTCTCGACAAGGACCTTCGGACACGCCTGAAGGAACTCCATGACATGCATCTGCCCGTCCTCCAGAACCTTACCGTCTCCGAATGCTGCCAGCCCCGAACCACCCATATCTGCATGTCCTGTGGCTTCACAGGTGGCACAAGTCCAAAAGCCGACATTACCGAAGTCAAGAAATGCCTTCAAGTCGTCTGGGATGCCCGCAAGCCACCCGACAACCCATTCTGGGACGCATCAGCCAACACTTATTATGGCTACCAAGTCCCGAACAAAGAGAAGTTAACGCGCGAGGACTTGCCCGAAACCGGACCTCAATACATGATCGGGCATGTTGGCCAGGCCGTTGACGACAAATTCCAAACTCTAGCGGCCTGCCCTGTATGCGAAAGTGCCTGGGCGTACGTCGAGCTCGACCAAACACTGACTTACGATCAACCTTTCCATCCTGGCTTGTGTGCGGAGTACACCACGGCTATCTTATGTCATTCTCGTTGTTCTCGGCTCCTTCCCGTCCAGCAGCTCTTTCAGCAGATTAAAGGGGTTGTTGATGAGCGTATTGCTTCGTACGGATTGCCCGCCTTGGAGGAATAGGAGGAGCGAAGGAGAGGAGAGAGAGCCATAGCCTTTTCTTTATTGGAACCGGCGTGGCCGATTTCACGCGTTAACTGCACCATCCATCTCTATAACTCAACCAAGGAAGATGGATAATTGGGGGGAGGCTTGCCTGTTCGTTCGTCTACAGTAGATAATACTTGATCTCCCGAGTGCTTCGCCGCTTGTTCAACCTTGCACGCTCTTGTAGTGAACAGATCCTGCTCACGAATCGTACCGAAGATGACTTCAAACCCAGCCTGGGCTTGATAGTTCTAGGCGGCTGAAGTTCTTGCTGAATTGATGCGACCCGTCGTTCAGAATAATGTGGAAGAGTTGTAGGCCGAGGACTCGGCACTTAAATAAAAGGACGCGTTTATCCGCATCTTGGTGCCTTGACAACGCTTAGCTACATCTATGACGTCAGGTATATGAAGCTGTCGTGTCCAGTAACGTAGTCGCTGAGATGGCGCCGATCTCGGATCTGCAGGCGAACTTGATGGCTACTGTAGAGCAATACCCAAAGGCCATGCTGGTCGCGCTCTCCATATCCTAGTCTTAATCTTCATAGCCGCACTCCTTGTATTCTTCTCGCTGTCTTCCCTGGTGTAAGACATAATTGATTCGCATCTCGGCATATGACGGAGCACTCCGTCTTATCTGTCAGGACCATGTTCTCAAGGATAGACCCCTCCTGTTGCCGGATATGGTTACTGCTACACGTGACCTGGGTCACATATATATATATAGCCATATTTCCCGTATTCTCAATCAATCAACTCATGTCTCAATACTCTGCAATTCATCCAACACCTCCGCACGCAATATCGCCACTGTGCACGTCTGTAATGATACAAAGTCCTATTGCGTCTCTCTCCTTATTAATCCTTTCCTGTCGCGTTACTTTTCGCATCATCAATTCCTCCGCGCATCGCCGGCGGGCATGGCGCCTCGCTCTTCAGCTACAGAAAAATTAGTCTATTCATGGACCGTCCCACCAGAGGCTCAGTCACAACCACGCCCTGCGCGAGGGTTACCGTATACCAATTCTGAGCGAAAATGGAGCAACTTCAGGTAAAAATCTGGTTGGCCGACGTGGCAGCAGGTGCAGAAGCCTTGTCGGCGGCGAGCGAGCGTTTAATTGCCGCCCGCATCGGGACATCGCAGCCCACCTGCCCACCTGCGAGGACTACGCGCACATATATAGCCGTCGTATGCGATTCTGAGCGAATCCAACGCAGTTCCAGGTAGAAATATTGCGTTGGCGTGGGTTACAGCAGGTGCAGAAGGCTCGTGGGCGGTGTCTGATGTTCCTAGCCGAGACGCTAGCGCTGGAGCCGGTTTAGCGCCAACATTAGGCCGAACTCCACCTGGGCACCTGCACAACGTACCCCAAGCAGCAGCACCACAACCGCGCTCTGCACTAGGCCCGCTTAACTTTGTATGGCCGTCGCATACATTTCTGAGCAGTCCTGGCAAAACTGCAGGTAAAAACACCGCGTTGGTAGAGCTTGCGCTTGCAGGTGGGTGTTTTCGCACCTGCGGGGGCCCCGTTCCTACGTATGCGCACCTGTTCTTAGAGCTGCGCATACTAACATTCGTGCCTTTTCTCGGAGTGCACAGTCGATGCAGTGCTTCAGCTTCCCACGTCCATCCAGCCAACTGATTTAAAGAGTAGGCGTCTTCCTTGACTGGGTCGAGGCTGTAATTAGTCCATGGCCTTCATGTCTTCGTGGGTCGGCAGGATAAGCCAGACCAGTAGGCATCACTGGAGCGATATCCAACGACTCAACCCGAGCACGAGCTCAGTTTCTACCTCTCTACTAGCTAGGCCATTTCGGAAAGGCGACGAAGAGAAAGAGGCGGAATCCGGCGGCTGTAGGTGTCGAGGTAGCAAACGCTTGCGCGCGCCTTTCCGGTGTGGCGCGGGAAGGTAAGATGTGTCCGGAAAGCGAGGGCAATTGCAGCGTCGGCGTGGAGCCGGCGTTACCAGAGGACGTTACGAAGAACTGGTGTCGGATGAGTATAACCTTGGGTGGCTACGCTGGTAGTGTTCCGGCTGATGACGTTACTCACTGGGGCGTCCTGCGTACGGCGCGTGGTCTAGGGAAAGCTTCATGCGCAACCTGGAGAAGGGCGGCCTCTACCAATTCGATAAAAGGAGGTTGAAGCAGTAGCCAAGGAGTGGAGATTGATCATCCTGCCCTTATTCTTCTTCGGAACCGCCCTTCCTTCGATCGAAACCTAGGGCACGACCAAGAGGAACACGGGATGGCGACAAACGAGCACAAATCTGAAGCCGAAGACTATTCTCCCTGCTTGACTTATGTACGGCGCTGCTGTTCTATTATACGTTGTCTTCGGCTGGTCATCGCATGCGAAAACGGCTGGACAATCGATCCTCGATAGCTTGGGGAAAGGGATATATCTCCGAACGCCGTAATTCGTGTATGGATCCCGCTTCCGGTCGTTCGAACCGGAAGGTTTCCGCCGAATCTTGCGCCTACCGGGGTTGTTGATTTGAGATCCCATTTGCCGATCGTTTAGTAGCGATCGGAGAGGGCTGGCACGACTGGGATTTTGCGGATGGGTGCATCTGCATCCACGCATTCAGAATCTCCAACGACGTCAAGTAGGACGGCGATAGAAAGGCCACCATTATGAGAGTGAACGGGAACAACGAGGTCACCACGAAGACGTTCGAGATTCTGTGTATGTTCTGCCCCGACACACATCCTCGACGGATGACAGGAAGCTCGAGGGAGGTTTCGTCATCCACCGACGCTAGGGGTGTACAAGGGAGTAATCGTGATTGACGACAACTTCCTGTACAGCACCCTAAAGTCGAAGATGCAGATCTTCGTCGACAGGTGTGCGTCCACGGACCCGGAGTGGAGTGTGGGCATCCCCAGAGACGGCTGCACGAAGGTGGTCACGGTGTAAACCCCACGTAACAGCATAACCCTGTTCTTGAGGTTCATCGCGGATCTCTCCGGCATGGTCATCAACTCACATGCGTACACGACATGGACGAGGGCTCGACCGTGGAGATTTTCCGACGTCGACCTCGTCAAGCAGAGTATGTCCATGCTCATGGTCACCACCATGATCGCAACAGCATAGTCACGAACCAAAATATGTACACGGTCGCGATCGTGTGTGTGACTTCATTATGAGCCTCTTCGTAAGGTTTATGCTAATCGAAGAGGCACCATATTGAAACGAGGTGAGCAGACTTACTAGTGGGAAACCCCATTTCAAATAGCTCGCCAAGGTGTATAGAGCCAAGCGGCGTGCCTTCGCACTTTTGAGCAAAGCGATCCGTCATGTGCCATACGTGAAGGGTTCCCGCGTGAATCAAGCAATTTCGAGAACGGGGCGTCTCCCAGTTCCGTACTACATGCTCACCCAATTGCACCGCATAGCCCTTTCAGAACAGATTGTTGAAGGGCGGAGGAGCGTTTGCATCTCCGGGATCACCATAGAATTGCGCAATTCCAAATGCACATGCATATACCCGAGGCTCCAGCTCAATCAGTTCCGATTGGGCCAGGAGCAGAAAAGTCGGTAACTGCTGCGGAGGGTGTAAATCTGGCATATTTCCACCTTGACAATGGTGCCGACATATAACGGGAATGCGTTCAAATCTTGACCTCCAGAGCTAGCAAAGAGGCTTGAGAGGCCGGAATCTCTGGTAGATATTAGCCAACTGCAGAGCATCGTGGACTCCCTGATTGAAAATGTGCAAGGGGTAGTTGTCGGCTGCCGGTGCTTGTCGGCGGGAGCGGGAACATCGAGCGTTCGACAAACGCAAACAACGCTTTCTCTGCAAACAATGGTGCAGACACGGTCAAGCACATGGCAAATACCTTACGAATGGGAGACGTGATTACTATGAATATAGCTACACGGTAATGTCACAATACCTCCTTCTTTCACAAAGTGCTTCATTCACGCTTGCACCTCGATGGTCGGTATTCACTTTTCCCAAGGCAGGCTCATGCCCGGTCCCAACATGAACAATGCACGCCTTTTGCCAATAAAAAGGACCCCCCTCCTGCCGAATCTAGGGCTACAACCTGCACACACTCAATCGCGACTCCAGGGTTGACTCAGATCCGAATACACGCAAAATGTCGACTGCAGAAATTCCCGAGAGCCACATCGCAATGGAGCTCGACAATCGATACCGTCCCGCTCGAGTAGGATGGCCGAGGCTCCGGAGCGAGCCGCTGAGAACCCATGTCGAGTCTGACCAGGAGTACCTATCCTCGCCCTCAGAGACATTCGAAGAGCTTGAGCGACTCTTTGCGGCGTATGGTCTTCCCTTGCATCGGAGATTCATTGGTCGGCGTTACTACGACGGTGACCGAGCAGCCGACGCCCCTTTAGCCTTGATCATGGTTACGGACCTTCGAGAGGCGCCCGAGGAAGACATTTCCGAGATCCTCCATCGAGTGTCCCGGACACTTGGCCAGATCAGTCCTACCGCCGAACTCGAGCTCATAGATGCCAAATCATGCTTCGAAATGAAGACTATCGCCGTCCATCCTTCCGAGAAAGCTGCAATCGATGTGTGGGACTCGGTGTCGAATGATATAGTCCAGTATCTATGCCGCCTACAGCAAGAGGAGGGATGTCGTTGGGCAACGGTGGATCTCTTACACCGTGGCTCGGGATCCACGAGAGAAGATTGTCCTTTGACAGTTGTGATTGGTTCGCCGGATGCAAACCAGGACCTCTGGTACGATCGCGCCACCTCTGAAATTCGCCAGTTGACTGATGATCAATTTGAAGTCGAAGTGTTGTACACAAAGGGCTTCGAAGCTCGAAACACGGACGGAGACGTTATCGACATAAGCGCCTATGCAGACCCGATTCAAATGGGTGCATCGATTGGAGAACGAGACACAGAAGGTAGCGGCACTCTAGGCGGACTGGTGAAGCTCAGATCCCCGAATGGACTCGAGAAGTCGTACGCTTTAACCAATCATCATGTCGCGGTGGGACAGCCTCTCGATCATAGTAAGTCTCCCTGCAGTGTAAGAACTACCTACATAACCTCACTAACGGACTTAGGGCTAGGAAGAGGCGAAGCGCTCTACCCTGACCACCCGATCCTTCAAGCCTCAAGACCAACAATGGTCACGCCCGCAGACCACGACCACACCACGCATTTCAGCCAACGTATCGAAGATCTTTACTTCTGGTTAGATCGTATGCACAAGACCGGGGGCCTGCGAGAGCGCTCCGAACAGGCACCCACGAACCAAAAGCTGAAATCCTATCTTCGAACCGCCGAAGACAAGGCCGAAGAGCTATCCGCAGAACTCAATCACATTGAGACTCACAACCGCAATGTAGGGAGTCTTTGGGCAGCTTCTGGGCGCCGGGTTAGGGAATCACTTGTTCATGGGGAGTCCAAAGCGTACAACTGGCTTTGCGACTGGGCTTTGATCGAGATAAACCCCAACAAATCGATGAGCAATGCTGTGGTTGATCCCTCTCCACCTCTGGAGCAGCGACGCAAGGGAGTAAAGTCCATTCTTCAGAGTGGAATGCTAGCCGACGAATATGGCACTCTGAACCCGGCTACAGAGAACAATGTGGCGTTCAAGGGCAGGACCAGCGGATGGTCATTCGGAACGGTCAATACAGTACACTCACGCCTAAACCGATTCGACACCTGCCACATCGCCCAAACCTACGGCCTATCCAAGAAAAAGCCAGGTTACGGATGGGCGATTGTGCCCCGAATTGGTCTCTATACCAGCGAAGTTTCTCTAGGCGGAGATTCCGGAAGTGTGGTCCTGATGGACGAAAAGGATAATGTGGCCCGGTGGGTCGGTCTGCTCTTTGGTTCTAATGCTGCAGGCTTGGCTTACATGGCTCCAATCGACGTCGTGATGGAGGATATTGAAGCGGTCACGGGGTGGACGGTAGTAGAGCCCACTTAACCTAGCGACTGAGAAACAGTCGCCTATCTCTGGCAAGGTGCATCTACCTGGGAGGCATCCGTTTAGTATAGAGCGTCTAGTTTGGGGCTGAAGACTTGACCGATATGCTTCGTGGGTGGAAAGGCTTTGTGGATATGCTAGACTTCACCGGTACATGACTGGAGTAATTCATCCTATGGGACTTTGATATATCTAGGTACACTGTCAGTATACATTCAATACATTCATCCTCAACCTTTGCCTAGAGTTTTCATCTCGTCCCCCAAACTTCGCTCCTCAGGCTCTGCCGCATCAATCCATCTCCCCTCATCCCGTTGCATCACCCTCTCCACTCATTCTCTTCGCGCTGCGACAAATAGATGTACATTCTTTCTAAAGGGAGTGTCGTAGGGAGCGAGGATCCAACATCTGTCAGGATATACATGTCCCAGCCACGTAACCATGAGCAAGATACCTCAGGGAAAAGAATATCATTCAGACTTTGCTTCCCCTTTCCAACCCGGAGCATCGGCGGTGCCACCCCATCTCGCGGTTCGTACTCTCATTAAACTCAGCGCATTCTCTTACGCCCATATATCGTCCAGATCTGCTTACTACGCATTAGCATTCACTTATTTCAGATTCTTGGTTTCTCTTACCTCGACCAAATACTCGAGAACGTTCATAGCAGGGACACTCGTCATTGTTGGATATATCGGAATTGTTGGGTGTATCGAAGTTACTGGAGATGTCGGAGTTGTCGGATATATCAAAGCTATCCAATCTTTCGAAACCGTCGGACCTTTCGTTGTCCACGACCTCAGAGGGCCGACCTCTCGGAGCGCTTGCTGTATCATCTGGCTCTTTGGTAGATAGAGAGGCACTCAATTCATCATCCGTAAACGACTGGCATATGAAGTTCCCAAAACGGCTCGACTTGGGTGAAGGGGGCGAGTAATGTTGAGGAATGAAGATAGCAGAAGAGGTATAACCTTGCTGGACAGTGGCCGGCTTATCTGTTTCTCCCTGCGTGCACTCATGGGCGTCGGTACCGGCCCCGCCGTGGAGTCCTGGTTGTTCTTCCGAGAAGGTTGGAGACCTGAAGTCAAGAATTATGTGTACGGGATGGTTCTCGGCCCACTCCTTGGCGCGGCGTTCAGCCAGTTCGCGATTGTGTTTCTGCACTTCTGGCAACAAGGCCACTATTACCGTTCTTCCATCGAGGTCGAGGAATCGTCGTAGCGGGGGAGAGGGACATGGATGCGGGGACGGTGTGCGAGGGGAGGACCCGAGTGAGAACGGTGCTGTGGAAGGTGAGGACCCGAGGGAGAACGGTGTCGTGGAAGAACTGGACTCGGAGACTGGGTCAACACAGTCTGGCATAGTGAATAATGCGGCGGAATTTCAGTAGAGAGAAGAAGTGAAAAGTTTTACTCACAGTAATGAGGGAAAGAAGGTTGTGCGAGCTCGGTTCCCAAACACAATCCGCCAATCGTGGGTTCTCCGTCATGTTTGCTCCCGTCTTGGCAGAAGTTGAGCTTTCATCTTTTTCGATGAAGACCGAGAGCGAGGCAACTCGCCTGAAGCCATAGCACTGACGACTACCATCCCAAGCCTGGTCTGGGTTTCCATTGCATGGTTCGGCATTCACAAATTTGTGAAGCTTGGTTGTACGGTGATGATAGCGGAGTGCCCGAAGAGCAGGCATCTTACCCCAAGCGCATGGGTGTAGATCCATGCAGCGCCTCGGATTGGAGCATTTTTCTGACGGGTGCTCGGTCGAATGGGGTGCTGCTGCCCACTGCGTTATCCAAGACATCCATCGAGAATATCCCGTCCGTTGGAAATCTCTCGTCCATCACCGCGGACATTTCCGATAATCTCGGAGTTCCATTTGGACAGCGAAGGCTTTCGCTACAGTGAGGGGGGTGCCTTTTCCGGATACCCCATTGCTTAGAAAGTCGACGAGCTTTGCTGGGATAATGGCGAGGGCGGGCTTGTAGGGATGATCGAACTACTTGTGGCATTGCGAACATAGCGGCATGGCGTTGTTGAAATCGCGGTACATATCGAGGTCGATGAGGCATCGGTCCACTAGTCTAGTCAACGGCAGTTGAGCATGAAGGCGGTGGAAAACGCACATTGTCATCCGTTTTCGGCACGACGTGGCGGATATTAAGACTCGTGGCAAGCAGCTGAACTGCTGGTACAGAATGATGATCCGGCCCCTTGTGCTTAGGCTTTCAAAGTTGCGGCTGCAGTACGAGAAGCTTGAGTTGGAGTGTTGTCGCTCTAGCACGCTACTTCCATCCTCGACCTGTCGTGGGGATGTCGACACGCCACGGGCCGAGCAAAGGGTTCCTGGGAGACAAGGCGTATGCGACAATGAGGGATCCTTGGACGGCGAACTGCCTCAGCGTTAGCACTGTAAATGCGGAGAAAGGTATCTCATGCCCTCCCATGCACGTCGCTAGCAGGAGACCTGCAAGCCCAGCCTGGTGCTACCCGAGCTTAGCGCATGGAGGAGTCAACCTCCTCACCTGCACATTCGACACAGGTACCCGTACGCTGCAGCTGCACAGCAGGACCCTTCCAGCTCTGCCAGCCAGGGTTGGCATCGAGGGTCACGCCACTTTTACCGCGCTCTTTTGTCGAGGCCGGAGCTCTCTTGTTACCAATAAGCAAACTCCGTCAGGATCGCGGCGATGACTCGGAGATAGTGTCGACAGCAAGGTTTGCAATATGCAGCATTCGGGATGCTAGGAGACAGCATTAATCATGCACAGGAAGACAGTCAGAGGCTCACGGAAGAAAGGGCTGTGTGGAGGACCTAGAAGGTCACGTGAACAGGAACCAGATTCGGTAACACTTTTTCCGGGACTTCTTATGACATGTTTGGATTCGTTTCTGGAATGGGAAGCCGGAAATGCCGTTTCTAGGTTCCCCTGATGTTGGCGCAGTTAGTAGCAATGCTTGTGAAGCCGGTTGTTATACTGCCGACGTTGGAGTCGGGAAGTCGGACGACGACAGCGGGAACCTCCATGATGACTGAATTGCGCAATATGCTGAGTAGTAGAAAGTACGCTCGATCAAACGACCACTAGGGACAAGTATTAAGGGCAGCTAATAAGATAGTAGCGATGACTATGGGGAAGCATCTGAAGTCGTCGCATTCACAGACGACTAGGATTGTTGGATGGCAGGGATTTCTATAATGACAAAAATTGTTAGAGGACTGGGATTGTTGGATGGCAGGGATTTCCATAATAACCGAATCGCGCGGATATGCCGAGTAATAGGAAGCACAGTCGAACGAATAAGCAACGGGGATGAAGATTAGGGGTGGCTGACAACACAGAGGATCAAAATGGGATCGTTCGACTGGTCCGGCTAATTCACGCACTCCGCGCTATCAAGCGACAAGACACCAGATCCACGGCCCGAAACGCAACGACGGTTCGGAGCGAACACGCGCTACAGCCTTGTCGATCTGTCATCAAGATCATCCCGACCGGTCCTTTGTAATAGCATCAGGCATTCTCAATCGAGCGTCTTCAAGAGGAAAACTATTAATTTCAAGTAACCTGATCAGATCATCATATCACGTGATCCAGTTTTGGCGACGGCGGAGGAGGTGCCAAGGGCGAGCTGCGAGAGGCCGGCCCCGACGTCCTGGCTCATCGCAGCGGCCTCGGCGTCTCGCGGATCAGGCCACAGCTCAGACCATGCGGAACCGACGAAGGCCAGGGGAATGAGCAGTTCGGCGCCACCGGCGGATCGCAAATATACGGTATAGACGACGCGGCGGCAGGAGGAGCACCGGTTTGTCCTCTGAACACCCTTGAGTTTGGTCGTGTTGTGGATGTGGCGCTTCTTTGCGGCGTTGAGGAACTCGACGATGGAGCTACGGTCTTTGTTGTCGTGCGGTGTAGCAGTCTGCGACACCGTTCAAGATCAACAACCTCATGCCACGGCCACAATCAACCACGACCATACCGCGACGGCCTAAGAGCGCCAGCTCCTCGCATACGATGACGCTACGATGACGGGCCTCTCTGTGCCATTTTCGGCGATGCTTGGGCACCCGACCGGTGCGGCCAGCTGAACCCTCGATACCCATCAAGACGGCGGCGAGCCAGCGCTACGACGACAACGGCCACGACGACGAGCACACACAGGGTCTCTTGCATCTGATGAACCGGGTAAGTCCACGATGCCGCCTTTGCGCGCACCGCTTCAGGTCGAAGGTCAGAACTGAGCACCAACGCACGGAAGGAAACCTGTCGAGATAGTAGGACATGAATTGCTCGTGTCTCTGGGCTCCCTAGAAAATTCTCGGAATGTCTCCATGAATTTCGAAAGCTACGCTTGCTGCGCAGCTCAGCGCGCGCCCTCGCGGCATAATGGTGCCGCATCTGAACTCCAGAGCCCCACCTCCAACCTCACCTCGAACACCCCTCGAGAACAGCACCACGGCATCCAAATAACTCACTCGTCTTGTCTTCCATCCTCCTCTCACGGTTCGCGCGGCTGGCTCACTATCTATCGCGTCTTCATAACTTTTTCAGCCCCCTGATCCCCGAATCCAAGAACTTCCCCAACCTCGAAAACCCAGCACTGCATGCGCCCCCGAAATATCTCTCGCTCGTATTCTCCCAACACAATTTCGCAATATTCGGTACACCGTCTACAAATGCATCTGATCGCTTCGTGGACAATGTACACAGTATACGGCATGAAGACGATGCGGGACCGGGACTGATTCCCGAGTTCCACCACCTTCGCCACTTGAAGTCATCCCGAACAATGGCATCGATTCACGGTAAGCTCTTAAAAGCTGGGCAGTTATCCCGGGGTGTATTTCACATTGACTGGGTGAAGGACAGAAGACAAAGCCGGGCCGGCCGCCTGCGTTGAAGCCTTATGCGTGCATTGTCATAATGACGTATCCAGAAACGGAGGCACGGTACTTAGGTACAGAGGCAACGGTTTGTGGACAAAGTTCTACACGTTGGCCCTAAGAAAGACGACGAGTTTGAGGGCTAACAAAGGCGTACACTTAGTTGCGCCTCCAGCTTCGGATAGGGCAGAGACAACAAAGGGGTTGCGGTGCAGGGAGAGTAGCACTATACCATACCGCAAGTTAGCTTAACGGTTAGGCGAGAGAATTGATACGAGGCAGTCGATGGGGTTGTGTTGTGGCGAGCATGGAAGCCCTTTGTTCTGTTTTGCCGAGCTTCTTTGTACTCTACGGCATGGCCTCGTCTCCTCTTTTTTCGCCGCAAACGGACGTAGCTGTCTTCCCTATTTCTTTATCCCGCAAAAGCTTGCGTGTCCTCATCCTCGTTTCCAACTCCTCACCTTCGCCGCCGAATCTCCTCACACTTGATGCCCAAACTCGTCACAGTATATTAGAGCTTCCAAAGTTGTCCCCATGAGCCCTCGCATCAAAAAAGCGCCAGCAAGATTCGCACCACCAGCCGACGAAGTCGAGGACTATCCTCGACGCACCTCTCGCTCTCGAAACGGTAAGAGTCCTGGGAAACGTCACAGCAAAGACCAATCAATTAATAAACTAAATAGCTTCCCAGGGCCGCGGCCCAGCTGACGTCCCCGCCGCTTCAGTGTTCCGCCGTAGCAGCAAACACCGCGCCTTACTCGAAAACAACAGGGACGACGTCGATATCAATTTACCTCCCCAGCCGCAGACACCGCGCCGTGATCTTCAGCTCAGCGACAGATCTCAAACCATTGAAGAGAGGCTACAAAGCATACAGTAGCAGCTCCAGGCGCTCGCAGATTCTCTGAGAGCGCAGCAGATACGCTCGACGATCTTGGAAGTGGTCCTACTTATCGTGCTTGCCAATGGCGCGACAGCGATATATTTTCGCTAGACGCCCGAGTGAATCTATATGGCTTGAGTCACATCACACATTGAGTAGTCGAGGAGGAGGAGGGGGGTGATAGGGTAATTCTCAGGATATTGAAATCAAGGGGGTTGTATTGAACTCTACCTGAACACCATTGTCGTTGTTGCAGAACGCAGCAAGATACGGAAATCAAGGGGGTTGCATGGGCTATATCTGAACACCATTGTAGTTGTCGTAGAACGCAGCAGCATAATACAATCAAGCCTCATTATGCTCTCACCCTCCCCCACTGCCCTGATCAGTACTCTTCCCGAACATATATGGTGAGCCTCCACTCAGGGTGCCCTTAGCAACTACTGCCGTAGTATCAGATACGCGATGAAGAGAATGATGACGGCGAAGGAGAGACGCAGGGCAAACTCGCCCCAGTTGCTGTTGCTGTTGTTGCCTTCTCCTCCCACCTTAACACCCCCGTTATTCTGCGTGCCAACTCGGATGGTGGGCGAAGCGTGGTTCTCAACACTAATTCCGACGCGCGAAGCGTTTCGTCCCTCGTTGATTTGGACCGCATAGACTCCGTCCCCGTCTTTACGCCACTCCTTGACTTTCCCGTCGGCGGTTTGTACGCGAATCATGGTGCGTCCTTGGCCACCTGTCTTGGTTACTACTTTCAGCGTCATTTTAGAGCGAGGTCTCGTCGATTGGCGTTGCGAGGTGCAAGAGCAGGAGGTGTTCAGCTGGGGTGGTGTGGGGTTTCTGTGCTCAGTTGGCTGGCTGGGGAGAGAGAGAGCCGCATCCGTTATCCTTTTATAGTTTTGGGTCGAGGTAGGGTGTGAGTGAATTGTGGAGGAATCAAGCTAGGGCCTCGGGCAATGAACGATTCGGCGTATATGGACAATGGGTAGGCATTTAGTAACAGCAGGCGAACAGGAACTGTACCAGATACAATGTGGCATGTATCGTAGAAACTCAATTATGTACTTCTATCACCGTTGCAAAACTCGGTCTAGGCACCGAAACTCGACTACCTCGACTCTACTAAGCTATATCCGACCCCGCCATGCACAGCTAGATACATCGAATCCCGAATACCTTAACTTTACTGGGACGTATTCGATAAGCCTCATCTCAATTGGCAAACCTACTCGTTGCCACGAGGCTCGCCTAGGCAGCCGAGCACTGGAACTGCACAAAGAGGCGCACCTCCAGGATGTGATCTAACAATGCTCTCATAGTGCTTCCTCAATCCCACAGTTGCCGCACCTTGATATCCTGGTCCTCGTCAAAGTGCTCTACAATGCGGAGGGAGCTTGGTGTTGCCGTTCTAACTACCAGAAGGGAAACGAGGTGACTCGAGATGCAAGAGAAAGACAAGAATGCTCGGATGCGAAGAATTCGACGGGTACGTCGTTGGTAATACCGCTGGAGATGATCCACCGCTAGTAGTAGATAGCCAGGCTCGGCTATGACACCGTGATAATTCGCTTGGCGGAAGCGTGTGCAGCGGCGTAGATGGCAACGGGGAGTGCGCCAGAGCTGCTCTCAAAGCCGCTGCGCTGATAGGCGCACATGGGTAGCTGGAAATTGTACTGCGTAATGAGAAAGTTCTGTATCTCCTTGTTGCCGATGGACTGGGACCAATGTGCTGCTTCGTGGTTGCTTATGGTGATTTAAGGCTGAGACGCTGTATAGTCTGAGTGGGGGACATATCGCTGGAAGGCAGGTAAGCTAGAGCTAGCTCCGCGTTGCCGTAACGATATAGTTGTGCGCGTCGGACATGGTGTTAAGATAGAGTTGTACTTCTATGTGGCGGTCGGCCTAGGCTGTAAGCCTGTCGAAGATGCTAGTAGTAACCTCGAGGGGGTGGTAAGCGGCCCCCATGACTCGAGATCGCCGACGCTCTTCTCCTATTGACGTTGGAATTTGTGGCTATATAGTACCAGGGTCGTAAGCAGAGTGGTGAAAAAGATGCCGATAGTCCACAGGAATTCTCGGTCGCATTTATCCTTAGCTAGTGGCTTGCAGTTGTCTCTCTGACGAATTCTGAGAGGCTCCTCTTCTGCCTTGGGTGGCATGATGACGAAAATACGCAGGGGTGGAGGGGGCGAAAGTGAGAGGCCGCGGCGTGATGAGGCGATGAAGCGTAAAGGGATGTGGCGACGAGATGGAGAGGTTGGGGATAAGCTGCGCTGAACTGACTGGAGTCTGACACGAAAGCAAACATTTATCCGACGGCTGCCTGCACGCCCCGGGACCGGAGATGCATATGCGACGATTGAAAGGCGATGAAGTGCAGAAGAAGGGAATTTAGGCGAAGAGGGTTCAAACGAAGAGAGTCGAAGTGGAGAGGGTTCAGGCGAAGAGAATTTAGGCTTGCCCATAATATACGATGATGAAAAGTCGAGGCGGCCCCGTTTTACAAAGACATCTTGCTTACCGCTGTTTCTATCATTTCTATCTTAACTAAGAAGTATACTACTACTTCTACAACAACGCCCTAATTAGCTGTTACGAGCTGTCCTCTTGACTAAGACCGAGGCTTACTTTTCGTAAGGGGAGGCAAGAGGTATGCTTCGGGCTAGGATCTTTAGTAACAAAGGGGTGGAGGCAATAATACTGTAAATCGCAAGTCTCTATAGCAATTTAATAAACAAAGCAATAACTACAAGAAGCTATAAGAAGCAAGCTTCTTCTAGTTATATATATGTGCCTTTCTTAGCTAGATTAGGCGCTAAGGCCTAGCTCTTGTAGATCTCTTAGATTAGGTCCTAATCTATAGATTAGGTTCTAATCTCTCTAATCTATCTAATCTACGTTACGTAACTCTAATTATTCTTATAACCTTATATATAGTTTCTTATTCTATAACTCTAGGCTTAGTCTACTATTTTCTCTATTCTAGCTAGTTAACTCTGTTCCTAATCCTATAATTGTAACACCTACCTCTCTTTCTAAAGCGTTATTTTAAAGCTCTATTCTATTTCTAGGTATAGTATTTTATTATTCTATATTATTTTTATATAAGAGTAGTGCTACCTATAGTTCTATAGTATTATATTCTCTTTTTCTCTTCTATTCTTACTATACCGCCTACGCGTACTAAGTCTTTAATAGTTTACTATTACTATTACGCTAACCTTATTCTACGTACTAGCGCTAATATATCTAATAACTCTTATAGCGCTTACTATTTCTATAACCTACGTTACGTTATAAAGATATTCTCTAGTTACTATTTAGAGTATATTATAAAGAGTTAGTTCTATAATAAGATGTTAGACTAGAAAGAGGTAGAGAAGCTAGATTAGTTAGTAGCTAATCTGTGCTCTTAGTAGTCTAAGGCTAGTCTTAAGGTAGAGCGCCTTACTAAGACCTAGTAGGTTAAGTTAGTTTATCTTTACGTAGAGCTAAACTATCTATACTTCTAGAAGATATCTCTAAGTAAGTTCTAGTAGTCTACTAATACTTATAGCAAGCGCCTATAAAAGTAGTTAGAGCTAGTATAGCGTCGCCGCGACGTGTTACTTTTAAAGAATCTTACTAATATTAAGAAGCTAGAGTAGCTAGAGTAGAAGGTATAGTAACTCTTATAGCTATAACCTTCTATTTCTTTAGTTAATTCTCTTTAGTTATTTAACTAGAGTTATCTAGAGAATCTAGAGTTCTAGTCTCTAGATTTTAGAGTTAGTAGCGCTAATAAAACTTCTTAAGTTTCTTAGAGTAGTTCTTAAGATTCTCTAGTAGTTTCTAGGTATCTTCTTCTAGTAGGTATTCTTTCTACCTAACCTAGTACTTCTACTAACCTTATATATACTTTTTATCTAGTATTCTTTTAACCTTATAGTTCTAGTCTAGCTCTACCTTAGTTTACTTATTAAGTAGTGTATTATTAGGCGCTAGCTTAAGTTTAGACTTGTAGAATATAGAGTATATTCTTATTATTAATAGTAGCCTTAGCCTAAAACTAATAGGTCTAAGTTATTTATCTATTTTAAATAGTCTAATCTATAGATAGTTAAGTTTCTTACTAGATTATTTAGTACGTAAGTTTTTTTATAAAATAAAAACTTTACCTTTCTTCTTAAAGGTTAGTCTCTTAATTTTTTTCTTATTTACCTATTAAGTTATTCTTTCTACTATTTTTTGTAGTTTATTATAGATTATTCTTATTTAGCGTTCTCTTTTCTCTACTTTTAGAGAAATTATAGCTATATATATTAGAGATTTATATATTCTAGTCTTATAGCTATAGTATACTTAGTAGAGAGTTATCTTTATAGTTTCTTATTTTACTATATTATATACTAGTTAGGCTATAGATAGTAGTTTAACCTAGTTATCTTATTCTTAGTTAACGTAGTTTCTTAGGTATTCTTCTAGAGTTTAGTTTATCTATTCTATTTAGCTATTAGTCTATAGATAGAAGCTAGTTAATATTTAATTACTTATTTCTATTTAGTTAAGTAGCGCGTTCTAGAACTTAGATATAAATAACTTATCTCTATCTATAGTAACCTATTCTAGTATTCTATATTAGCTAAATAGTTATTAGCTTACCTTATAAGCTAGTTCTTTAGCCTTAAGAGTTTTACTAGTTACGTAAAAGTATATATATTTAGTAAATTAGTCTATAATTACTAGAATAGTATTACACTTTCTTTATAACGTAGGTTTAATTAATCTAGATAATTTTATAATAAAGTTTATAGTAATATACTACTATAATACTATAGGTAGTTCTAGAGATTATAGTAGTCTATATAGTTAATATCTAACTATCTTATTTTATTAGTATTCTATATATTTCTATATTACCTCTATAACTTTTCTCTTTATTATAAAAAATCTATATTCTTATTATAGCCTTTTAAGAGTATATTTAATTTCTTAGTATCTATATATTATTATACTATAGAATTTCTAGAGAAATTCTATTTATAGCGTCTCTAGTACTTTCTACTATTCTTAACTATTAGATAGCTCTAGCCTATTATTCTATTAGTTTCTAATCTTTATAATCTTTATAAGTAGAGTAGTAATTTATAAATACTCTTAAATAAACTTTTAGTAGTAGTTTATAAATTCTAAGAAGAATTATACTTCTTTTACTATCTAGAGTATAGACTAGTTTAGAACTACCTAGACCTTATCTATTTTTATCTAAATTCTCTCTTAGGTTAGGTAGAATTCTAAGTAGCTAGTCTCTATATAATAGAATTTACTCTTATTAGAAGCTATTAGAAGTCTATACTCTCTAAACTTCTATAGCGTTCTTTATATATAGTTCTTATATTCTTCTAGTTCTCTCTTTAAGTATATAAGTATATTATCTAGGTAGACTATAGTAAACCTTTCTAGGTATTTATATAGAGCTACGTTAATTATACTTTAGAATATTACTAGTATATTAGTAAGTCTAAATAGTATAACTAGGTATTTATATAGTTTTTCTCTTATTCTAAAAGCTATTTTTTATTTATAGCCTTTCTTAATCTATATTTAGTAGTACTCTTCTTAGATATTAAACTTTATAAACTACTATACTTCTATAAGCTAGTCTATAAGTTTTAAGATTATAGATAGTAGATATTAGTTTTTCTAGGTTATCTAGTTAAGCTATTAGTAGTTAATATATAGCCTTAGCTATTTATTTTTTTTTAGAATAAATAGTACTAGCAAGGCTATTAGACTTTAGCTTTCTTAAATGTATTCTTTTTATAGAAGTCTCTTTAGATATCTTTAGAGTTTCTCTTTTTACTTATAGCTAAGTAGGTATATTAGCTCTAGTTTTAGCATAGCTTTATCTTCTATAGATATCTTATAGTTCTATAGCTTATATTTAGGTAGAACGCTATTATTCTATCTATTAAATAATAACGTAAACTTCTTATAGTCTTCTTTAACCTTCTAAGGTAGTTACTCTATATTAGGTTATAGCTTTTATATCTATATAACGCTAACGTCTTAAGGTTACTTCTTTACTTATTTTATTAAACTTACGAATAATATTCTTCTAATCTTTACCTCTAGCTTTTAGTAAGCTCTTAGGTAGTGTCTTACTCTAGTCTTCTATACTACTTTAGGCCTTTCTTAGAGTTCTAACCTAATCTAACTAATATTAAAGTTATATCTCTATAGCTAGTCTAGTTCTAGAAGTACGTCTATATTTTCTAGTTCTATAATATTATAGAATTATTATTCTTATATTCTCTAGATATCTAATACCTATACCTTAGTTTCTAAGTAAATCTATTCTTAGCTAAAGATAGGTAGCTAGTTATCTATAAGTTATACTTAGTATAGTTATTATTTCTCTTAAAATAGTATATTCTATAGTTTTACTAGGCTAGCAAAAATATACATTCTTACTACTCTACTATCTATATAGACTATAAGTCTCTTACTTTCTAATATAGCTTTTACGTATAGTATTCTAGATTTTAGAGTAATAATCTTACCTATAGTCTAAATAGAGCCTTTCTAGGCTAGACCTCTACTTTAGAGGCCTGCTAGTTTTTTAACTTTAAAGAGGTAGCTAGTACTAATCTCTATTTCTTTTCTACTATATATACTAGGCATCTTTCTAGTAAGTATATAGTCTAGTATAGTTTTATATATTTACTCTTAGTCTTTTCTCTATAGTGCGAGTATTTCTATTCTAGAAAGTACTATCTATAGTTAAGCGTATAGTAATTAGAGTATTAGGCCTTCTATTCTATAGTTTAGTATTATTTCTAATAGTATTAGTATTCTATAGTATATTAATTCTATAGTTTAGTGTAATATTCTTTACTATATACTTTCTTAACTAGTTTAGGCGTTACTATTCTACTAGTTTCTTTTTTAGGCCTTAGGTTTATATACGTAGCTACTTAGATTTTCTTATTATCTAGCTCTTAGGTGCTAATAGCTATCTTAACTATAGCTCTTTCTTCTCTGCTATAGATTATAAGAGAATAGGCCTAGTAGATATAGTTATAGCCTAGGTAGTTACCTTTATATAGCTAGTATAACTTCTACTATAGGCGTGCTTTAATTTTCTAATTATATAGAAATAGCCTAGAGAGTTTCTTTCTCTAAGATAGTTTAGTTAGGTATATCTTATAGAAGAGGTTCTAATACTTATCTCTTTCTATATACCTTAGTTACTATTACTTAGCTTTTCTAGCTCTAGAGTAGTTTATAGAGAAGCTCTAGTAGATCTTCTAGATATATAAGTATACTTTCTTATCTATAAGATATTCTACTAATTATACTATTTTCTTAAGAGCGTCTAACGCCTTCTAGAATTCTTTATTAGTAAATAGAATATTCTAATATACGTGCTAGTAGCTCTATATATTATAGAATTCTATATATATCTAGTACTATTATACGTTAATACGTTATTAGATAGTTTCTAGAGTAAGATATTCTATATACGTAAAGTACTCTAGTATAATAGCTTTAACCTTAGTTAGGTACTATTCTAAGTTAATCTTACCTCTCTAGTATATTATATATTTCTTATTATAGTATACTATCTATATAAGACTATTATAGTTTACCTAAATTATCTAGACTATTTTCTTTTCTTTTAGATATTTTTATATAAAGTATTCTTTTTTACTATAAACTAGATATAGTTCTTTCTTAAAGTATTATACCTTTTTCTTACTCTATAGAGTCTATTTTCTCTTCTATAGAGTTTTAACTTAGTCTAAGTCTATAGAGTCTCTCTAGAATATAGTCTATAGTTATCTTATTCTAACTATTAATAGTATAGAGTAGTCTCTACTCTATTAATACTTTAGATTTTATTTATACTACTAGTTATTAATTTTTACTACTATTTCTATAGTGTTACTTAGGTTCTCTAGTTATTTAGCGTACGCGATATTATTCTTAACTAACTTCTTTAATTTTTTATAGAAGAGTTCTACTAGTATAAGGTTATTCTAGTCTAGGTAAGCGCTTAGCTACCTAAATATTACTACGTACTATAATACTAATCTAGTCTATTATAGTCTAAATAGCTTTTTCTACGCTATTTTATACGCGTTAACTTTTTTAAACGTTTCTCTAAGGTACTTTATAAACCTAGTCTAGTTTTTAAAGATTTTATCTATAAACTATTATATTTTCTTTATATTACTCTTATTTTCTAGCTAGTCTAATATATAGAGTTTAGCCTACGTAAAAGCTTCTTCTTTTATATTTATTATAGCTTCTAGAATCTTATCTTTATTCTATAGAAATACTATAGCGTTATATTATAGGTAGAGCTCTATAGCTACTAGAAATACGTTAAGGTTTTCTCTTTTTCTATTAAAACGTCTAGATAGAGTAATCTTAGCCTAGGTCTAGCGTTTTACTATAGCTAGCTCTTCTACCTAGTAAACGCTTATTTTCTAGAGTACTATAATAACTTATTAGAGTTCTATAATCTATTCTTCTATAGTTAGCTTCTAAGCTTAGGTCTTTCTAGCTTAGGTTCTAACTATTAATATAGTTATTCTACTCTTTAGCGTTAAGTAGTTATTTTATTATAAGCTATTCTCTTAACTAAGACTAAGACTTACTTTTTATAAGAGAAGGTAAGAGGTATACTTTAGGCTAGAATCTTTAGTAATAAAGAGGTAGAGGTAATAATACTATAAATTATAAGTCTCTATAGTAATTTAATAAATAAAGTAATAACTATAAGAAGCTATAAAAAGTAAGCTTCTTCTAGTTATATATATATATCTTTCTTAGCTAGATTAGGCGCTAAGGTCTAGCTTTTATAAATCTCTTAGATTAGATTCTAATCTATAAATTAGGTTCTAATCTCTTTAATCTATCTAATCTATATTATATAACTCTAATTATTTCTATAACTCTATATATAGTTTCTTATTCTATAACTCTAGGCTTAGCCTACTATTTTCTTTATTCTAGCTAGTTAACTCTATTTCTAATTCTATAATTATAATATTAGTCTCTAAATATAGCGTAATAACTATATTTTACTCTTCTAATAGCTTTCTACTATTATTTCTATTATCTTTATCTTTAGTAGAGAAATATATTAACTTTCTATATAAAAACTATAAATAACCTTTAAAGAGAGTAAAGCTACTATATAGTTATATAGAAGGTATCTAGCTTTATTTATATTCTTTTACTAATATTTCTAGCTTAATAGTCTATAAGCTATTTTATTATTTATTTAAAACTTTCTTCTCTAAGAAGAGTAAGTTACTAACCTATTATAAGCGCGTATATAGTTATATAGAATACTATTATTAGTAGCTCTATTAGTAGTAGGCTAGTTCTTTTAGAGGCGAGACTTTGCTTAATAGAGAGCTCTTACTTAATAGTAGAGTTGCTAGAAGAGGCTATAAGCAAGCGCGTTATATTCGCACTAAAGCTATAACAAGAGAAATAGCAAGAAGAGGGCGCGTAGAGAAGAGATAAGAGTAACTATTGTATAGAGATAAGCTGTATAGACTTAGAGCTATACAGAACTATGCAACTATGTTCTTTAGCTACTTCTTAGAATTAGCAGCATCTCCTAAGCTGCCCGCGGGCGTTGGGTCCTTATAGTATCAAGCTCGTGTTGCAGGCGTAGGGCCTCTTTCACCTGGGTGTTCTCCGCTGTCAGAGTCGCCGTCGTGACCCTGTCCCCACCGATCTTACGATCCTTCCCCCTGACTTGATGATCCACTTCTTTCAAAGCCACTTCGGCGTCGACAGTTTCCTTCTCGTGCTTCTCGGCTTCTCGACAGTGTAACGCAGCGAGTTCTCGAGGACCTGGGTCGGGCGTGCTCGCTCGAAAGCGTCTTTTCGAGAATTTTTGCTTCCTTTTGCAATGCTTCGGAGCGTGCTTCCGCGTCGCGCCTTTCGCGGTGAGCGCGTTCGATATGGACGAGCACGTTTTACCAACCGGGTTGTGATATAGTGGGTGCTGAGGGACAGGGGAACTCCAAAAGAGAACCGATATGGGATATCAGGAGAAGAAATTGGGCTCTTTAGATGAAGGATGATTGAGCCGTCGTCGATGTCGAGGGCCTGAAAAGTGTACGGTCGTCTAAGCTCCTTGGCAACTTCAAGGGCTCGGGCGCGTTCCAAGGACGAGCACACCATTGCCGTCAAGCTCATCGATGGCCGTGGTTGGCGCGAGGCTGTGTGGGTATATGATATGTACTGGGATGGCGGACGTAGAAGTGTGCAGTGCATAGCATGTCCTGATTTCCTTCGGACGTGGAAGGTCGGTGCAGCTTCTATGCACAGAAGTTTGACCACTGGTCAAACATGTGAAAGGCAGAGTTGTTGTTAACTTACCTGGCCATGCTCCACCAAGCACAAGGGCGCCCATGTGTCGCCCTCCCTTCCGAGGAGCTCCAAAACTTTTCCGTTCCGCCGGATGAAGCCGTTGAGGACGATCGAGACTGCGAGCGCGTCCGAGAGCGCGTACTTGTCATCGGTCCGCCGCCTATCGCGCGCATATCCTAAGGTGAATTAACAGACGAATAGGTGGGTGACCATAAGCGAACAATTGTACCTCAGACCTTTGTAGGTAAGCGAGCAAGTGGTGATGCGAGCTCTCTGATTGGCTCAAATAATTTTGTCGATGCGAGGGAGACCCACTTTTTGAAGCTCGATCTCGAAAATGATAATCTGGTCGTTCAGTCCATTATTCTGGCAGCGTTGCCTTGCTGTGGGTTGGTGTCTCCGGAGTGCTCATTGGGAGAACGGCTGCACCCAATAATTAGAAGTCGGAGGCACTCGAATTCACACATATCGCCCGCATCGACCTCCGCAAGTATTCTTGCAGGCTGCAGTGCCGGATAAGGTGTTCGGGCATAGGCGAGATCGAAACGACCCGCCCGGGCCGATCCCGGGCCTGACCTGGCACTATTCCGTACGAGGGCTAGCGTTTACTAGACTTGGCAAGAACTTTCAATCCACCATCACAACGCCGGACCCGCTGCATACACTCCACCTCTTCGTCCGCACCACACACACACTTCCTCTCTCTCTCTCTCTCCACGCACCTCTCCGCTCATGCCGAAACGCTTGCGGTCAAGCAGCTCTTCATCGGCCGGAGGCGACACCGACGCGCTGACCGCCAAACAGCCCGCCGCCAACCCCTCCCCGCGCTCCCCTCCCTGCTCCGGCTGCTCGCTGCCACTCACCCACACAAACGTCGGAGCCCTCTCCAGCCATAACCCGCGCTACTGGAAGCTACAGTCAACATCCAACTCTGCGTCGGCGTCTTCGGTGTCGGCGGGCGAATCGTCAGCCGCTTCCGAGTCGCCGATGAAGAAGAAGTGGGACAAACAGTCGAAGCTGGCTGCCTATGAAATCGATGTGGACACAACACACCCCTGGCCACAAGCGCTTCAGAGGCACATCGAGCAAGAGCTCTTCAAGCAGATCCCAGGCACGCGCTCGCCAAACGCAAAGAAGATAGTCGACCTCCGCCGACCTGCGGCCCTGGAGAATGAACCCGGAGCCAACCGCTTGCTCGAGCCGTTGCTATTGTTCTCGAATTCACCGCTGGCGGTTCCGGGCATAGCCTCTAAGCCGAATCACAATCTGGACCGCCAATTCCTCCCCAATGCTCCAAGCAAAATCATCGAGACTGAGTATGGCCTTCTTACACAACCACAGCCCGACACAGCGACCGGCTATCTATCCCCAACTGAGGCTGGCAAGTACACACCACGTCTGGCCACCGCATTTACAAAGGAGGAGCAGGCAATGTTGCGCCAGTGAGTAATCCCTGGGCCTGGCTTCACTACATACAGCTAAACTGACAGCGTAGCTTCACGCTAAATCCAGGCTTGTTGTTCCCGCTCCTTACCTCTCAATGGAAGCCCGCAAACGGCGAAGCTCACCAGGTCGCCATGTGCCAGACTGCCCGCGACGGCGCAGCCGTTGTCAACTACCTACACGACTACTACCAAATCGCCTACAATCGGCCCGCTACCGTTGTCGAGGCGCTGCACGTCTCCGTTACGTGCAACGTCGAGATTGTCAATATATGGCTACACTGGCGCGAGGATGACGGGGCTGGCCAGCCGAAGCATTACATGAAGTCAATCCACGCCTGTACCACGTGGACAGAGCCGCCGCTGCTCGAAGCGCGGGCTATCCTCAAGAACCTGGTCCGGTATGCCCTCGATGAGCGTGTCGCGTCCATCAAGGCAGCCCTGCCGCATTTCTACAACAACAAGCTGAAGATGAAGGGTCCGGGGTCGAGGCTCAAGGCCAATACGGGCAGGGGCTCCGCGGCATCCATTCGGCCACCTACGCCCATGTCAACTCCATTTTCGCCGCCACCCCAGGTCAGGCAGTCAATGCCGCCCCAGAAGAAGCGGAGGCCGGCAGAGGAGAGAGTCGAGAGCGAGGACGAGCTGCAGGTTTGAGTTATAATCGTGCGGCCTGGGTTATTGCGTCTTTGGGGTTCTGCTGGGCTGGCGCAAACGGATGTGCCATCATCAAGAGCGATGCGTGTAGGAGGGTTGGTTTTAGGTACGCTATCGCTGGATACACAGCCGCCCGATACTATACTGACCATATTCCCGGCCACGGCGAAGCCCAGGACGAGCGCCGGAATTGTTGCAAGCTCACCGCCACCTTGATCTAGATATCCACACAGACTTACGCGAACGGGACCCGTGCGGGCAATATGGATGGAGGACAGATGCTGTATACGGAACGCGAAGTGGGACGCCCTCTCTACGTGACATGCTGAAGAACACAGAAACCACTTTGACGCCCTCCCGATCAAGCCCAACATCACGCTCTCGATGCGGCTAACCCTGGGGAGCGGCGCGACATCAAGGTCTTGTTCGTCACCCCCTCCTCTTCATCGCTGGTCTGGTCGAAGACGCTCCGCGGGCACAGACAAGCCGTGACGCCAGTGCGTGAAGGGAGAAGGCGGCGATGAGGAGACGTAGCTTTATGACCGTGTCGTAGAGCTCGACAGCGGTCACGCGAGAACTCCGCGCCATTGGGCGTCGTCATACTTTGGAAAGGAATGAGCCCTTGGCGCTAACCTAGACCTTGACCTTCGCCCGTATCGAGTTCTTCTTCACATTGCGCTCGACATCTAGCAGCTCAAGCTCGACAGCTCAGTCAGGCATCCGAGACCGGCGCTTGATCACTGACTTGGAGGCCGACACGCTTCCGCTAAACAATAGGTAGTGCGTGGCACCAGTCTTAGGCAGCTAGAACTCAAGCTACGCCGGCGAACCTGACCTCTACCACGATCTTCAAACCTCGCCGTCCCCCACACCACTTAGACGCACCGTCTTCCAAAGAAATTCTTCGTGCTCGAGCCGGCTCCTCCTATCTCGAACTTTCCCTCACTTTAGAGAGCGTCGACTGGGGCTTCTCGGCCTCAGATGCAGCTACCCCAAAAATGCTGCTCATCGCCGCAGGCCTGCTTCAGAAAATTCCTCGGTCGGTGTGTTTGTTCTCTTGAGTGAAAGCGCATGGCGGAGTGTAGAAGCTTCAGGCCTTACGCTTTGCGTGGTATGACAATTTATCACTACCGCCACCCGCTGCTGCAGGGAAAGCCACTTGTATGACAATGCCCCCCCGAAAGGGCGGACGTTCCCGGGAGAGACTATCTACCTTCGAGAACCGACAAGCTCGAGGTCAGGTATAGAGTCCAGCACCTAGAGCTTGAGGGCGTCAATAACGCTCGCCAAAATTCGCCTTACACGCCGTTCTTGCGGGAAGCCAAGGCACAAGAAGGCATGGGGATGGACTAAAATTCATCGAGCTACATCTCCCAGGGTTCTCGGACAGTCGAGCAATGCTGACCAGGTCGGATAGGCGGAATGCAGAGTGCAGAGGATTAGCACCGGGGTTTTGGAAGTAACCGAGATGATTAGCACAGAGGGTTGGAGCATTCAGCTGCGAGGTTAAGAACGGGAGTGTGTAGAAGAGGCTTTCTAGAGTAAATTACGACCGCTGCATTTGCAAACTATTTCCTTGAACTTTGCACATTGTTTATACATTGACGAGATCTCGGTAACGGGTTTTAGAAAGTAATGCAGACAGGGCGCGAGAGGGGAGGGGAGAAAAGGAGGAACGTTTGGACGTCGAATGTTAGACGGGGATAATCCTGCGGCGGGTGATATGGTATAAGAAGAGGGTTAAGGAGCTGGACGATGAAATGCTGGCAGGAAGATGATAAGAAGCAAGAGGATGCGCGACGAAGCTAAAGAGCCAGGGAACGAGGACGACGAATAGTTGTCGTGTTTTTCACCGTCTTTTGAAGTAGTGAAAGCGGGACGTGGTCTTAGTCGCTGTATAGGGACACGAATCCGAGCAGATGCCGATTCAACTATTAAGTTATAGACCATGATTAGAGGTGGCGTCTCTCATTTGATGACCTACACCGAGTTTAGATTAACTGGAGGGTGCAGTCTAGATGTGTCTGCATTAAGACCGCGCTTTTCTCAGCATCTGTCGAGGGGTGCGCGGGGAGTGACCGACTTTCTCGAATGGCCGTTGCTGGATGATTATTCGAAGCTTAGAATTATCCACGAGACGGTGACCTGCTTTCGAAACTAAGGCACGTCAATTATTTTGTGATTCACAGGCGCTGCTGGTGAATTGTCGTCGCTTAGATTGCTACAGAGCGACATAATTGCTAATTGGAGAAGTTGCCAATATAGATGTTAATTCTGTTGCGCCTTAAGCTACACACCCGCCTCTACCCTAGTGTAAAGCCCTCGTTTGACTTACCAGGTGTCGCTGCTCCGCTCGTACAATTCGTTCTCATCCGCAGGCGCCGGCGCTGGCACTCCATTGAATCTAGAGGGTTCTCTTGATGCACTCAACCTAGGATCAGAGTCGGCTAGACTATGTCGCCAGGCCGCGTCCGCGACCTTTGCGGAAAGGAAGACATTTATCCGTCAGTCACATCATTCGTACGGCTCCTGCAAGTTGACGCTACGGCATCATCCTGAGCCGTACATCAACGTCCCCGAAACCCTCACCACCTTGTCGTCTCTTTACTTTCACTAATGCGCTATCCCTCGAATAACGCGGCCGTCTAAATGGCCTGCGAACGGCTATCTCTCGTCATACATATTCTTCTGATCCACGCTTAGAAAGACTGCACAGCATTAAGATGGGTTGATTGGTTGGTGGTGCCATGCGCTCCTCAGGGCGCTTCCAGCCGATTTTTCGGTCTTGCGATCTGAGAAAATCCGCGCTATGCACCATTCTGGCAGGAGGGTGCGAAAGACGTAGCATTGAGACGCGTCGGTTTGTGGTGCCATGCGCCTTTGCTAAAATGAAGTTCTAGATAGCGCTTAGTGAATGGTGAATGGTGAATGGTGAATAGTGAATAGTAAATAGTGAATAGTGAATAGTAAGTAGAGAATGGTGAACGGTGAATAGTAAACAGTGTCCTGTTTTAATCCGCGAGCACTCCCAGCTAATTCTCGGTTTTGCGATCCAAGAAAAAATCCACGCTCTGCACACTTTCCAGCCGGAAGATTTAAGGAAGCAGGAGGGCCCGAGGGGGTCAGCTTGCATGGGATAAGATATTGCGCAAAGCGAGTCCGGGGCGCTTGCTGTCTAGAACTTTCTAGCGTCTTAACCACCAGCTTGCCTTTACGGATGTCTTGCTGCAGAACCTCTTCCCGAGCAGTCTGGTCAAGAGTCGCTCCGACAGCTTTCTTCATAGCGGATCAATCCTCTCTTGCTCTCTTCATTGCGGACATTCTCGTCCGACAAACGTCGCTCTGGCCAGGAGTTTGTAGCAGCCTCCGATCCTCCTCTATCGAGACCCTGGGGTCAAGCGTTGACTACGGTGCGTGGCTCGATGCCGAGCGTAATACTGACCATAGCCGCGGATCGGATCGCGGCGTAGCGAATCTCGTCACAGCTAAGATGGCTCGCAGCTTAGGCCCTTTCGTCGCCGCGTTAGCGCAGGTGTAGGTGTGTAGGCGCGAAGGGTTATAATTCAGTGGCTCCGCTTCGGTGTTGCAGAAGGGGGTTCAATTCACCCTCGTGCCTCCCTTCTCAGCCTCATAATAGCCTACTTTTTCTTCGTGCGTGAAGGCCGTCGTGACGTTTTACGCTCCCCTCTTTGTTTTAGTTTAACTGCACACCGTGAGATAGTTACATGCACGATGAAGCACTATCATGGAATACCGGCATTCCAAGGTTCCTATCGGTCCGAGACCTACATAGCCTAGCCTGAAGAGCTCCAGCGTATAATCCGCAATTACGCCGCACTCGCATTACCCACTGGAGGACCCCAGGATATTATTTATAGATTTTCCAGCCTGAAGAGCTTTAGCGTACAATCCGCAGTCATTGCGCACTCGCATTGCCCATTGAAGGTCCCCAGGATGTCATTTCTAGATCTTTGCACCTGAAGAGCTTCAGCATACAATCCGCAATTACCTTGCACCCGCTGCGTGCACACTATACATTCCAGAACTCGCCGCCGGCGTGGGCGAAGGGAGAAGCCGAGGAGGCGGCATGCTCAATCTGCACGAATGGCCGCATTACCCACTGAAGGACACTAGGACGTCGTGTACAAAGCGTCTAGCGTGAAGAGTTTCGGTATACGATCCTCGGTCGCCTCGCGCCCGCATTGTCCACTGAAGGACCACAGGATGTCGTTTACGGAGGTTCCAGCTAGTTCGCGCTCGTTGCATGTATGCCTGTATACGAACTTTGCTCGCTCTAGTTTCACGGCTCCGTTCGAAGCGGGCCGGCCGGCATCCGCACGCTCCTTAGATTCCTTGTCTGCTCGTTAGAGGACTCACTTGTGGTATTTGCGGGAATTTCGAGCAAGCCAAAACCCTGCGAAGTCGTTGGGGTTGAAGAATATGCTGACAATGAAGGCGTCTCAGGTTATATCCACGGTCCTCTACCCGAGCCCGCCGACGTCAAGAACGACGATTTCGTTATCCTCGCCAGCCGCGTTCACCTCACCGTGCTACAATACTAGATATTGGACCCTTTGGACCCTTCGAGTTCTCAATGGGAGCCTGCTCAGTCCTTCAAGGGAGTTCCCGGGCTCTTGCGGGATTTCCACAAGGAGCATCCCGATGCCGCAGGACCTCCGATGCGGCTACATCTCTGGCTCAAAGGAGAGGGCCAGGAAATACCCCATGATGATGATGCGGTTGCGATCAAGGGAGCGTCGCGGCGGAAGAAGACGGCGTAGATGGAAGCCAGGGAGGCGCGGACTCGAGGATGCACACTCGGGAATGGAGGTTGAGATAAGGTTGGGTGGCGACGTGTCAGCGGGCCTTAGCCCAGAATAATTGGTTGCTTGGAGGTCGGGTCGGGCCGGGCCATGGTGGGATTTAGGCTGGGAGCTAGCGACTCGGGAATGTATCCCTGGATCCATCCCTTCCTTTGGCTTATTTTATTCGTTGCCCGCCCCTTCATGTATGCTACACCAGCACGCAAGCTCCAAGAACAAAACGTTTGCCGCTTCAATCCCGTCGCACGCTTCTGCTTTCCATACTCTACCTACAAACGGAATGAAAAGGGCATGTGGGAGACAACAAACATTTCCGCTGTCCATCTGCATCCAATCGCGACCCAAACACCCCTCACGACCACTCCCTGGCACTTCTTCCTTTTCTAACGTCTTCTTCATCTTCTTTAACTACCCACCCACGCTCCAGCTTAAATCCATACGGAATAAACGGCACTTCGCACCATCCTTGGTCTATACACCAAGCCTTCTCTTCCGGCGTTATCGGCGTTAGAAAGTCCCTTCCCAACAATGTCGCCTTTAGATGATTCCACAAGCCTCTATGGTAAAGTCGGAAGGCTATGTCGAAAGGATGCCAGGATGCCACGGGCGGCGAGTCCCAGAACAGATGTTCGGCCGAGGGCAGCTCGTGCCTATGCTTAATGGTCTCCACGTAAGGAGCCAAGGCATCCGGTAGGCGGCATGGAGGGCATGTTGCGCGATACTCGTCGGCCGTCTGCGGAGCGCGTCTCTAGTGCGCGGGGATAAAGGCGGCGGTAGAGTGTTCCCAGGCCGTGCGACGAAGGCCGCACCAGCAACGTCGGGCCTCCCCTATAGCGACCTGCTCTGTGGCAAGAACCGTGCCACTCGGCGGCGTACTCCTCCGCTCCTTGTGATCCTCAATCTCCCGTTTCATATCATGGGCGTAGGAACGCCGGTACCAGTTATCGCCAAAGGCTCGCGCGTTAACCCACTTGATCATTTGGGAAGAAGCAGTCGGTGAGGCCTTGTGTGCCAACCATACTAACTCGTGCTCGCGCCGCATGTCTTCGTAGGTGAAGTTGACGCCGTAGCCGGGATGCATCATCGCTTTGTCTATGTGGTAGCATTTGGAGATGCGGCGGTAGGCTTTGTTGACATCGCGTTGCAAGTAGGGGTGGGTGTAGTAGCGGCGTGGCGGAAGGCACAGGATCTCGGTCGGCACGGTGGCGGAGGGGTTGTGGAATGAGGGCGGCGGACGGCAGCCCGGCGCGTAGGGGACTGGGCGAGAAGTTAGCAGGGGGAACAATAGGAAGGAAGCGTGTAGTGGAGTGAGTACTCACGCAGCGCCGGTGAGTCGGGGGCAGAGTACCAGCCGATCAAGTTGGGGATGCAGTAGCAGGAGAAGACCAGTATGAATGCTAGCGCCCCGGCGGCCCAGCGTGGGTGGGAGCGCGGCATGCGCTGCATGCGCTCGACGTATTCGGCAACGCGGGGACGCACATGCTCAATGCATGCGGCAACGCTCTCCGTCATGTACCAGGGCGCCTCGGGCATGTCGGGCGCCTCGGGCGTGTCGGGCAGGTCGTGAACGGGCGTCGTGCGAGGCCGGTCGCGCCGGACGGGCGGCATGGCGGGAGTCGAAACGAGGCAGAGGCAGAGGCAGAGGCCGAGTGGCCAAGAGAGAGGAAGCTGTTGCAGCTCATGTTGGGCGAGCAGAGGGCCTGATGTACGTGTGCGGTGCCGTCTTTTCTTTGTGTGGTGTCCCTGTATGGTTTTTTTGGTGTCTCTTTGCGTGGTGTCTCCCGAGGTCGTTGCCGCCGGGCTCCTTTGTCTCTTGGCAGCCACGCCAAGCCACGGCAGTCTTGGCGCTCTCTTTGCCGCTCGGCGACGCTTTGACGCGGCTACTGCCTCACGTGACTCACGCCAGTCTCCCGTCCCATTGCAGCCAGCCTCGTCGCCGCCATGACCTATTCCTTTGACGCAGCCAGCTTCAACTCGTCGCCATGGCCTCTCTCTTCAACGCAGCCAGCGAGCCTCGTGCTCGTCGCCACCACCGTCTGTCGTCGCCCAACGCCGTCTCTCTTTGACGCAGCTACTGGCCTCACGCCCAGTCGCTGCCATTGCCCGTCTCAATACAACGTCTCTCTTTGACGCAGCAAGCCTCATCGCCGCCATGCCTCGTGCTCACCGTCGCCATGGACTCTCTTTGACCTAGCCAGCGAGCTTCGCCGTCCTGGCCCGTCTCAACACGTCGTCTCTCTTTGACGCAGCGAGCGAGTTCTTGTGCTCGTCGCTATGGCCTCTCTCGCCGTCCTGGCCCGTCTCGACACATCCTCTCTCTTTGACGCCCATCGCCGCCATAGCCTATTCTGGTTCTCTTTGACGCAGCCACCAGCCTCGCACCCAGCCGCCGCCATGGCACGTCTCGATACAACGTCCTCTTTCCTCGGCTTTTGCTGAGGAGGGCTTGGGTGGATGGAGAGTTACTTCTGGCGGCGTTGTTTTCCTAATTCCCTGTTTCCTTTGCCCGAAAGCACATATTCCCGGGTATACCCCTGACCAGTCCCCCATTTCGCTATCTTGCTGATGCGGGATTGTTCTCCCAGCCTGTCATTCACTGCTGTCTTTGTGATGCGAAGTCGTGCCTCTCGAAATAGAACGCTACCTGTCTGCTACATAGAATCCTATCATTATATACTATCATCTCTTCACATCGTCCTCGTCCTTGGGTATTTTCCTGCGCTATGAAGATGCTCACTCTTTGTCATGAACGGCATGCTCAAAACAGCATGTGTACGGCAGATAGGTTAGCCAAGACGGATAGCTGCATGCACAGAAAACTCCTTCAAGTGTCCTCACAGCGAACGAATCCTTCGATCTATCAATCGCGATGGAATTATCAAACAGCAGCAGCAACGCCACGAACGAGAGCGGTGGCGGTCAAAAGGGCAACAGCGCAACCACATCTGGTTTCGACCGCATAGCCAATGCTGCGAACGCTACCCCTGCAGAACCGTCGAGTAGTATCAGCAGCAAGCTCAAAGATGCTACATCCGACGGCCATGGCGCTTCATCAACTCCTTTCAACAGCCGAAGCGAGTACTCGCCGCCCGAAAGCAGTAGGGAGGGCAAGTCCAAAGATACTACGCCCAGCAATCATGGACACCTACTTGTAAGTGATATCGGGGTGCTTATACGCTTGCGTCGACTGCTGGGCTACATCTGGACGAGCTTTGCTGACCCCAACGTGCAGGGAAGCCCAAGTAATAATGCATCATTGCCACAGCAGCCAGAACTCTCCACCTCTGCGAACGCGAGCTCACACCACGGACTCCCACTGCCACACCGGCCCGCGCGCCAAACCAGCAACGCATTAGCATCCAGCGCATCTACTAACGCTAGAATTAGCAAGCGCAAAGCCTCAGCCTCGTCCCCGCTGCCCTCTCCGAACGTGACCGCAACCGCAAATGGCAAACCGCGCATCCCCATACCCGTACCCACTGCCCGCTTGAACACTTCCACCGTGAGCATGGCACTTTACAAGCAGGTTGTGGAACAGAACAAGTGGCTTGCGGCGCGGAACGCGGAGCTGGAAGCTGAGAATAAGAGGCTGGGGAGTGTGGTTGGCGGGTTGCGCGATAGGGTGCTCGGGATGAAGCTAGAGAGGTTGGGGGTGGGGATTGGGTAGTGGGTTGTGGGATTGATGTTGTGGAAGGGGGAGTAGGTGGTGATGCGTGCGGTAGTACATGTGAAGGTCGAGAGGGGGAGCGTGGTACAATAGAACGTGACCTGGTTGAGGATGGTAAAGCGAGGGTAGTGACGAACATGCCTGGTGCTTTTGAAAGTACGGACGAGCTGTATGCGGATGTGGACGCAGACGCCGACACCAACGCCGACCCGTCTACGAGACTGCAGTACCTGTTGGTGAATGGGGGTGGAATTCAGCTGAGCGTCCAAGACAGAGGGACGTAGACCGCATCTGCCTGTGCTAAGGAGGGGGAATGAATGAATAATCAGTTGCTTAATTCTTCTCTTCGAAATCAACTCAATTATAGATAAGATGTCCAAAGTTAGTACAGCTGTAATTACTTGCGTGCGTATGTGTTTACAAGAGCGTCTACGAGAGAAAGAACGATGACCATACCTATATCCACTTTAGCTCCAGTCCAGCTCCAGCTCCGCTTCCAGCTCCGGCTCCAGCTCCCCAATCCTCAACCCCCCTTCAACTGCGACATAGCAGACTGGAACTCTTCCTTCCTTCGGGTGATCGGGGTAATCGGGGTTAGGATTTCTGAACTACGACGCGCGAAACGAACCGCCGCCTGCTTGCCTGCTTGCCTGACTGGGCAGGGCTAAAAGGTACCTTTGACGACTGCCAGCCAGAGACGCGGATTCAGATACAGATATCTGCCAGATACAGATGTGAGGTTTTCGCCAGCCGGTGGGAGGGAGCTCAGGATTGTCGGGCTGGGCTGGGAACGCGTATAGTCATCCTCATCCATCGACCCCTCCCTCTCTCTCTTCCCCTGCATCTTCTCATCGCTTTATAACTTCGCTGCAAGAGGGTAAGTCCGCAAGCAAACCCCCACCGCGATTCCAGCCGTGCAAGAAGTGCGGAGCCGTCATCACTCCATACCTTCCTTCCTAGATTTCAGTAGAGTCCATACATGTACTATTATAGCCTCGCTTTACTAGTTAGTAAATTATATTAATTTACTACTAGTAGAGGAGAAGAATAATAATAAGGGCTAGGCGTAGATCTTTCTTTCTTTCTTTCTTTCTTTCTTTCTTTCTTTCTTTCTTTCTTTCTTTCTTTCTTTCTTTCTTTCTTTGTACAATAGAATAAAATAAAAATTTTTAAAAAAAAACCTTCGCTAGCCTATCTACTAGCATCCTTTCACTATAAGTTCTCCCCCTTCCCCGAACATGGCGAGTTAAAGAAACTGCAGCATTATTCTGTACCCAAGTACTGTCGCGGTAGCTCCCAAATCTACAAAATCTCCAGACTTAGGCTATAGTAGTAGCCCACCTCGCTCCTCAACAACTTCGATTGAGCATTCCTCAACGCTGGAGTCCGACTCTCAAGGTCACCATCCTTAAACGCCACCAAGTCACCAAACACAATCGACTTCGTGTACGCCTCCGACAGCCCGATACATCTGCTTATCAGAAACCCCATCACGCGAATTCCTGGACCCCTCAACTTCCATCGAGTGTCTCTCAACCCCGGAATTCGACTCGAGATTACCGTCCCCAAACACCATCGACTCCGTGTACGTCTCTAATAGCCCGCTACATCAAATCATCGGAAAACCCATCACGCGGACTCCCAAACCCCTCAAGCCCTACTGTGGTACCAGCAGTCATGCACTTACTCTCCCCTTCTGAAGAGGCTCTTCTCGACCTTCGCACGTTCAGAGCGGACCCAGCAGAAGCAGTCATGCTGCAGGACATTCCAACAGCTATCATAACCGAAGCATTCAAAGAAGCTCAAACACGCAAGCTGCCCGAATGGAACATCCTCTCCTCTTTCCATGAAGACTTCAGGTATCCTCTCGGCGACATAAACAATACAAAGTACCGGATCGCGGTCCACTTCAATAACATCTGCAACGAAGACGATGACAATATTATGGAGTCTGCGGAGGACCTTCCCCCAATTGCAAAGCTCTGGATTACACCAGAACAATACACGAAGCCGGTTAGCTCGGGGTTCGTCGAGTGTCGCGATGTATTCGCTCTCCGCCCGAAGCGTGTGACCATCCCCGGCAAAGGTGAAATTCTTGGCTTGCAATTTGGACACATTGAGCACTACACTGCAAACAGCCAATGGAAGCAGAGTGGCGTTATTGTCTTCGCGAAGGTTGATGGCGACACTGGAAAGGCCAAGGGTGGACTCTACTGCATCAAGGCTAAGGCGATAGAGGGCATGGAGTGGCTCGGGACCTCGCCCGATACCGCAATCATCCGCGACCTATGTGGGCCTGGCTCTTCGAACTGGGGCCGCATAATCAGCTTGGACTCTATTTGTGGAGGAGAGGATGGCGACAATCAGGATTGCGACGAGGTGATGTTTGTTGCAGATCGGGTTCTTTCGAACAACGAGCAATGGTGGATTGCACCGGTTTGAGTTTGCGACAACGAGCAATGGTGGATTGCACCGGTTTGAGCTTGAGACAACGAGCAATGGTGG